TTTTCATCTATACTCTTTATTTTAAACGACATCCTTGATTCAATTGTCTTGTTTCATTCGGCTTGAATCTGAATCGCCTGTACACCAAATCGCATACCCACAACTTCCGTTCGTCTGAATCAATTCTCTCCTGCTATCTATCTGTGAGTCTATAGTCAGTCTGAACGAGACTCTTTCCCATCCAAAACTTATCGCATTTGCGCTCAACAGTTTTGCCAAGTATCTTATATTACACTCGAACGAAACATATCCTTGATCATCGTCTGTTTTGTCTTTAACAGTTGATTTTTGGTATGTACTCCATTACTAACAGCCTTTCACTTTAATAATCTACTGAACCATCAGCTTGTTCGTCGCTTGTTTGCTACTTGATATCAATGCCTAAGTCAAAGCAACGGGCATCAGAACTCGCGACATGTGATCGATGTGGGGCGAATGTTCGTGCGCGTGGGTTAGGATCACATTCAAAGTCTTGTGCAAAGAAAGAAAAGGAACGGCTGGAGGACGAGGAGTTTGCTGATATAGTTCGGAAGGCCAAGAAGAAAGGTGAGTGCTCAAATCAGTCGTCTTTCAATCATGCACTCAATAGATAGTTGATATCTGCCATACAGAACTTCGAAGGCAGCGACGCGAGATTCGCAATAATCTACAACGTTTGGAGGATGCGCAATCATCTATTGCAGGTGGGCCCTTATGTTTCAATGATAGTACTATGTTTCTAATTGTTCTCATCGCAATACAGTGAGCGCTACTGCGATCTGGGCAGATCCAGATCCAGATGTTGGTATGTTCAATTTAATTAGATTGATTATGTACTGAGACTGTCAATATCAGAGATGCAAGGGTCATCGCCTCGACAATACCCACCAGTGGACCATGACGCAGCCTTACCTGACTTTCACGAGGCCGATTTTGCTCCCAACGAGCCCGATCCTGGTTCCAATGAGCCTGATCCTGGTCCCAACAAGCCCAATCCTGAGCTCGATGATATTAAAGTCGAGTATCATCCTCACAGCCAAATTTCTTCCACTGTACATCACTTCTCTGAGTTCACCCGCAGCCGCATGACAGAACATACTGTGCCTCGTAACAATACACCTTGGGAACCCTTCCGCACGCGGCTAGACTTCGAAATAGCAGAGATTGCACTTGAAGCTGCGATGACGAAGGATCAAACCAATCGCCTTCTGGATCTCGTGCACCGATCTGCTAGCGGCAATGATAAGTTCACGCTGCAAAATCACGATGAGGTTCGCTCCCTATGGAACCTTGCTTCGCAACGTTATACCAGAGTGAGTATTGTCTCATGTACTAATACTAACATGATAATAAACTGATTATCAGTGCGCAGTTTCAGAATGATACAGTGTCTGTTCCATTTGACAGTGAGGTGCACGAATTCGAGATGCATTACCGCCCTCTCTGGGATTGGGGACTCGATTTATTGCGAGACAAATATCTCGCGCCTCATTTCGTATTCGATGCTCAACGTCTCTCGAAATTCGACGGAGAGAGGTTTGTACGTTTCATTGACGAACCATGGACTGCTGATGCATTTTGGAATGCACAAGTATGTTTCAAATCTTGTTTTATTGTTGTTTTAAATTAATAGTACAATGTCAAACCGTTGTAACTGTACTAGTCCCAGCTTCCCTCAGATGCGAAACCACTGGCATACATTCTTTATGCCGACAAGAGTAAACTATCGTCATTCGGGACCCAAAAGGGCTACCCAATTATTGCGCGTATTGCCAACCTACCTGTTCACATTCGCAACAACAATACTGCCTTGGGAGGTGGTCGCGTCGTCGGTTGGCTGCCCATTGTCAGTTGCATTGACAAGCTTGTTGGGTTAGTATTAGTATTGCTAACTGCCGTATTGATTTAGATTGTCGAGAATCAGGAACATGCGAAAAAGAAGAACTACGTCGACTTCAAAAATGCTGTCTGGCACACGTCATTTTACCAGCTTCTTGCCTCAGTTGCGCAGCACTCGAATACGGGTTATTGGTTTGAGTGTGGAGATGGAATCCAACGTCGTCTCTGGCCTGTTATTTTGATCTTAAGCGCTGATTATGAAGAACAGTAAGTACCACATGCATTTACTATTGTGAGGCTTATGTATAAATTGTAGATGTATCATGGCGTTGATCCGTGGACTTAAGGGAAAATTCCCGTGTCCAGTTTGCTTGGTTCCGCAAGACGAGCAGTCCGTTCTTGCTACCCACGAGTTTCGCACACGCCACCAATCTGAAGATGTACTTCGCACTGCAAGATTGAAGCCTTCTGAGAAGGAAAAAGAGGCTCATCTCAAGGCTTTCTCGCTCCGAAATGTTGAGGTATGCAGTTCCTGCTGTGATATCTATCAAATACTGATGTAATTCAATTGTTAGAATGTCTTTTCGAGAGTTCGTCACGTCGACGTTCATCGTGCACTTTCTTTCGACCGCCTTCACACAAATGAGGAAGGGTTATGGGGCGATCATTTGTGGAAGGAAGTTAAGTTTTGGATTTCAGACCTCGGGCGCGATGCAGCTGTCAAACTCGACAAAAAGTATGTATTGTGATTACCATGATACATTGTTGCTACTTCTGACTCAGCGTCCTACTAGTTTTGATGGACTTCCGCGATGGCCTGATTTAACACATTTTTCGTCTGTCGTCGCAGTGGATTTCACTGATGGTACTGTTCTCGGGGATCTGTCAAAGGTTCATGTGCACATTATAAGCGGTTTTCGGCACTAACACAAACTTACTATTTAGATGATTGTCTTTGCCGCACAGGATATATTTACTTCGTCCCGCTGTAAACTGGGACACTTACTCCTTCGCTGCATTCGCCACTACATCGAGTTTGATATCTATGCCTCGTTAGAAGTGCATACAGAGCATACAATCGCAGCTGGGAGGTTGGCAGTGCAAAAGTTCTCAGAGATAATGGCCGTAAGTCACTGTATTGTTCTGGTTTTCGATGATGATCAGCTGACACATCACTAGGAATATATTGCCCAATCACAGCCTGAAACCCTCAAAAATTGGAACTTTCCAAAGAAACATTTGGTCTCTCACATATTCGACGATATCATATCGAAAGGTGCGACATGTAACTACAGTACCAAACCAAATGAAAAAATGCACGGCTCGTTGCGAAAAATATATCTTCAACGTACAAATTTCAAGAACGTCGCTTCTCAGGTTTGTTACTTGTAACTATTTGTCATGCAGATTCAGACTTGTTTTATTGTTACAGATTCTGCACTATGATGAATGGCTTCTGACCTCAACATCTATGCGCACTGAACTCGATGAACTTGACGAGTACTACAAACGAAACACTTGCGACCCGGAGACTCATGAAGCGCTGGACTTGGATGACACTGGGGAACCCGAATCTACTACTATCCATGCTCATTTAGGTTCGAGGCAAGGCAACCACTCGTTTTCCGATATCATGCTCTCGCACGGAACTGACAGGGCCTTCACCAACTTTCGGATGAAGCTAAATGGCTTCTTAAATGGCTTTCTACCACAGCACAATATTCCATTGCCGGATGGAAAGTGTATTCACCTGCGCACAGAAGATATGGTATGCTAATTTACTTCTCATTCAATTCATTATACTAATACACTACTATTAGATAACAGTGTTTCATTTCTTGCGTGTCAACTACGAATCAATAGTCGACTGGCGCCTGCACCGAGATTTACTTCGGTGCAACCCGAAGTTCTATGGATTGCCAAGGTATGACTGCGTCATCGTGAAGACTGCCGACAAACCATTTTTCGCTCGCCTCGTGTACATGTTCAGCTGCTTGATTGGCAACACTGATTTCCCTCTCGCGCTGATTCATCCTTATGATGTTGGTATCGCCAGTAGTCGTCGAAGGCGAGATAATGACATGGGACTGTGGCGTGTGCGAGCCAAACCTCGCATATCCTCTGAAATCATCTCTGTCCAATCGATCATTCGGGGTGCTGCTCTCGCAAATGATCCGGAAACAGACGGAGATTACTTTGTAATTCACACTGTAGATACTGACATGTTTCTTCGAGTCAAGGCTCTACAAGATCAACCAAGCACTTGATCCACTACCGCTTTAATACTGGCTTGAGAGCCGCAAATTTGCTCCTGTAAGTAAGCCAGGTCCTGCCACATCCCTTTGAGAGCGACACTTCACACTGTCCCATATGCCCAGGAACTGACGAGACCATTACCTATTTGACTGCCCACAGTACAGATGCAAACGTCACATATTCGCAAGCACCGTCCGACAAAATGCAACATCCATCACGCACATACTCACATCCAAGAAAGTCACACCTCATCTTAACCACTTCGTAAATAGCACCGGCCGCTTCAAACCTACATTTGGTGAGCTGTAAACTTTGTATAAGAAAATATACTAACAAAACATATAGATATACCATACACCACTCCGTGACATAATCCCCATCATCATACTCTTCGTCGAAAGCGTTTTCTCTAGTCCGCTGTCGCATTATGGTGCGCGAGTCTTAGTGCCATGATGGAAAGCTCGGGCAACCGAACAACTACCATGTTGATGTCTAGGCGGTGTTAAGGGTATCTTGGAGCACACGCTCTTCAAAGGAACTTATTTCCCAACTTTGGTGGACCATCAACTGTGCTAACGTCTATGTCGGTTTCCAGGTCCAGCCTGCTCTGATGGGCCTTTCCATGCACGGCAATTACAAACAGCCTTTCGTCAAACATTCTTCATTTTACATATGTAAGTGACCTCATTATTTCTGAATCGTAAGACTTTATCCGTCCACGTGTTGATGTGTAGATTTGAAACGTGTACTATCACACATCGACCTGCAACATGTTGCGATGATTATTATGTACGTCCTCATCGCGTGTAAATTACTGTTCAATTTAACTTTGTTGGTCGCAGCCTCATGGCCTCAACACGATTGCATAAAATGGCACCGACTGCGAGACGGACTTGACACCCTGCGACGACCCACCTCTCAACACCCTTCAATGTCTGACTCTGGTTCGAATTCGATATCCTTCAGTTCTGATTCAGGTTCAGACTCGGCAGATGAAGGCACCCAATGTCAGCCTGTGGCTCCACCGAGCAGTGGCGCCTCTATTGAACACTACCAACAGGTACGCTTGTGCTTTTGTTCGTATCACATATTCTAAATTCTAACATACTTGTTAATACATTAGTATATCAAATATCTCCAGCTTCAACAAGGGCAGCTCCAGCAGCGGAATGCATCTCTGAATGAGAGCAATGGCATTCTGGCTGCACAACAGCTGAAACGTTCTCGTAAACGCCCTCAAACATTGTCGTCTAGGGTATCGTCAATGTCGCAAACAGCATCTGCGATACTGTCCGCATCAGAATCTGCTGTCTCAGCTCCTGCCTCATCGACGACGAATGATGTTGACAAGCTCATTTTAAGCCTGGCGAAAAAATATGCATTAACTACCGAGATGTTTCTCCCTGACAAGGTTATTTTTCAAACAGACTGTCCTGATCCTGCAGTCGACTTCTCGAATCCAAATCGTTATGCGAAGAAGTCTACAGCAAAGGATGCACTCGTTGCTGAACTCTATGCGTCCATTGACCACACGTTGCACGCTCAGATGCGAACAAATGCATTCTTCAACCAGGTGCGCAGTTTTTCTCACTTCAAGGCTTTAATATTATAATAAATACTTCAATCAGTTCGGGAGCGGAATGCAGCAAGCTCGCTCATCATTTCTAAACAGCCTGCGTACTGTTGCAGGCGGCATCTTCAACATGCCCAATGAATTTTTCGTTTCGAAATACGACCGAACTTCCCTCTCACAGGTCACAGACTGATCGGATGGGAAGCAGGCAAAGGCAAGGCCTATGATATCTTCAAGGCGCCCATACTTTACCCCGATCATATCGTGAACGAGAAGAAATCTTCAGGAACTGGATAGTCATCGCAAAGGTAAGGTCAGTTTATACTAGTAACAGCGGATCTGGCTACTCATATGTTGCTTTGAAGGCTATGAAGGTTGCGGTATGCGGAAAGATGTCATTGTATTCCAAAGCACGTGGCGGACCACCTTCCTACGCTAAGATGTGGAAGCTCACAAGCTGCACTCCTGGCCTGATCGCATTTAGCGTCACATCGGTAGGGTCCCAGTCATGTCCTGTAGATCATATTCATCCTGTCCCCAGACCAGGAATTCTCGGGTGATGGAGTTGGTGCCATTTCCTCGATCGCGTATCACTCCCTCTTTCAGACAGTCAAGAAATTCTTCGTTGTTAAGTGGAACCACCAGCGCATCAAATCGGTCGTCGAGCAAATCAATGGATACGTCTTTGATGGTACCGTCAAGACGCAGCCATCCAATGACACTCAGTGCACCATGGAGCAAGTCACTGAATCACTTGATCGTGTTATGGCCGCGCTGGACGCCAGTGATTCAGACTCAAACGATGATTCAGACTCATTGGAATATGTTAACTTGCCGGTACAGGCAGCTAACATCCATCCGACTGTAACTGCAGCTGCAGCTGCAACCATTTCAACCTTGCAACCTAAGACAGCCGTTGACGCTCCCCAACTCGAAGCCGCAGTCCCGCAACCCAAAGCCGCAGTCCCGCAACCCAAAGCCGCAGTCCCGCAGTCCGAAGCCGCAGCCCCGGGGCCTATCATTCAAGTTGATACTAGCCTACAACCTTCCATTTCAACTCCGTGTTTTTCAACTCCTATGGCACCATGTGTAGAGACTTTGGTGGATGCCCAGGGTCAGAGCGAGGACGTATCACCAGCTATTGGGCTTGTTACTATTGCCAAACCTCAGGCAAAGGCATCCAGGGGCAGGAGGAAGCCCAAGAGTCAGACATTGGCCAGTGATTCTACCACTATTCGCCGCTCCTCACGTCACGCTGTAGCATGATACTTCTGTCTCCCTAGTATTGCTATTAAGATCTGATCACACAATCACTAGATTCTAGCTCTACTGTAATCCGAGTGTTTGGGTTACCTATGTGTTGCTCCTTCGTACAGCTTTTGCAATCTCACTGTGCCTTCATCCCAATGCCAACCCAACGACGACCTGTTTGTGTACCGGATACAGGCAAAATTCTCTCTTCTTAGACTGGCGCCTCAAACCCATCACCAATTCTATCATGTCGTAGGAGCGCCTGTCTTCCAGCGCGAAAGGTCGAGTTCAAGCCTCGGACAGATCGTGAAGATTGCTAATAACAACTAGTCGTGAAGGGTATGGACTCGTCCGAGTTGTGGAGGTGGTGAGTCCTGGTTGCAACTCCTTTGTGGAGGAAGGACGATGAAGGCAAGACCGTTTGCAACGCGTAAGTTCTCATTTGTTGTTCCTTCTATATTCGTACCTATCTCTTATATACATACAGATGCGGCCTCTACTATAAGCTTCACGGCTCTGCTCGTCCCATTAGTATGAAATCCGATATTATTTGGAAGCGCTCTCGACACGACGCTCGTGCGCAGCACTCCTCCCTCACCAAGCCCCCAAGCGCATCTAACATGCCTGGCACTCCTTCCGTTATGGAGGAGACAGTTTCAGAACGGGTTCTGGTGCGACAAGCGCAGGTACTTCTTCGTCTTCGCGGCGCAGCAGCATGGACTCGTCTGTCCACACAGTCGATGCGGGCACTGTTGTGCCACACCCGCCACTATACTACCCACCAACCCACCATGAGACCCGCACCCGCCATGGGGGTGTGGGTATACCTGCGGGTGTGGGTGCGGGTGCGGGTGATGCTTGCGACACCCACGGGTACACCTGTGTCATTCCCTAGTCGTTGGTGGTCGTTGGCTCTCTCGATCTTGTTCTCTCGCTAGATGGGGTTCATGCCGAGATTTTCACGGTGTTAGTAGTTGGCTCTCTCAATCTTGTTCTCTCACTAGAGGTCTCTGGTCCGTCATCTTGAGCTCGTCAATCACTTGTTGGTCATGTCTGAGTTCGTTCTTGCAGCCAGCAAGAATGATGGGAATGCCAGCACAGAAATGCATCACCTCAAAAATCTGCACATTGTCCAGAGTCGGTGAGTCGACAGCAAAGCAGATAAGAACAATATGTCTTGAACTAACTGATAAGATCTGAAGCGGTCATAGTCTTCTTGCCCTGCTGTATCCCATAATAGCACATGACAAGCTCGATGTGCTTTCCGTCAAGCACCATCTGAATCACTGACGATAGTGAGCTTCCTCCTTATTTCAGCCATTATTCAAACATAGAAAGTAGGATTGCATGGATATTGCATTACAATGAGTTTGCGGCCATTCAGATGCCTATAGTAATACATGTTTGTCGCCAATTTAGCCCTTTTGCTATGATTATTTCCTAACATGGTAATTTATTTTATGTCATTGAGTTTATCATTGATAGTGCTTAGGTTGACGATTCAAACTCACTTTTGTTCCTCAATGTCGACGTCCATGTTCCCATCTGGTCCTGGTGCCTTCAGCCTCCCCTTCATCACTCCAACATAACCTTTGCTGCTCTCATTTTGCTCCAGCAACTCAAGGTACGCTTGATTTTAAATTGCCCGTTTCCCTTCTGAATCCATTTCATCTTTTTTAGACTGCATGTCCAGAATTCTGGTGCCTTCAACCTCCCCGTCATCACTCTGTGACTTTTGCTGCTCTCATTTTGCTCCAGCGACTCAAGGTGCGCTCATCACTCTGTTACTTCTGCTGCTCTCATTTTGCTCCAGCGACTCAAGGCGCGCTCATCCGTCTGTTACTTTGCTGCTCTTGTTTTGCTCCAGCGACTCAAGGTGTGCTCATCACTCTATTACTTTTGCTGCTCTCGTTTTGCTCCAGCGACTCAAAGCGCGCTCATCACTCTGTTACCTTTGCTGCTCTCGTTTTGCTCCGGTGACTCAAGGTGTGCTTTGTTATATGTTGTCCGTTTCCCTCCCATCTCATCTCTTTGCCTGTCCAGAGTCGGTTGCGCCCCCCATCACACCAAGCATCATCACTTAGACCCTGTTACTCTTGCTGCTCTCGTTTTGCTCCAGCGACTCAAGGCGCGCTCGTCACTCTGTTACTCTTGCTGCTCTTGTTTTGCTCTAGCAACTCAAGGCGTGCTCGTCACTCTGTTACTCTTGCTGCTCTCGTTTTGCTCCAGCAACTCAAGGTGCGCTTTATTTGTGTTACCTATCTCTTTTCGATCTCATTTTTTTGCGTGTCCAGAGCGCACTTATTCTATGTCGGTTGTTGGTCATGAGCAGGCTTTATGGTCCGGGCAAGTACGGAGGCGAGGGGAGTCATTTCTGTTTTCACCATGCATATCATAATGTAGATTAATATTTGTCTCACAATAACAATTGATATGCGTTGAACATTCATCACCACCTTGCTGGAATGATTATCACGACATTAAGACCTCAGTTGACAACCTTACAATGTGCATTCAGACCACAGGGCCGCCATTAAAATGCCCACTAATACTCGGTGGGTACCATTAAAATACCCATTGATATTAGGTTAATACTTATTAAAATACCCGTTATATCATCATGTTCACGTGCATTAAAATGGCGCGAGGTTCATTAAAATGCTGACTGTTTGATCATAATCTATGGCAATGGGTCCGCGTCGTTAGACCATTTTAATCGATTAAAATGCCGTAAAAAAAGTTCCGACAGACAACTCAAAATTAGAAGACATGAACAACATGCGGAGGGATCGCATACCGCAAGAATCCCAGCGTTGTAACTTGTCATGGTCCAGGAACCTGCGCCAATACTTGACTACATTGGCAGCTACATGATTGGCGGTGGTGGCTGCTGACATAAAGTGATTTTTCATACACGTGACTAGGCGCGTCGCGATCGAGTTCGTTTATTTCGTGGCAGTGCTGATTTAACTGGTATAACAGAGTATAAATACAGCGTGCCTACTACAAGATACGTCTCCCATTTCCCGTCCTCGATTTACGTGCATTACTTTCTTCACTACTCATTCTCAACTTCAACTCGCCTTACAATATGATTTCCGCTATCTTCGACGGTGCCGCCCATGTCACCGTCGCTGGGTGCCTCGGAGCATTCTTTTTCAAACACACTGTGGTGGATCGGACGTCCAAGGCCATCAAAGAAGCAGAGAACGTCACCGCTGGCCTGGTCATATCCGAATTCTGTATTTCTGTCGCGGTACTAGTTCTAGCTTCCAACGAGACCGCCCGGATACTCCTCAGTAAAGATGGTCAACCCCCTCCGAAGCACAATTTAGCCAAGCTCAACGCGCCTCTCATTTGCAACAAAGTGTCCGATTTCTCTACTGCAGCAGACTCAATTTCAATCGCAACCGAACCATGTAGCACTCCGCCGTCCGTATCAATCGCAACCGACTCTTGCAGCACTCAGCCAGACGTAATAATTTCACCGAATCTAATCGCAAACGACTCTTGCAGCACTCAGCCATCTAATACGTGTTCTACTTTATGCACGCCAATACTGCCGACTTCGCCGGTTCCGAACACGAAGCGCCTCTCAATGGATTCTGACACGACTCTCGTCGATCATCATGACGACTTCATGAAGGACTTCTCTGGCGTGGACCTTCAGGAAAGGAATATCCTCCAGGTATAAAGTCACACAGTCTCCCCATTTTTATCGCTCAATGTTTGAATCTTTGTAGGACGACAGCGACTGTTCCAGTGGCGACCTATTGCAAGGCACGAAACCACTCGCGATCGATGACTGGAGTGGACCCTCTCAGCGGACGCAAGTCCAGCCAATCACCCTGGAGGACGGACGCCTGACGACCACCGACGCTTCGCTTCTCGTGGACGCTTCGACTCATACGATCGCGACGCCCTCTCTTGGCAGCATCCCAACTCAGATCGTCTCGCCTCAGCTGAAACCCCCGGATACGAAACGGCATCATAATTTCCGCCCGGGAAGACACAAGGTATGGACATGTTCGTTGCGAAGCCAAGTGCTGCACTCACCGTCGTTTGTTAGCGCGAATCTAGATCTGCTCGCTTGGCCGCTGCCCGTGGCAGCATCGAATGCACTCGCTCCAAACAACAAGAACACGCTACTGCGATCAGTGAGTGATTTCCAGTGACGTTCACTTCGTTTGTTGATTTAAAGTAGATGACCTTGAACAATTGCATGACGATCTCCTCGCCGACCAAACCGCTCTCGTCGACGGCTGGGCGGCTGCCATGGCCCAGCTTGGACTCCCTTCTATGCTGTCGCCTACACCACTGCTTCTGGATCAGAAGACGCCTGAACCAGGAAATTCGATCGAAATCGTTCAAGACAGACACCTTCACTACTCCCGAGGTCCCCTACGACCAAATCCCGAAGATCCGCAATGGCCTCCCTCGCTGTCCCCTACGACCTGGAGCTTCATGCCCGCGAGGTTGAAGGCCACCGCTGGCCGCGCACAAACTATGTCTTCGCGCCGCCCGGTTATACCTGCAGTCTTCGACGTCGGACGTCCCCTACGACCAATCCCGACACAACCGCAACAGCACAACCGCCTCCTTCTTGTCTCAGAACACTTGGAGTTGAAGGCCACCATCCGCGGTTCGCACATACGTCTATCTCAAGTCTCTTCTCTTGTCTTCGCCATCGTGTAAATGGCCCTCGATTTGTTTCTTTGTCTTTGCATTTCATTTCTCTTACCGGTATCTACTTCGCAGATCATGGACTGCCTGTGACTTATGGACACGTCTCCCTTTTATCGATATGTACTCAGCAGATGTTGAACTGCTCATTTATTTTGTAACTTGTAGGCACGACATGCCTTGTTTCTTTTACAGTACGGGATCATCTTTTCATCCACGATTTATCTCTTAATAATGTTCGTATATGTACGATGACGAGTATTAATTATCGGTAGTTTGCAGTTCCTGATCTGAATCCGATTTTCTTCACATGATGCGCTCTCTGAAAGACATGCCTGAGGTTGATCAAATGAAAAGTAATGATTGGTTTTGGACATGGATCAATAGCGCAAGCAAAATCTAGCAAAGAGATCAATTAGGGTAGACGCGTGAACCAAGTCAAGATCATGGTGGCTCCTAGCTTCCTAGCGGACATTATTATGAGTGCATGGTCAAGATATAGGCAGCCATGCGAAATTCCTTATTCCCCATACCTTCATCGGATGCGAGCTGGCAGCGAGGGCACCACCTGGAACAAGCTAACATCCCTGTTTAGCAGCGCCAATACAAATTTTCTGGGACTCGAATCGCTCGATCTCTGCACAAGAATTGATTATCGGGGTGAGGTTTTTCATTTTCCGTGCTAAATGGCGACGTGGGCATGAAAAATTGGTCGTGGTGAGCTCGGGTTTAGATTGATTCATCTCCGTGCCATTCCATATAGTTCGCAAGAGACATTGTCATCGCTGGTCGCTCCACAACAAACTCGACGATTAGAGTATAAGTCCATGAAAATCCCTCGTATCATGCTTGATCTCATGATTCTCATCGCAGGTGGATCTGGAAAACCAGTTTACTCAGGCGATCAATCTCATGATGATAAACGCTCTGCCGGAACAAGTGTAAGATTTTCGGAGGGAGTAATATAATCACAGTACCTCTAGACTCTAGGCTAGTGTCCTGATGTCCATCAAGTAGCTAATAGAAGCCGTATCTTTAATCTGTGCAATGACTCGATCATGTTCGGATGCGGTCCTCTTGAATTCTCCGTTGCGCTGCCGCGCTAGCAAAAATGCACTAAAAGGCTGTCTAAGGCGAACAATCAATCGCAATGCTCGCGAGTGAGAATCCGCATAAATTAGCTCAGTTTGTGCAAGAGGTGAATTGTGCGATGGAGATTGGGGGCACAAACCAATGTTCCACACTACGTGCATCGTCCGCAGGGTCATGCAACCCAAGGAGATCGCGACTCCATGGACGGAGAAGCAAAATTGTCTGCTAGGCAGGCGGTGGCCGTGCCGGGATGAATTTGTCTTCTGTGGTGTCATTAAGCCCGTCTCACATATGTGTCGTGGCCTCGACTGGGTCTCAGCCTGGCTTGTGTAACAGGGAATACGATGCACAGTAGATGCAACCGGTGGTGCGCAAAACGGTCACTGGCACAAGTTCCATTTTGTGAGTCAAGCTTGAAGGATGCGACGCGAAGTTCTTGGCAAGAAGTTCTCGAGAGGGCGAATATCGAAAAGGCATGACTCCTACCACACTTTATTGGATCTCCTTGCTGCTGCCAGGGTGTTCCACAGTTTCGTCGTTACGTCACATGAACCAGTGCAGCTAGCACTGTTCCACCAGGAGAAAAGTCCAGCGAGTAGATCCAATTGGAATGGGCTCAGATTTTGGTGAGAGATTCTCCAGCTTTTCCGTGCCAGATTTTGACCTCTTCGCCTTCATAGTAACCGCCTGCCATCAATTGCCCATTTCGTGATACCGCCAACCTCTACACCTCACTAGTACGATGCCCTTTCATCTCTTTCAACACAACACCTGTCTTCAAGTCCCATAGCCGAAGCATCTTGTCCTATGAGCCCGTAATCATCCGTCGTTTATCAGGGAAAACTGCGACAGGTCACAGCATTTACGCGTTCTTCATGGCCTCTGAACTTTCGCCGGGGCCTGGTGATTGGAATGAGCTTCGACATTTTACTGGAGGTTGATGGTGTTGAGCACGGTCCAGGTGGACTTTGGAGGGATTGTGGGTATCTGTCTGCAGGGGTGTGTGTATTTTGCAGTTTTAATATGCGTCACTGCATCCACAATTTCACATGTCTCATTCCAATAGACTCCCAAGACACATGAGGCCGTTCGCTTCCACGCTTCCATCACCGTCAGCGTAAGAATACTCCCTATTATCATACCCGCCGACAGTATGCCCTCCCAGTGCCTCAGTGCATACATGTGTCCCACTCTTGTCTTCCAAGCTTCCAGGATGTATCCCATCGCATCCAATCGAGCAATCCGTGCTTCCCAGCGCGTGAATCTGACTATCTGTTCTGCATAATATTTATTTTTTGTGTCGAACGACTATTCCAGCACATCGCCGCGTCTTATCCCTCTGTAACACTTAGAAAGTGTAACACGATAGAGTCGATAGTTGTTTGAATAAACTTAGGCTTCGAACGGAATGACTGTCCGAACTAAAGTGTATTCGGAGGGGGTAAAAGATCAACTGCCCTACTAGTATGTAAACTAAGGTCTTAAATACTGTAGAGCTAGGAATACTAAGGAATGCGATAGAAGGAAAAGTAGGATGAGTCAGGAGAAAGGTAACTAGAGAGATATATTGGTTGCCATCGTCGATATACGACGATGGCTTTTGACGAGCGTTACATACGCCCTCCAGGTCACTTCAACGAGGGACCTGTTTCTTCAGGTGATGTGAGTCCGTTTCAGAGGGGTTCACATGGCAGAGTACGTGTCTACCAGTATACCGATTAAGATTACGTGTGACAAGAGAAAGGCGAGGATCACGAGCTTACCGAAGAACTCGGTATCGGAGAACTCAGATACTCTCGATGCCCTCTCGAGGTCTAGGCGCTCAGCCGCGTCAACGATTTCAGAGACGTCTGGTCCAGGGTCAGGGACTGGCGCCAACGGAGGGGGTAGTACCACGGTTGGGTTGCGCGCATCATCTTCAACAACAGCAGCGATCAGCTGTGCAGCTGTCATGGCAGGCGCTTGGACCTTAGGAGGAGGGGGTGCCTGATTGGCGAAAGGGTTAGGAGTAGTGATGTGCACGGCCCGGCTTGAGGCCCTGGGCCGGCCCAAGCCGGGCCCAAATAGGCCGGGCCCAGCCCAGGCCTACGTCACGGCCTGAGGAAGGCTTGGGCCTGGGCTTGGATTTCGAGAAGCCTGAGCCGCCGGCCTGAGCCGTGGCTTTGGCATGTTTAGTGGCACTGCCATAGAAGCCTTGCCGGAGGTACGTTTCCCGACTCTATTTTTGTCTTTCTTTGACTTCCATCAACTCTATCAGCTTCGACTCGGATGGTCCACATGTTGCAGTCAAAAAGCCTGCATTGGCCAACATATCCAGCAATTTCAACGCCTTATCTCTTGTCTGTTGCTACGGAAAAGTCACGGTGAGTGCCAGCGCCATGTCCTCTGCTTCGCGAGCTCGACATAACTCACTCCGCTGTCGGAAAACCAGATCTCAGTTTCACAGATCAATATTTTTCGTAAATCTGAAGCCTTTTTTGCTTCACCTTCGCAAGTGTGACGGCGCACCCAATATCTTTCAATTGATTCATGTCGGTACATGTTCCTCTAACATCCCTACTTACTACCCACCCATGACAAGCACAGATGCCGAGCACCGTGTTGCACGTCCTGTGCGCAAAACAAAGCCAACAGCCGCCCTCCTTCAGCATGCCGAGAAGGCAGCGTTGCCATCCCAAACCAAGGCGATCAACGAGTTCCACGCTGCAGAGGCTGCTAAGCGCGCTGCTGAACGTTTGTCCCCCGAAACCACAGAATCTCCATCCACCTCTCCCATACCACCATCGTCATCTGCTGTCGACACCCACAAAAGGGTGCACCCTGAAGACTTTTTCGTGAACGACTGAGTCTGACAATCACACTTCAGTACTTGACCCCACAGGGAAAATGGCCTATTTCAAGAAGCATTGGCCAGAGGATCTGCACGACAGCGTGCTTTCTACTGCAGAGACAGTGGTGAGTCTTTTTTTTTTGGTCGGTATCAAGTTAATCTAAATGTGCTACTATTAGTTTAAAGCTCGTTATCTCGAGTTGAACCGAGTGACATCATCGACCTCACAGAACGCAACTAAGCTAGGCAGAGCTGGCAGTCTCAAGAAGCTAATTCGCGAAGTCCTCAGTGACTCTGAGGATGATTCGTCAACCAACCCAGCACCTACCTCAATCGGTGACCCAACAAGACCATGGAGGGCTGAGTTTTTGGCCTACCTTGAGACAGTTGAAGCGGCTCCACCATCTGGCTTGTCCACCATTCAATGGTGGGGTGTATGTATATTTTTTATTACTCAGAAATTTCGCGCTAATGATAATCTTTGCTTCAGATCAATGCGCAGAGGTACCCTGTTTGGGCTTCACTTGCGCGGGACTATCTATCAATCATGTCATCGTCGGTCTCGAGCGAGCGGGCGTTCTCACAAGGCGGCATCACCATCACGAAACGGCGCAACCGGCTCAAGGCTGACATCGTCGAAGCACTCCAGTGTGTTAAATGTGCGCTACGACACGATCTTCTGTTCCGGGAGCCCGAACCATCGTCTCTCATCGAGTTGGAGTACCTGGACGACAATGACGAAGAAGCGGAAGCGGGAGCAGAGACTGGTGACGCTGTGGATGAAGAAGAAGGTTGGGACGTTTTACTTTTGGGTGATGATGCTGAGGACGTGTCAGATGTTGAGACGGACATTTAGACACATTGTAATTAGACTACCACTAATGCTTGATCTGTCCGTTGGCTTCGCAAAGCTGCTCTGTCCGTTGGCTCCCCCAAGCCGCGGCCTGGCTGGGCCCAAGCCCCGGCTTTGGGCTGGCTTGGGCTCACGGCCTAGGCTCTGAATTTTTGTGAGCCTAAGCCCTTCGAAGCCAAGCCTAAGCCGGGGCTTTGAGCCTAAGCCGGGCCGGAACATCACTAGTTAGGAGCGCGTGGGGCAGGTCTTCCCATGGGGTGAGGACCAGCTCGTTGATCACGAGTCCCACGGCTACGACTGGATGAATGGGGTACGTGGTGATTGTCCAGCGTTAAATGGTGGGAACGCTGGTGGTACCGGGAGGATTCAGAATGGTGTTCAGCTCGAACTTGCTGACGGAAGGCGTGGGCTTCTTTTTGGGTTGCTAATTCCTCTTTGCGAGGAGGGGCCCGTCGGTCAGGAAACGTTCGCCGACGCAAGGTCTGGGAAGGCTTACTTGCTTCAGCTTCAGCTCTGAAGAAGCTAGTGAATGCACTCATTGCGTCAGCGTTCTGCGTCCGAGCTTCGTGCTGGTAAGGACCACCTCGTTCCTTATACCAATCACGGCGCCGGCTGGAACGGCGGCCTCGTCCAGAGTGTGAATGAGAAGGGTAGGGGTCCCTAATCTCGACGGGGGTAGGGACGTCAACGTTCATAGCGTCGACCAGAGGGATCTCAATGGGGTGGGACGACATAGAGGAGGGGATAGAAGTACGGAGGCTGGGGGACGAAGGGCAACCACCGGGGCTTAAATAAGTAGGGGGGCGAGAGGACTCGGCTAATTTTTCGAGTAGTGAGTCTACCGAGGAAAAAACTATATTACACGCCTCGCTGTAAGTGCCAACGGTTGCGAACGTAATGTCAGCCGAGCTGGGAGATACCTTCTTAGGAAGGTGCTTGATGCCAGGTGCACCAAGGGACTCCAAGTATTGCCCGGTGGCCTCGAGGCGAGCAATAGCATGGTATGGGAGCCAGACATGGTCTCCGGTAGTGTACTCTACCTTGAATAAGGCGTCAGTCCCTTGCCCGTGGTGGTCAGAGATGCGCGAGACTGACCATTCTTCAGACACGCCAATATCAGCAATTTGCTGCAGTTGACGACCGGGGAAGCGTCGATCATTGTTAGGTACGTGCAAGCGTAGGAGATGAGCGTGGAATGCGGGATGAAGTCCGCGTTGCTTGAGTTCAGCGGGGAGGTCTAGCAAGTAAGAGTTGTTGCGGTAGTCTTTGAGAATCTTGTACGGGCCAACGTACTTGGGCGAGAGCTTCCGGGCTCGTCCTTTGGGAAGGGACAGGTTGGCCGTTGACAGGTAGACGAGGTCCCCTTCAATGAAGGGGGCCTCTATTCTCTTCCTGTTGGCCGTGGTGGTGCTCTTGACGCGGGCTGAGATCACCGCGTCATGAGCGGCCATCGTGGCGTCCTTCATCATTTGAAGGAATGACCGAACGCCAGGGAACTCTGAGTTGGAGTTCCAGATTAAAGGGGGAGGGAGCCGGCCGTAGTTTAGGACAAACGGTGGGTACCCGGTTGAGCTCGAGCTAGCGGAATTGATGGCAAATTCGATGGCAGGGAGTTTGGATGCCCAGTCTTTTTGGTGAGGGGAGATTTGCGAGCGCAGCATCTGTGTAATGGTCCGGTTGGCCCTTTCAGTCGCTCCATCGCTCTGGGGGTGAAATGACGTGGACATGCGAAGTTCCACCCCGGTAAGCTGGTTCAGGCGCTGCCAGAAGGTACTGGTGAATAGAGTATCACGGTCGCTTACAATGTTGGACGGCATACCATGTAACTTATACACTAAATGAAACATGACTTCAGCGACATCTTTCGCCCTGTAAGTCTGTTTAGTGGCGGCTAGATGGACCATTGAGGTCAGATGGTCGATCGCAACGAGTATCATATCGAAGACGCCATGCAGCGTCCTCGATTCGGGCAGCAGCCTGACAAAGTCGATACCAATAGTCTGCCAGGGTCTTGTAGGGACGTCCAGGGTCTCTAGTTGACCGTAGGGCTGGTGATTTGATGGTTTGGAGACTTGGCACGTTGGACACGACTCACAGAAAGCCTCGACGTCTGACGCTAACGATTTCCACCATACGTTCTCTCGTAGGTACAATAACGTTTTAGAGGGCCCTAGGTGCGCCAGGATAGAGTGGGCGTGGGATATGATTATTTCGCGCATTCGGCGCCCGCCAACAAGTACATCTGGGATGCAAAGTATCCTTTTGTGTGAGCTTCTAAGGTAGATGCGCCCATTGCTTACTTCGAAGTTCTTAAAGGTTCCGGGGGACCCCAAGATCCTACCAAAGAACTTATCATTGTGGTACTGATTCACAACGGACTCATGTATGTCGAGTAGGGGTTCGCCAAGGGTTATCACGTCCGTCAGACGTGGGGGAGAGTCAAGTAAGTCATCAACTGTTTGGGTAGCTTTGTCAGGTAACGCTTGTCCTTGTTTGCTTACGCCTGTCTGAGTTTCGACACTTAATTCCGGAGTCTGCCGTTCGGTCTCGACTATGATGTCATTCGTCTGAATCTCGACGTTTAATTCCGGAGTCTGCCGTGCGGTCTCGACTATGACGTTTCTCGTCACATGGCCTTGTGGGTGTTTGTTTGTTTTGGTCCCGGCTGACTCTTTGCTTTTCATTAGGTTTCCTTGTACCATCCCGCCCTCCAGTGACTTAGGAGGGGGACTACCCAACTTCAAAGTCACTTTCCTGATTATGGGTGAGTCCTCCTTCGGTACTGGCGCTGCTAACTCTTTTGCTTTCCCCTTAGATGCAGCACCCAATGGCGCTACGGTGCTGCGGTGGGAGTTTCTGCCTTCATTGGCGGTTACGCTTTCTGCGGGGTCCGGGCGAGTTGGAGCAGAGGGATAATATGCGTACGGGTACGCCGGTGAGTCAGTTACGACGTCCTCTGGGTCCACGCTACTGACGACTTCATTAGGAGTTTTGTCGTTGTCTGACTCGCCCTCCTGCACTAAGATGCGGCCTGCCGAGCTGGATCCCAGGTCGTCGTGCAGGACTCGCTTCTGAGCGATACGGGCTGAGCGCCGGGCTTCTGTTGCGCCGAGGAACAATGGTGTACCGGTGTAAACCGGTGAGGATACGAAGTTTAGCAGCAGAGTACGTGGGGAGTCTTCTTCCTCAACGCTAACATACTCACTTGCGGACCTCACAGTACCTGGGGGTTCGTTGCTGTACATATGAGAGAGGGCGTCAGCCAGGGTGTTATCCTCTCCCGGTACATATATTATCTCAAAGTCGAATTCGCTCAGTGCTTCTAACCAGCGGGCTTGCCTAGGTGACAACTTATTCTGGGTGGAGATCCACTCAAGTCCCTTATGGTCGGTAAAAATGCGAAAGTTTAGGCCGATAAGTAAGTGCCTAAATCGTTTAAGTGATTCAACGATAGCTAACAATTCCTGCTCATGCACAGGATAGTTCTGTTGGGCCGAATTGAACTTGCCGGACCAGAACGCAATAATATCTGCGGTCTTCATGTCATTCCCTTGCGACAGCACGCCGCTGGCGCCAGTTAGCGACGCATCCGTGGTGAGGTTCACGCTAACGGTACCATTCAGTGCAGCCGGGAGGTCTAGTGCCCGTCTACAAACGTTACGGTGAGTCTCGACACATGCCTTGACCAAGTCGAAGGCACGTTGATCCGTCGGGTTCCAGGTCCATCTGGTAGTCTGCGCTGCTACCTTAGATAAGTGTTGCATGTCAACTCGCACACCCTCACACCCAGCGGCCAGGTAACCAACCGACCCAATGAATTGCATTAGTAGTTCCTTGGACGTGGGGGTCTTCCAGCTCACAATCTTGTCAACTTTGTGCGGGTCCATGCGAATACCAGCGTCGTCAACAACGTGTCCCAATATGGTCAGCTCAGACTTGAAGAATTGGAGTTTATGCTCGCTAAGGTAAAAGTGGTGTTCGCGCAGGGTGTCTACGACGGCCTTTACGTGCTTGACATGCTCCTCGGGAGTGTCAGAGTAAATGACGATATCATCCAGGTAAACATCCATGAAAATCCCCAGGTACGGGCCAAAGATGTGATTCATGAGGGACTGGTAAGTCGCACCTGCATTACAATCTCCTATTTGCATGACGTGACTAATCATTGTCCCATCAGGCGTTGCGAATAGGGTTTTAGGGACATCCTCAGGTACGACGCGGATTTGTTCGTAGGCGTCTTTACCGTCTAACAGTGATCGGTAAGGCTTTGCGCTTACGTTCCGCAATATGGACTCAATGTCGGGCAGCGGGGAGGCCAACTTACGAGTGTTCTTATTACGCTGCCGAGTGTCCAAAACGGTACGTAGTTTTAGAGAACCATCTTTGGTGGCCTTCTTCATCATTATCATAGGGACAGTGTTCGTGCCACTCAGGAACTCCCATCGGCCAGTTCGAATATAGTCGTCGTGCTTTGTGCGCCATAAGGGGCGCATCGCTTCAGGGCATTTGGACTGACGCCAAGTGTACGCTTGTCTCTCGTCAATGAGAGGTATAACGTGATTTATTGTTCTGATGGGTGGCAACGGTGTCTCGATCGCCTCTTTACAGATATCTTTTGCGTAGTCGATCAGTTCCTTCCGGTAGGACTCGATCAGGTCGACCTCGGGGCTAGAGACTTTAAGTTCTAGAACCTGCGTCTGCGCGCCTCGGATGGGTAAAGGTACGAGACTCCGAATCTTTATCTCTGGGGGATTGAAACCTAATAATACCTGATGCTGGTACAGGAACGGCATGCCCAGGATTACGTCGTATGCTTCTAGGTTAGCGATGTCGAAGGTACGTTGTCCCGATACATCCTGATACTTAAACTCAACGGTAGTATCAGCTTTCACTACGCTACGAGATCCCAATACTGCTAGTTGTAGAGGGATCGGCTTGTCAAGTAAGTTGTACCTCAGCTTAAGTTGATCCACGACGGTACTTGATATAAAGTCTGTCAGCGATCCTGAATCCAAGAGAGCTCGACAAGGTTTTCCGTTAATATGGACAACCACTACGATCGATTTAGGGAGGATGCGATTGGATCCCTTAGGCTTAGCCGCTAACCTCTGCAAGTAGCGGATGTCAGGTAATTCTGCCTGCTTTGACTGGGTAGCGCAGAATAACTCATTGACAATTACAGGGAGGTCGACACCAGTTATGTCCTCAATCTCTTCTTGTCCGGGTGTGATGCCCTCAATCTCTTCTTCGTCAGAGGTCTCACAATCGAGAAGGAATGGGACGTCATCGTTCTCAGTGTCATCATTAGTTGTCTCCCATTCTGACCCGTCGTCATCCGTGTCCCACACGTACTCATCACTTGACTCAACTTCATAGCGGATGCACCCGCACAGGGTGCCGTCCTCACTCCAGTCGGACGAGTCGAGTTCGTCACTCGATGAGACATCACCATTATTGACGGAGGTGCTAATTACTTGTTCAGCGCGGGAACAAGGGTCACAACCCCAGGAGGGTCGAAACGATGACCTGGTACGTATCAGGTCTCTGCAATTGTGCAGTTTCAGGTCAACTAACCACGCGACTATGTCAAATGCAGGGTCGCACAATTGTTCATAGTAGACAATGTAATCATCGTAGTTGTGCTTGTCACTTAGGAGGTACGTATTTGGACCCCCGTGATTCGAAATGCTGAATCTATACTTACTGTAGGGGTCGAATAGAGGATCGTGGAGTTCGTCCGTCGGGAACAGGACTCCCAAGCGAAGTATGGCCAGTGCTCGTGACGTCACGACTAGGTGCTTCGCGGCTTCCAGGGGGCTCGAATCATCAACGTTAACGGCCATCCCGTACAGGCCGCTGGCCACCCCTTCTTCTATGGCAGCTGATCGTATGTCAGCCTCTGTCACGCCAGCCGAGTGTACTTGCAGAGAGGAGACCTTGGAGTTGGGCCTATAGGGTAATTTGTGACGTCGAGGGCAGTCCTTGGCTAAGTGACCCTTCTGTTCGCATTCAAAGCACTGATCATTGTCTCTCAGTCGTTTAATGGCGTCAGCGCTCTTCTTAGGACCGCTCGCGGGTGGTCTAGGTGCACTCTGCTGATGGGGACGATGGTTCTGTCGACTGTCAACTCGGTGAGAGTGGACAGCGTTAGCTGAGAGTGAGGTAGTGCGAGTTTGGCAAACAGGCCGTCTGTAACGTGAGTCCCTGTCAGTTCTCGCTTCTGTCCTTGAGTTCTGACTGGCTATGCTTGCAGATGCTGTGGGGTTGAGTGCTAGCAGTACGTTAGGGTCGCGAGAGTTCTCTAGGAATGCACGCTCGGTGCGAAGAGCCTTCTTCTCTAACGTTTCGAGGCTGATTGAGTTCGGCTCATAGCCTTTATCAACTAACGAAGCCTTAATATAGGGCTTACAGTGGGTCCAGAATTGGCGAACAATCTCTCGTTCGTCAACGTCCCCAGCTGTGTCTGCTAAGTCTCGGAGTCGTCGTAGGTAGTCTCTGACTAAGAACTTCCCATCCTGCTTACAGTCTAGGAACTTCTGCCTTTGTAGCATTCGGAAGTCGGGGGGGAATATATAATCGAAGAGTTGCTCAAAGAACTCGGTGAGGGAATATTCTTTCTGGAGGTCTAGGACATCACGCTCAAAGAACCTGTAGGCCTGTCCACCTAGGTACTTGCCTAGCATGCGTAGGGACTGATTCGTAGTAAGTCTTGCGCGATCCTTCCATTCCCGAACTTCTCTGACCCACTTTTTAAACGTCGTAGCGTTTGCTTCACCATTGTAAGTAAAAGGTGGCTCATTCTTTATAAAGCTTTGCTGATATTTCAGTAGGTTCAGTCTGGCCCTGTACTCACGACGGGCATGCCTTTTGGATTGTTTGACCTCTGGTGAGTCGCTCTCGTGATCAGACTCAGGTTCTAACGCCAAGAAATCAATACCGAAGTCATTTTCGGTCTGCTTCGTCTTAGTCTTGTGAGTCTTTCCTTTCTTTTTCTTTTGCTTAATCTCATCGTCCGTTTCGGTGGATGAGGGGTCATCGCTTGATGACTCTGCTGGCGTATCGTTCGGTTCTGGGTCTCTGGGTTGCATTCCTACCATGGCACGTTTGACTGAGCTTCCGTCCGGGAGAATGGAGGAAGCTCGTTGGAACCGAGTGCTTTCGAGTGATTTAGGCCTGATAGGTGGGGAAGGGTCCATTTTCACGTGAGTTTCAGTTGCTTCAGTTTGGAGTCTTACTGATGGTCTTTTATCAAAAATAGTTGGGACTCAGCAAGTCTCTAATATCTGCCGGTGAGATCTTTCTTCTCGTAACCTGCTTTCGAGAACAAGGTTCTCTAATTGCCTGATTTTATCCTTTAGGCTATCCACAAGGAGTTGCTCTTCGATCGGTACGTTGCCTAGGCCACGGGTCTCCTTTGGGACTCTTTGACGAGTTGCTTCGGTGGCCCACTGCTCAGTCCTTTCGTCCCGGTGAGTCTTCTCGTTTCCTAACTTTCGTTCAAGCTTATCAGACGTTACAAGTAACTCCTCGATGATTTGAGGCGTGGACTCAAGGGCACGGACTGATGGATACAATACTGGGAACTCGGGGACCTCGCCGAGTTCGTCGTCGTCAGGTAAGTCAAACCAGCTCATATGCGCTGATGGCATGGTATTAATTTCTTCGTCAGTCGACGTGGCGTCAATTTTATTGATCTCGCCAACCACTATGCGCGAGGTATGTAGTCCAACTACACTCCCAAGGATAGGGCTAATACTCATAGGAGCAGAACCCTCACCATCATCAGAGATGCCGGGGGCTGATAGACTCAACTTGGAAGGGGCTCCCAGAGCACCCAACCACGAGTCTGAAGATAACTGATCGCTAGTCGGGGGTTCGGCCCTCTGACTGAGCGATCGCTCAACTCCAGCGGTGACCTCGTTACCGCGAGTCCATGCACTGTCGACACCCAGGTCGAGTGTGCCTGTGTCGACGCTCGTTTTACCCGTAGGGTCAGGGGAGCTCAACGGGAAGGTACCAGGTACGTTTTCTTTCGACATCGTCGAGGAATTATTTTTTTTCTAGGGTGTATAGAGAGGTAGAGAGGTCGTCGTTGTGCGAGGGTGATCAGTCCTCGTTGACGGCGGCCGTAGTAGAATAGGATTTAGAATTTGAAGGCAGTCAAAAATATGTAACACTTAGAAAGTGTAACACGATAGAGTCGATAGTTGTTTGAATAAACTTAGGCTTCGAACGGAATGACTGTCCGAACTAAAGTGTATTCGGAGGGGGTAAAAGATCAACTGCCCTACTAGTATGTAAACTAAGGTCTTAAATACTGTAGAGCTAGGAATACTAAGGAATGCGATAGAAGGAAAAGTAGGATGAGTCAGGAGAAAGGTAACTAGAGAGATATATTGGTTGCCATCGTCGATATACGACGATGGCTTTTGACGAGCGTTACACCCTCCGACTCCCAAGACCTGTTTGTGCACCATGCAGGCGAAGTTCTCCCTTCTGGCGTCTCAAACTTGAAATTCGTCACCAATTCTATCACGGAGGGGCGCTTCTCTTCGAGCACAGCTCTGTTGTAGCAATATTGCAACGAGGCCTTATTGAAGCCCAGCCCTTGGGCCGTTCGGTATGGGGATGCTGAAGATATACTTCAAGCTCAATAGCACAGTCGTGATCGCGTTAGGTTTTGACGAAGAAATAAGCGCATTGCTAGTAGTCTCTTTGAGTCAACTTCTGCATAGCTCAAACATTCGAAGGGTGTCTTCCCAAAGATACCAAAATAATGGAGACAATGGGTTCTCGCCATTACCACACGCATCCAACCACTAGGAACAACATCACGTCTCTCTTGTCCTCTTACCCCCAAACACACGTCCTGAAATGGAGGAGTGCCTCCACAACGGCGGCATCTAGATGATCTAACCGAGGACGGAGGTCACAGAGATCACAAGGCGCATGTCAGCATCCACCACAGCCGTACGGGTCTACACATCAGCCGAGTCATGGAGAGCACTGATAGTGGGGACGACTGACGGATAGTTTGTGTTGTGTATCACTTTGGGTTAAGAGATGGCGAGGATCAACGGGGGCGCAAAGATGGAAGGTGAAGCTTGAGCTTGAGGCCCCAAAGTGGGTACATGCGTCGAACGTATCAATACGGTGAGTCACCGCTCGATCTTGACTGACTTCACATTGTGCTCCGTGCCAGTGGTTGATGCATCGATGGAGGATGAGATTGAGGGATGCTCTAGGGAGAAGGGTACTAGCGAGCGCGGGAGTTGATGCTTGTTAGAATTAACAAACATCAGCGATGCGCCAGGTTGGATAGACAGGATACATCGCTCGCCTCACCCTCATCCCAATCCACTGTCCCATACCGCCTTTGCCCGTTGACCCTGGGAGATGTGCGGGCATGCATGAAAAGGTGGAGTTCAAACACCACCGTACGCCCAGTTTACCAATTTGCGGAGTGACTTGGTATTTCATGGACGTGTTGCGTCAAAAACCGAAGTGGCATAGCTCCGTATTTTGCAAGTACTATATCAAAAGGCTTGCGTGTTCGGAAACGATGTTTGAAGTGCGTTGCATTCCACTAAGTTTCAAACGCCTTCCACCTCGGATCCATAAGATAAGGAAATGATTATAATGATACATATACAATACAACAAGCTGCGATGAAGTCCTCAAGCCTCTATGCCCCGAAACCGTACAGAGTCCGCCCTGAGCGCTTCAGAGCGTAAACAACATCAAGGGCAGTGACAGTTTTCCGCTTTGCATGCTCAGTGTATGTTACCGAGTCACGGATGACCTACAACAAACCATCAGTATGAATACTTGAGTTCAACGAGTACATGCACACACGTTTTCAAGGAAGATCTTAAGGACACCACGGGTCTCCTCGTAGATAAGACCAGAGATACGCTTGACACCACCACGACGGGCGAGACGACGGATAGCAGGCTTTGTTATACCTAGGCACACAGGATTAAACAAAAAAGACAAGAGCAATGATAGCCAAATGACTCACCCTGAATGTTGTCACGAAGAATCTTGCGATGACGCTTGGCACCGCCCTTTCCGAGACCCTTCAAGATGTCAGAGTGGAACCAAAAAAACACCGACTCTGGGGCTCACCTTGCCACCCTTTCCACGGCCAGACATTGTATTGAGTTGAAAGTGAAGTGTTGTGAAGTGTGAGTTTACTGGTGCTGTGACGCGGAAGATACAGGAGCACCACAATCAACTGCGAACTGTTATATACCGAGGCGCGTGGCTGTGTTGAATTACTACATCTGGAATGTTGATTGGAACACGTGATGTGACGCGACGCGTCTGTATATAGGCCACGGCAGAGACATATGCCCTTTCCCATACCAACATCCACATATCAATTCTTTGTCCAATTATCCTTTCTCATTAAACAATGGCTCGCACTAAGCAAACCGCTCGCAAGTCTACTGGTGGTAAGTCACACTTTGGGTCTACAGCATTGGACAAGAGCTCATTAGCTACCAGGCAAAGCCCCTCGTAAGCAATTGGCCGCCAAGTCTGCTGCCCGCAAGACTGCACAAGCAGTGTGTACAATCTTTCAACCATTTGGAGTCTTCTCACAATTATTTAGAGCACTGGTGGTGTCAAGAAGCCCCATCGTTTCCGTCCCGGTACCGTCGCTCTTCGTGAGATCCGTCGGTACCAGAAATCAACAGAGCTGCTCATCCGCAAGCTCCCCTTCCAACGACTTGTTCGTGAAATCGCACAGGATTTCAAGGTTAGTTATGTCGTATTTTAACTGCATTCGTGTCTGATCGCTTTTGCCAGACTGACCTGCGCTTCCAATCATCGGCTGTGATGGCTCTTCAAGAAGCTGCTGAAGCATACCTTGTCTCATTGTTCGAGGACACCAACTTGGCTGCTATCCACGCCAAGCGTGTTACTATTCAACCCAAGGATCTGGCTCTTGCACGGCGGTTACGTGGGGAGCGTTCATAGACCTGACATCTTGTTATTCGTATTTGTGGTGTACCTTATTGTATTTCTATATATTTTACCTTTGGCATCCCCATGTGTGCTTATTCGCAGCGTGACTGGCAACGTTGGCCTCTGAAGATATGATATTTGATGCGTCTCATCTGAAGATAGAGTACTACAAGGTCACGATGTATTGAACCTGAACAAATATATCAACTTGGATGCTTAAACTATGTACCGAAGTACATTCATCTGAAAGGGATTGGTGGAGAAGTCCACATTTTTTCGGACAATGGAAGATACAGTCATGAATATAAAAGACATCCACACGAGACACAATGAAGACTCCGTGAACCCTTGAACAAGACTCCACACGTGACCACGCGACGCGATCCTATAAAGCAGTCTCACTTCAAAGACATTGTGCCCAGGACCATACCCCAACCAAGTGAGATCTAAACTCTTTATCAATACTGTACTCTTTCTATCAATGGCCCGCACCAAACAAACTGCCCGCAAAAGCACAGGCGGTAAGTCGCCGTAACCTTTCCGGCTCACTGCCACCCATGCTCATTCACAACCAGGTAAGGCTCCTCGAAAGCAGCTCGCAGTGAAATCGGCGGGAAAAAAGGCTTCCATACATGCACATGCGGTATGTTGTACCTTTCTTTCCAAACCCATTTAACCTCCTTCCCTCAGGCAACCGGAGGTGTCAAGAAGCCACATCGTTTCCGTCCAGGCACGGTAGCCCTTCGCGAAATTCGCCGCTACCAAAAGTCCACGGAGCTGCTCATCCGCAAGCTTCCCTTCCAACGCCTTGTCCGCGAAATTGCACAAGACTTTAAGGTCAGGATTTACGACAATGGAATCACATTGAATTCATTTAACATTATGCCGCAGACCGACCTTCGATTCCAATCATCGGCCGTAATGGCCTTGCAAGAAGCGGCTGAGGCGTACCTTGTGTCGCTGTTTGAGGACACCAACTTGGCTGCTATCCATGCCAAACGTGTGACTATTCAACCGAAGGACCTTGCTCTTGCTAGGCGGCTGCGCGGCGAACGTTCGTAAAAGTTTTATCAAACACCCATCAATCCTCTTTCCTGCGGCACGGCTTGCTATATCTGTTTGTTCTTAACTTTGTATTATTTCCTATAATGAGCAGCAGAAATGAGACTTATCTTCTTGCTCTTGTGTGACCTGAGTTGGATTGTGTATGTTTTCCAGCCGTGCAGTTGCCAGCCTTTCAGGCAACATATCATTTCATCTACAAAGTGGCAGTTCTGACTCCACCTAAAGTCGTGACCATCACGCACCACTGGATAGCAGGTAGGCAATCATCAAGAGCTCCCGCAAAACAAATTGTGTGCGAGTACCGGCGATGAGCAGCTTCAGGCACTGAAGCAAACTCTTTGATCATTGCAATCAAGCTCGTTACCAGGCAGCACACATGCAGTGTTGTCCACTTTGTCCAATTCGTCCATGCCAAACGTCGGCCAACAAACTTCCCTTCCCCTTCCAATGCCACGTTCGTCAGGGCTTCAAGCTTCGAGGTCAAGGCATGTTAAATCAGGCCCTACTGAATTCGCCTGACAAGTTTCTGTTGCAGATGGCTCTCTGGGTTCCATTCTGACCGTGATCCATGCTAAGCGTGTGACTGAATATTCAACTTGCGCGGCGACTGTGTGGCGAACGGAGGAATCTCACTCATATTCGTTAATCTGAAGTGTAATATATTGAGATTCTCACAGACCATGATGACTCATCTCAGAGAACGCACTTGCTGACTAAGTCACAAAGCTATCCTTCTCTTCCGAATTCCGATACAAGCACACTGACCTCTTCCCTACCTTTGTTGTAACTCGTGTGTGGTACATGACTTGCATATGAAACTCATGCTTCGCCCTGAATGGAGGCTTTGGCCGATCTCCACTTTCCTTGGTGTTACTGACCTCAAAACTGGCGTCACTGTTGTCCTATTGTTTGCAGTAAGCATCGTGGTCTTTTCCTTCGACCAATGTCGCGAATATAACTTACCTCGCAGCTCCTCAACAAAGTAGCAGGCGTTTACGGCTTGATTGCTGTCATAACCGGTGCAAACAGCAACTTTGCACAGCTCAGTCTGTATATATATTCAGTTCTCGGTCTCGTCGCCTTAAGCTGGGGACTGAAATCCGTCAAAGATGTTCGTTGCTCTAGCACAATACTCAATCAGCAACTGACATCGTCTTTGTTTGACAGGAAAACCCTCAGCACACACTCTATTTTGCGTACTTCTTCTTCCTCGACCACATCTTCTCAACAATTTGGACGGTATTTTTCTCCATTATCTGGTGGACTTATACCTCGCATGATGGGCAGCAAATATCCAATTCACATGCACAGGAGGCCATACGACATGATGCACCAGTTGTAAACCACACTATGTCAGATGAGCAGCGGGCTCTGGAAGCGAATATTTTGTGGCACGAGGAGAAGGGCACTGCCATGGGCGTCATCATTATCAGCTGGCTTGCAAAGGTACATGACCACCAATTTATCCACATCACTTCCTCAATTCCCAAACTACACAGATATATTTCGCACTATTACTCTACTCATACGCCACACATCTCCGCAAGGGCTCGTACAACTCCATCCGACACTTGCGTTCGCATTCAAGCACTCCCGCCGGCTACACCGCAGCACTGACCGAAGAGGAGGATGAAGTTGACGATTTTTACCTACCCTCAATACGAAAGAACCAGCCCTCACACGCTTCAAATGACTCTATATCACACCTTCCAAACGGCTCTACGCCGTATTTCCCCAACGGCTCTGCTTCATACACCCCGAATGGCTCATCTTCCCATATTTCCAATGGCTCGATATCGCATCTGCCCGATTTTGTGAGCGCCCCAGGAAGACACGGGAGGAAGGCGAGCAGGGGCTCGTCAGGCAAGACCAATATACCCGGAAGGAAAAGTGAGGGGAGCAGGGAGGTTATCTTTGAAGACGATGGGTCGTAGACTCGTGGGTAATATACCATTTTTTGTGTTGTGTGGCAATCTATCAGCGAGCATAATATTTACCATAAGATGGCTGGCAGTCCTCGACGTTGATTCTCCATGAGCAATGTGACAAGGGTGTCAGTCACGTATTGGCACTATCTTTAGGATCTTATTTTCTCGCTGGCAAGCCTTCGTATTTAGCGCTGGAATCTTTGGTGGTTGAATGTTTCCCGGATCGTGAATAATATGGTCTAGTACACATCTGAGTATCCAATACCTGGAATTTGATATAATTTAACTACATCAAAGTTCGTGAGCTCCACAACATCCATATCTCCGTTTACCAGAAGCAAAGCACGTCGAAGGACACCGTGTTACAACGTCAGCCTGTTCGCGACTTCTTTGCCTCGGGACCCTCGTTCGGGACTCGACCTTGCATTGCACGCGATTCAGATTCCACATTTTCTTCCAAGAACCTTTCCCCAATATCCCGCACCCATTTACCCCCCTCGGCTCCTTCAAACAGCCATACGTGGCTAAATAAGTACTCGATCAAGCAATGTACAGGGATCGCTATATAGTTTGACGACATACCTCTTGGCAACACGAGTGGGCTCGGGTTTGCCCATCATTTCACCTGAGGTGCGCTTTGCTGGTCTCGCTAGTGACGGAACCTCGAGGCGCTTCCCCACTGGAGGTGGCAACTCCCACGCAAGCTGTTCACAGAGGTGTTGAACAATGTCATCTGCATTTCCAAGAAGGACGATCTAATCGTCACGAACAGGTGGTTAGTGTCATCGATATCCGAAAAGGAGGTCTGTGTACGAACATCAGGGTTAATATGTCGGACAGGAGTTTTATTGATCAGAATCTACAACTCTTGGCTCAGAGAACAAACAGCACGCTGATAAGATAAAATACCAACCTGGGGAACCGAGTGCGGAAGATGCGCTGCCGAAGGTCAGGTGCTCATCTCAGAATCGTATACATTTTCAACTTACAGAGAATCTCGGATACAGGTGAGACTTTCAGTGAGGTTCCGATGACGATCAACAAGTCGACTTTATCTCGATCGTCCTCGAGGGCGTGATCAAAGTCATCCGCGAGCTTCTCTCCAAAGAAAGTGATGTCCGGCTGTGCACTCATGCCATCAGGAACTCGCATGAACAGAACAACAGGAGGAAACCAACCTTCATCACGCCAACTGGTATTGCCTCATCCTCTTCATCACTCCCCTCCTCCCATTCCTTCCTACCTCGCTTCTTGGCCTTTTTCCTGAAAGCAGCCTGGCGGACTTCCTCGGCTGTCCTCTTGGCCTCCATGCACACAGTGCAGAACGGGACACGATGTTCCATGATATCCTTTTCAATTTCGTTCCCTGGTATACGCCGTTTGCACTGAATGCACGTCGCAGTCGCAAATGATCCATGACACTGCAATACACGAGTAATTCCGGTGAGTGTTTCTAGTGTGTCAATGTTCTGGGTGTAGTTCTGGTGATGACTTTCGTCAACTTCAAGCAAGGAGAGGGAATGACAGGACTTACCCGGAGAAGCTGTTGATAACCTTCGTAAGGTTCATTAACCCTATGAAAAACATGCCACCTACCTTGCCCCTATCTTCTATAGCTTTGATGAATCGATGACAAGGAGAAGGTATAAAGTTAGACGGATATATCTGGCTGTAATTGTTGCATCAGTTGAAGTATTGTCTCTCGGGGTCGGAGCAACAACCTCGCAAATGAGCTTGATGGCTACAATTTCAGCCTGTGGTCAGATATTATAGAACATTCATACTTACTAGAATACTGCGTAAAGCGAATCCAGGTTAACGACGTCTCACAGAAGATGAGATCTCTCACCTGCAGGATTTTCTCTAAAATAGTGTATATCGAACCTGACAGGTGTCAGATTGGGAGCATATAGAATAGCTGAGCATCTCACATCTGTTGAGGGTCATCGAGCTCATAGGTCCCCCGTTCTTTCAGCATCGCGTACAAGCCATTATGCGACCCTAAACAACCCTTGAAGATACCGCGTTCAAAGTGCAAAAAAGGAGAGTCACTCACTGAAGTCTGGAATACCGCATGAGACGCCTGTGCACAGATTCAGTGATGCAGTCTTGATCGAGAAGGGGAATAGACAGACTAATGCCAGCGCCAGTGAGCACAACCATGCGCTTTGAGGCTTGGATTAGGGAAACCGCGTCGGCAATGGTGTTATATTGAGACAGTTTTTCCCTGAGATGAAGCCTTGTGTGTGGAACATTAGAATCATCGTGAGCGATGCTCAAGAGGGCCTATGGATTTTTACCCACTCTTTAGACATCGCGACCCGCAGAAAATATAGCATTGTTTGAGGTTGCTTATTCCGCAATTCAGGGCACTATGGTCCAAGTTAACGAGCTCCATTGTATGTGTGCAGATCAAACGACGGAGTTACCAAGGAAATCCCGAAAGCAAACAGAAGTTTCACTATCGGAATATTTTGAGTGATGACATATTCTCTGACGAAGGAACTCATTCCTGTAGGAATGTGATGTAGCGCATGAGATTTGAGCCCACACATTTTTTGTTTGTGAGAACGTGAGCTTACCGCGTTCTTTCAAGTGATGCATCATCTTTCGAATTTCTTCCTTCGACCATGCTCCATCTGCTAAGGCGACATCAGCTCAATGACACGCTTCATCGATAAGAAGTTCCATGGACTGCACTCCCATACTTCGACATTAAATGAATATACCTACCTTCCCGTTTCAATTGTTCTATGACCTCGGTTTCCACTTCGAGATCGTCCAGGTCGCCACTCTCCTCTATAGCACTGTGCCGCTCATGCGCAGGGAAAGCCAGATTTTCTGAGTCCGAGTCATCATCTAGGTCGCTCTCTTGGACTTCCTCTTCTTCGTCTCTATCTTCCAAACCTTCGAGCAAGTCCTCGATTGTATCTGGGTCCACGTCCACATCCTCTGCAGCATCTATGAAGGCTCTCAACTGAAGAGCATATAATGCGCTATATGTCTTTGGTTTGCCATTGTCTCTTGCGGCAGTTTCATGATCGTTGGGGACATTATGTTGCCCATTCAATGTGCACATTTGTGAAAGAGGAAGGAGGTGCACCTGTAAAAGTAAGCCCGTTAAGTAATAGTCTTACTCTCCATTCGGTGTAGCTCAGCTAACGAGTATACTTTGAGGTGTACTTATCTGGTCTTCCACAAATTACAACGCCTCTCGAGCCGGTTGCAACTTGCAAGGCTCAAGCGCAAGCCCTCGCCAAGCGTTTGTCCAAGTCGAAACTGCATCATCACCCATTTCACGTGATCACTATTAATTTAGTATACACGTGACACCCCTGATATTGTATGTTATCCGAGTTCGTACGCGTCCTTCAACGACTCGGATGTCTCTAAGTTTTGACACAACCTCGTCATGGAGAGCTCTGATTTTGGAGACGATTTCGACGAGGATGATCTTGAATCACTGGTTTATAGCTCTCCAAGTGCATATACCCACACTTTCACCTCGCCAGCTCCAGAACAATGCGAAAGCCAGCACAAGGACATCCGAGTCCTTGCAGCAGACCAAAACAAAATCACTCACATAAAGACACCTCAACTTCCGATCGAGGTCGTCGATTACATTGCTTCTTTCTTGTTCGACTCTTGCCCATCTGGCTGCTTCTTCCATGTCCACTCGTTCTCTCTGGTCTGTTCTCAGTTTAGACATGTCGCTCTGCGTCATTATTTTTCTTCCATTCGCGTTGCGTCTGCAAAGCAACTTGCTGCATATACAAATTTTCACTTCTCATTGGTTTCCCGTAATGCCCCGGGCGATAGTGTTGGACTCGACTACGTCAAGTGCGTTTTCTCACACATATATGCTCACACACACTCACCGATAAACTTGACAGAACACTTATAGCACCATCGCACGCTCTTGAAGCAGCATCATGGAATCCATCTCTCTATAGGAACCTGAAACACCTGATGATCTCTTTCTCATTGGACGGAAGACAATCTCAGACAACCCGACTCAAGCGCATCTTCTCCCCACCGGCAATCCCCCAGCTGGTCCCGTGGTTTCCTCCTCAACTGACGTCTCTCACAATGACAAAGCTCTGGCGAATTGACGTACCTTTGCTCAAAACTGTTGCATCTGCGTTCCCTTCTGTGAAGATTCTGCACCTCAGTTGCTCGGAACAGTTAGACGTATCCTGCTGCTGGACTTGCTTTGAAGAAAGCTCAACTGCAGTCGTGCACTCGCCAATCCCGAATTACTTCAATGACATCACGAAATTGACGGTACGATGAGCTGTGTCACCTTATTTTCAACAAAATCCGACGCTTGACAGGACAACTTCGCGGATTCGCTGGAACCACTGACCCAGTTGACTGATCTTCACCTTGGCATTTTTCTTTCAGATGAGGAAATGGTGGAAAAGCATATCGAGCACTACGACACCCCATTGGAATTCGACCATATGCATCGAATAGCGTTCACTTCCAAAGCTGCATCTCCACCCACCGGAAACGTTCTCAGTCAATTGGAAACCGAGACTACCACTGGACTCATATCATATTCAGTAGACCAAGATGACAAAAAAGAAGAGTCTCACTCCGGAACCTGTACGGAAGATTTGCCCTTTCCTCATGGCCCAGAGCTCTGCCGTACATGCAAGCTTTTCGGATCCGCCTCCAAGGTACGCACACGAGAGCTGGAGGCAAGTCTCGCGCTCGCAAGGAAAATCAAAACATTACGCACGATCAGCTGGAGTTCGTTCTTCACATCTCAGGTCTTCGAGCCAGACGACAACAAGGCCGGCGATTGGCTTAGGAGGACTACAGCCTACATTTTACGCGCGAATGGGAGGGTGCGAGTGCGTAGGAGACCTTGGTAGCGCATAATTTTGCAATCAGATAAGCAAACGTTTCTTCTCCATTCATACCCAAAGCAGCGTCTTTTCGTATATGGAATGTTCCCCGTATTCTGTTACGATGTATTGCACACAATTGATGTCCCCGTCTACGATCTCATCATTCAAAATATTCAAGGTGTGGCTTGAGCGACAAGAGGATAGCATCATCGGATAGAAAGAAGGGAATCAGAGGGGCTCGGAACAATGGGCTCGTGGATTGTGCCACTCGGGAGTAGTTCAGCACATGGAGTGTGGTCAAGTCCACAGCTTAGACTGATTGTCAAATCACACAAGGACGTCCACAGAATTAGACACATCCACTGTGACCATTCAGTAGCCGAGAAAATTATAAGGACTGCCTGACGTCCGCGTTACTCCCTCGTACTACATTGGGCGAACAACTCCCAAGTGGCTCTGAAAGTATCACTCATCAACTCCCAAACCTCGTTTACTTACACTCCAGTATGACTATTGCCATTACAAAAGGCAATCCTAAGACAGCTGAATTTGCTCGGCTTTTCGAATTATTTGATCGCATTGCGACACGGCGCGCCAGGGGATCTACGGAACTAGCAATCTCGATGGACGACATCCAATCAGTTCCTGCCGAATTCGCACCAGTCCTGAAGAATTTGTCTACTGTTCTTTCTTTACGCGCTCAACGCAACCAAAAGCGCCTTCACAAGCCCATAGGACGCCCCCGTCGCAACACTGTCGGTATTGCACCTATGACACAGGATACCATCGACGAAGTGGAGGATGTAGGGAGCCCTTCATTTCCCCTCGAAGAGCATCACCCGTTTACATTCAAGCTTATGCTCCACAACTTATACAATGTCGACGAATGGGCCCAGAAGGTGAAGAGTGCTGTAGAAGTGTCAAAGGAACAGTTTAAACCACTGGCGGAGAGGGTGCAAGAGATGACGAGGGAGGGTGCAGGGAAGGAGCGAGTTGTAGGGAGGAATATTAATGTCGTGCGGTCTAGAAGTCAGTCCGTCATAAACCCGAAGTCCAAAGGGAAAGCGCTTTCTCGAGAACAAGTTCCCGCATCGCCAGTACGTGCGAATGACTTTGGCCGAGTCTTGAAGAAACGCTGCGTTGGGAGGCGCAAATCTATCAGTGGGCCACTTGCTGGGAGTGTATGGGTTTACGATGCAGCCATATCTGCTGTCGAGCTGGATGGTGGTCGCCCATCCCTGGAAATTACGATTTCAAAGTCCAAAGACGCCTTGTTGAACAATACCGGTATGCGGTCTCGTCATCAGTCTCTCGCTGGACTGGAGGGTATTCAGGATAGGGACACGACTCGTAGGAAGGTACGAATTGCAGTGCCCTTAGCGCAAGATGATGTACAGGGCGCTTCAGCCCTTGACGAAGAGACCCATTCGCGCAGTGGCCAACAAGGCAACATTACAAGATATCCTTATCGTAGGATTACTCCCGCACGCGGACTGTCGATGATACCTGACGCTGGATCGTCAGGTCAGCACATGAAACGATCTCTTAACGCACAGTAGTTTGGTTGGAAGTAGATGTCTCGTAGTCTGGACATTCACGATTCAGTTTGTATATCATACGGCTTCAAGTTAACTATCACGTACATCGACTGTTCCCCAGTCCATACCCCATACTTCCACTGTAGTTTATCACACTTTTCGATGCGACGATCACCGTGATGGTTCAGAGAGGTCAAGATTCGAGTAACAGGCCTTGGTACGACCTGCAAAGAAATTATGATGACTAGGCCTGTACGTGTCCGTTATGATCCCATGCCCTCAATTGAGATGGCCATGATGATTGAACATTAAGGTCGAGTCTCTGTAACAAAATGAATAGAAATCCTACCTAGTCCTATGACCATCAAGTAGTAGGTTCTCGGAACCCACCAAGTTTCCAAGCAGCCAAAGACAGCCTAGAAAATGGAAATATCAAAACTGAGAAGTCACCAGGAGTCGTGAAAAACTTCGGCTCAATGCTAGCCAGCTGAACAGCGAAGGCATAGTACAGAGAACACTCAGTGAGAAAAACAAAAAGCAGAAGCAGCAGACGAGTCGGAGCCTGCTGGCCAGGAGCGTGGCGCGAGCGCTCAGTACTCAGCACTGATCATGAGCGTTTTGAATTTTGAATTTTATATTTGGCCATCTACGTCGAAGCCGTTTGATCAGAGGCCTACAAAACTCGAAACTGATTTACATAAATTCCCGCTACCTTTAGGTAGCTGGGTCTTTGTCGACCGTTCAGATGGAAAATAACACAGAATTTGCACATTTGCAAATTCAATCGTATATAAATGGCAATATTTTCTCGTCTCTAGGGTGTTTCCGTTTGTTTGTATCTGACGCTCGAAATTGATTCTCTTAGCATCGCATCTTGTATTGTATCCAAGTCCAGTGTCGTTGCCGTGCAGCTCTACCCACCTTGTCCAGTAACTGCCTTTGGTGTACCGGGTGGCAAACGGCATAATTAGGTGGAGTTGGCATCGCAAGGAAAGGCTCAAAGTCTCGGCCATTGTCCTGGAATGATAGTCTGATGTGCCATCACCTTATTAAGTTATACAAGATACAAGGTATGTTACCACTAATTGTTTTTGGGTCAACTAAGCTGTATCATACTACTCATTTCATGAAGATGTTTCCGATTTCAAGTGTCCGATTACTAACAGTAGGACTCGCATGTCATAATATTTCAAATGATATTAGTAGTGAACGCATACCGATCACAAAGTAAGGACCTTTGTAAAGCCAAAGACGCTATACACAAAGACCAAAAGACCAAAAGTCAGACGCCGAAAAATAAACTCGAAGTGATCCCTCCGTCGCGACTACGGGGCTTGCAAGACCACGGTCAGGTCTATAGAAAGCAAACCGCGCACGGTCAGCGCGCCTTTTCAGGCCTGGAGGCCTGAGAAGCTAGGAAGGGATCACAGAGTAAGAAAAGGACTCATCACACACTGACATCTTATATATCTTTGCTAAGCGCTCGATCCGCTCAGCGCGCAGCCTGGGCCTGATTCGCATCCAATAAACATTGGCAGTAGTTTTTAAAAATAAGCACGAGAAGTGAACGTTAACCACGGCGTCCGTTCCCACACACGAGGTAGCGGGCCCTGCACGACTTATGAATTTTTCACTATTTTTGAACCGCCACAAACACGTGAGTCGAAATGAGTGTATTTGTACCGTCCGCGTCAGTCTTCGACTTCGCATATTGCATCACACGTGCGTTTTTAAATTTTAATTGTCTAGCCATAACGTTGAAATTACTCGGATATCACTTTGGCATTACACCACATGCACTCTCATAACTTGTCGTCAACAGAGCGCAAATTCCGTATCGCAAAGTGTGAACTGCGCATCTTGTCGCTCAGTTACGAAGAACGCTAGAGGACAGATAATTGCAATAAAATGATAGGGAAGTGACGAGACGTGGTGCGTGAAGCATGCTATCTGTCATACAGTTTCTCCTTGTCAACACAGATTGAACGGACACATCAGGAGGACTATTCCGCGCAAACTCAGATACAAATTCAAGACAGGTCAGGTTTCTGGGGACCCTCTTAGTACTTACTCCTGCGCAGCGTCCGTGGGTGCTGCCCACGCTGAGATCACCCTCCACGGAAGACGTGCTTGCCGTTCACGGAGAACATGACCAATGTCGTCGGAGACGAGTACTGGAAGATGGCAAGTCGATCAGAGAGCTGCCACAGACGGACATGACTTGAAGCGACGAGCATACTAGCAGGATTTGACGATAATGGCAGCGATATCGTGAGTGCGGCCCATTCTGGCATCAATTCAAAAAACAGGATGGTACCGTGCGCGATTGGTCACCGGTCAATGCTCGTGCATCCATTACATAAATTCTGTCATCTCTGGTAGCGTTCAGTGACATGCAAGATGAGGAGTGCTGGATCAACCGCACGGACACTGCATAACGTGGTGGAAAAAAAACGCAGATAGACAAATGAAGAGTGGAAGTTCTGCTCGCAGGTTCAATGGGCCAGGGTTGTTCGTCCTCCGAGGGTTTCTGTTGGTAATACTTCATATCTACACAGCTGGGCCCAGACTGTGATCCGGGCTAACACACCGTGACTATGCTGTGAGGTCTGCGGCGGTCACGAACTAGAGATTGTCGTGATAAGACCAGTGGTCACGGTGACTAGCCGACTTTGAATGGAGGAGTCATGCACTGCGGCGGGACCCGCCCCTCAATCTGTCAGTGCTAGCAGTGGTTTATCAGGTGCCTTTGTTCCGTCGATACACAGACACTCACAAGAGTTGATTACCCTCTCCTTCTGAACATGTTCAGGCCATTCCATGCACCTCTCGAGGCATGGTCACGGTGGTGCTGTTGACATAAAGTGATTTTGCATACACGTGACTAGGCGCATTGTGATCAAGTTCGTTTATTTCGTGGCAGTGCTGATTTAACTGGTATAACAGAGTATAAATACAGCGTGCCTACTACAAGATACGTCTCCCATTTCCCGTCCCCGATTTACGTGCATTACTTTCTTCACTACTCATTCTCAACTTCAACTCGCCTTACAATATGATTTCCGCTATCTTCGACGGTGCTGCTCATGTCACCGTCGCTGGGTGCCTCGGAGCATTCTTTTTCAAACACACTGTGGTGGATCGGACGTCCAAGGCCATCAAAGAAGCGGAGAACGTCACCGCTGGCCTGGTCATAACCGAATTCTGTATTTCTGTCGCGGTACTAGTTCTAGCTTCCGACGAGACCGCCCGGATACTCCTCAGCAAAGATGGTCAACCCCCTCCGAAGCACAATTTAGCCGAGCTCAATGCGCCTCTAATTTGCAACAAAGTGTCCGATTTCTCTACTGCAGCAGACTCAATTTTATCAAATCCAATCGCAACCGAACCATGTAGCACTCCGCCAATTGCATCAATCACAACCGAACCTTGCAGCACTCCGCCAGACCTAATAATTTCACTGAATCCAATTGCAGATGACTCTTACTGCACTCCACCATCTACTGCACGTTCTCCTTTGTGCACGCCGATACCGCTGACTCCGCCGGTTCCGAACACGAAGCGCCTCTCAATCGATTCCGACACGACTGTCGTCGACCATGATGACTTCATGAAGGACTTTTCTGGCGCGGATCTTGAGGAAAGCAATATCCCCCAGGTATGAAGTCGCACAGTCTGCTCATCTTTATTGCTCAATGTTTGAATCTTTATAGGACGACAGCGACTGCTCCAGTGGCTACCTACTCCCAGGGACGAAAGCACCAACAATCGATGACTCGAGTGGACCCTCTCAGCGGACGCAAGTCCAGCCAATCCTGGAGGATGGAAATCTGACGACCACCGACATTTTGCTGCTCGGGGACGCTTCGACTCAAACGATCGCGACGCCCTCTCTTGGCAGCATCCTGCCTGAGATTGTCTCGCCTCAGCTGAAACCCCCGGATACAAAACGGCATCAGAATTTCCGCCCGGGAAAATACAAGGTATGAGCGTGTTCGTTGCGAAGCCAATGCACTCACCGTCATTTGTTAGCGCGAATCTCGATCCGCTCGCTTGGCCGCTGTCTGTGGCAGCATCGAACGCACTCGCTCCAAGCAACAAGAACACGCTACTGTGATCAGTGAGTGATTTCCGGTGACATTCGCTTCGTTTGTTGATTTAAAGTAGTAGATGACCTTGAACAACTACATGACGATCTCCTCACCGACCAAACCACTCTTGTCGACGGCTGGGCGGCTACCATAGCCCAGCTTAGACTCACCTCTATGCTGTCGCCTTCACCACTGCTTCTGGATCAGAAGACGCCCGACCCAGGAAATTCGATCGAAGTCATTCAAGACCCACATCTTCACACACCATGCTACTCCCGAGGTCCCCTACGACCAAACCCCGAAGATCTGCAACGGCCTCCCTCGCTGTCTCCTACGACCTGGAGCTTCATGCCCGCGAGGTTGAAGGCCATCGCTGGCCGCGCACAAACTATGTCTTCGCGCCGCCCGGTTATACCTGCAGTCTTCGACGTCGGACGTCCCCTACGACCAATCCCGACACAACCACAACTGCAGCAGCGTGACCGCTTCCATCTTGTCTCAGAGCATTTGGAGTTGAAGGCCACCGACCGCGGCTCGCACTTACATCTATCTCAAGTCTCTTCTCTTGTCTTCGCCATCGTGTAAATGGCCCTCGATTTGTTTCTTTGTCTTTGCATTTCATTTCTCTTACCGGTATCTACTTCGCAGATCATGGACTGCCTGTGACTTATGGACACGTCTTCCTTTTATCGATATGTACCTAGCAGACGTTGAACTGCTCATTTCTTTTGTGACTTGTCGGCACGACATGCCTTGTTTCTTAGTTAGTTTGCAGCTGAATCTGGTTTTCTTCACTTGATATGCTCTCCGGAAGAACCGCCTGAGGTTGGTCGTGAGCGCAAGTGAAAAGTGGTCGGTTCTGCACATGTGTCAAAAACACGAACAAAATCCGTCAAGGAGATGGATTCGATATTGCAAGGTATACGACGCGTGCATGAACCAAGCCCGGATCACAGAGGTTGATAGCTTCCTAGCTGAAATTATTATGAGTGTGCATGGTCAACGTTCAACTACCAATGACACGCGATAGAGCGGGGCGTCCCATCAGACCTAGGTCTGGGCGCAGTCACAGTAGCAGGTGTCCTGGCTCGTAGTCGGTAGTCCTCGCGCGTGTCGTAGTCTGTCCTTGAGCCATAGCCTCCCGGATCCTACTATAGAGGTCTGGCCTTGGTTCCCCTGGCAGTCCGTCCCGTTACAGCGAACATCCCCAATCAAAGTCAACGTCCGAAATCAAAGCAAAGCTGCGAAGGAGAGGTCACGTGTCACAAGGACATAATTCTAACCCCTATATAGAATAGCTACACGGAACTGACATTTAATCTCGTCAGATACATTTTCCTTCACATATATCTTACCAGGACATGATGAGTGTTGTGCAGAAAATAAGAAAGAAATGAAATCAGGTAAATGAGAGCACACCAACAGTAACAAAGATTGTGAAGTCGTAGAATAATATGTTATAAATGAAAGTATTCGAGGAAAAGAAAACTGCCCTTCTAAATGAATGTATGAGGATGATCGTCGTCTGCTGCGGAGATTACAAGTAGGTACTGGAATTATAATACTCTGTAAATCGAGTCCAAAAAAAGATGAATGAGAGACTGTTTGCACCATTGTGCCTTGAGATCGACATCGCGAGTAAGGAACGTGATAGACTATGAATCGGAAGCTCATACACGAATCAACCCGAGCCTAGTTTAGCTGGGATTTAGGAAATTCAAGCTGTTCTGGTTTTTCTTCATCTTGCATTAGCTGGCTGCACACTGTGCTCCGTTTTCGAAGCGAGGGTCCATACAAGAAAAGAATCTTCGGTGGTGGGTTAGTAACGAAGTACCGAGACATCGAAAAACTCACGAAAGGGACTGGAATGAGGATGACTGCGACGCCACCAAAGATAGTGTTGGCCCATTTGTATGTGAGCTTCTTGAACATTATGTGAGAGAAGAGAGGGAATCCAAAGCTACCCATGTTGCCTATGGTTGCTCAGCACGTGCATACAAAATACGAGTGACAACGTACGAGCTAAACCCTGGCCCGCCAAAGCAGAAGACGCCATTGGACCATAGCTGCATGAGCAGAAAATGTGAAACACAGATTACAGTGGAGATGGTACGAGGTACTTACCAGTCTGCCAGATAAATGAAAACCACCTGGTATGAAACAAATGAACAAAACATGAAGATCTGGTGAAAGTGATGCCTGATGAGCATTCCCGATCCTCGTATACATAGAAATGATAAACACACCGATAAACCGACAACAGGCCACATCCAGAAGATGCGAGAGTCCGCTGTCCATGCATAGATGAATATCGAGGTAGGCAGCAAGAGTGCAACTAAACAAGCGATGTATAGCCTTGCTTCAGGGCCCCTCCGAGACACGCATTTCCTAACAGATCGGTTGGGTGCGGTGCATAATTTTATTGTTACAATTGACTCACCGGTACAGTACATCCTGGTAGAAATTGGCAAAGAGTCCCAGTATACTTCCCACACTGCGAGGACAAATTAGGTGAGAGGGTCAAACGCTCAACATCAGGACACTTACACGACGGTAATGAACACTAATCCACTCTGCCCGACGTTGAAGTGATATATGTGCTTGAAAACCCCGGACACGGATCTGCTCGCATTACTTAGCGGCAAGTCCTCGCTGGAAACAACATATTTGCATACCCGATCTGGACGTAGAGCACACCAGACATGAAAAAGACCCAAATCTGTGGAGAGAACTTCAGAAACAACGAAATACAACGGGAAAGGCTACCGACGCATATACTAGTCACGATGGGTTCAGTGAAAACAAACACTAACCACCATCAGCACCACCTTGCATAGCAATCATCAAATGACGTACTGATTGGCCGAGTACACGACATCTTAATCATGGCACTCAATTTCGGCCGTGTCTCCTCTCCCCGGACGCGGTACCGATCGTCCCCAGTTTCCTTACAGAGTTTCTTGGCTATGCGTCGGAGGATAATTTGCGATCGGGTCTCCTCCATTATAAGTAGGCTGAGAAGGAAGTAGGTCCCCTGAACACTGCGTTGATTGTTATTGGAACGTATTATAATTCAGAAAAAGATATACGCGCATCGCTTGAATCCTCTGGATCCATCTCCATTGTAGATGAGGGTTCAGTTCCAGCCAAGCAGAGATGATCGACCCCAGACCAGTGGTAACCATGCTTACCATGGAGAAAACAGCCATAGGCAGGCTGCGCCTGGAATATGAAGTATAAAGTGAATTCAGGGCCACGGAAAAACGCAATCACGTACTCCTCAGGTCCCCATATATCGGCAATCGTTCCACCTACCAGTATTGCACCGGTCGAAGCAGAAGCACCGCCCAAGATACGTGCAACCATAACAGTTTGGATATTATCGGAGCTACAGTTCATCGATTATCAATCCAGTCCACAAGAAGCCAGAGCTGCGGCACACACAAAGCAGCAAGCACGTTGCACATAGCCCCGAGAAATACCGACACCAAGTAAATTGGTCTCCTCCCAATTTCCTGTAGGAAGCCATAAGAGCTGATCGACAACCTTGCTGTCATTTCATACCTCGCTCAGTGCGGACGTGAAGAGAGGAACAATACCAAAGCCTAGAGAATAAAGACAGTATGCAACAGTAGCTTGAAAGCGCGTGCAGTTAAGATCCCGTATCATGGAATCGTAACCCATAGCAAATGATGGAGTCGCAGGGGCTAAGGATGCCGATCAACCAGTAATATTTTGGGGGGATTAATAAGCCTTACAAGTGATCCCATTGAATGCACAAACGAACAGGGTAATGCACCATTTTCGCACCCATGAGTAGTTGATTGGATTCCTCGAGTCTCCACATCGAAACTCCACCTAGCAGTATTGATGTTAATGTAACGGACGGATGGGCAGAAAGGTGGTAATACTGACATAGAACGAATCTGTGGGGGAGACTATGGTCGACGCAGCATAAACCGAGTCTGTAGGCGAGCCTATGGCCGAGGCAGACTTGTTGGCGTTGGGAAGGGTCCCAAGGGATAGAGTCTTCACCGGACTGATGGGCACGTTGAGCAGCATCGAGGACATGTTTTCAGGGGCATTGTCCGTGCCCATAACTGAAATTGGAGAAGACTGCACCGGCTGGCTGGCTATGCGGAATGGGCTCTTATTACGACCATTGAGAACGTTGGCTTTTGAAGAGAACTGACACCGTCATTTTGGTAGCGGGATTGTCATATTCGAAAGTGGTTGCTTCATTTGTGAGGTTTCGGGGTGGGGGTGCATGTTACGTGTTCGGCGAATCTATTGAGATCGATCAACCTAGGGTCGTTTAGGCCATTGACGCAATCGAATGCCGTGTTTGTTTGTTCGGTTTCGTAGTGCATACTCGGAGAAGGCTTCCCGGCTCTTGGAGGACTGTATAGCCGTGGCATCATTATGAAGTGCTAGCACACAATTTACGAGTCAACGGGCCCATCAGCGTCAATGTGCGTTGGGCCGTGAAGACAAACGCACAGAAATGCAACCATACAGTTATCATATAACCCCGGCAATATTTTCGTCGTTCGCCTTAGTCACAAACCGCGTGGTGTCAGTGAGGGTCAAAGGCGAGTATTATAATATGTTCCGATTAGTAAATGTAACAGGACGGAGATCACGCCAGGTGGGATATCAACAGGAATGATGTTGGCCCTCAGGAGAGCGGAGTATACTACTCAGGCCGTCAGCTAGAGCTGCAAAAGCAGCTTTGGGGCAGACACACCGACTAGGAGTGCTTTCAAAGTTCATCTACTTTCTACCAACTTCAATATCAGCATATTCTACTACACCATTAGCATCCAAGGAGCCTCTTTGGACGCTTTCGCCGCGAGCTTTAAGGAGATCCTCGATATTTCTGAGTTTTCCATCCTCTGTGCTATCTTTGAACCAACCGAGATTATCCGCGATGAGATGCCTGACGGGGAAAATATAGGCTGTGAGATTTGGCAGCGACGAGATCGATGGGCCCGCACCTATTTTTGCATCCAGGGCATTGGACAATGACAATACCACGTTCGTATGCACGCTTCGTAAAGGTGTGCGAAGAACGATGAGAGCATGCTTCCGCTGTACAGGTAAAAATGATGCCTAAGCGAGCCTCTTGGATCGGAGAATCATCCTTAATCTGCTCCGAGGATGCAGACGAATGCGAAACCGACAAGTTTGCCCGAGGCGTGTATGGGTGCACGGACGATTTTGATCGCGTAGTTCCAAAGGAAAGACAAGCAGTTTGTGAAACCCTTCTAGATGTCAATTTAGTGCATGGTGTAACGTGGACACTGTAGGGTACACGGATATTGTTGATGTTACGAAAAAGTTTTGACGAAAACATCCTGCTCCAACTCTGAGTGACTGGTCCGAGTGTAAGGCAAGGTTAGCCGGCGCTTGGTGGCATTTGCTGCCGCAAAACTTAAATATTTAAATCTCCGCGACGCGATCCTACGATTACATAACGATGTCTGCTCATATTCTTAATAGCTCTGAAGTGCTTGGTGCTTGTGTTGGTGCACGACGTAGTGCTGCAAAACGAAATTTCAGCTCCTGACGGGTTGCAAGTTCTCAAGCTTCCAGCTCGGCACTTACAGTTACCTCAATGGAATTACCCGCTCAAGGGCGCTACCGTGACCGTGGCGAATATGCCACTGTCAGGAATTTACTCATCGTGCGGTGCGGTACGTTACTCATACTGCGTATATCATATGAAACCAAGAGGAGGTATTCTGTCAATGCACTAGTGCTACGTCATGCTCGGGCTCCATTTGTACATTCCGAACCAACAACACGTAAATTCGGTACGATACATGCTGAGTGACTCGGAGTATCTGGATCTTGTAGCCGCTGCAGTGTTAACTTGATGCGGGTAGACTGGTTTCTGAGAGCTTGCCGATCACGGTGGGGTACCCTTACGGCTGTCACTTGGCCGGGGGGAGCTGATATGCGGCAACGAGCTTATTTTCTGCGCGGCAATGACTCGGAGCGATCAAGCTGATTATAGGCCCACCGCTAACTCGAACGGTGGAGAGACTCGAAGGTATTATATATAATTTGAGCTACCAGAATGTGTTGTATTAGACATGTTGATCATTTCGGTCTGTTTTACAGCATGCTGTCCGTGGCCCTGTATAATATGGGTTTGTAAAGGCGCAAGAACTTGAGGGAAAGATTAAAGAAACTTAACCGGAGCAGCACGTCAGCCGAATAAAGCACACGAACAAGTACTAATATCGGGCACTTGCCACTCGATTTCGGTGGCGAGATACTAGGTAGTCAGATGTGCAGAACATGCCATCGGAAACTTGCGTACAGTATATCACGCAAATTTGCACTTAGCGAGGCCCTCATAGCAAGTCATCAAATGAAGAGTGTAATAGGTGCAAAAATCAGATTATGGGAGCAACAACATCAGCAGAATATAACATGAGCAGAAGCAACGTTACACGCCAAAATCGCAAAAAATACATGACAATGTCCGATATCTTGCAGGCAGCGCAGCATTGATCGCGACTGTCGGCAGTTGAAACGTTGAAAGTTTGTGGTCCGACTTATTGTGTTTGATCCGGCCTAGTTCTGCAGACAAGTAATGTACGTACATACATTTCTAATTGGACTCAATGTCAAATCCCTGAAGTGCCGTTAAACCTACTTATTTGAATCACGATGAACGTCATCTTATTAACTTGTGAGGTATCAAGAAATGCGCAAATCGCAGAGGCCCCTGAACGGTCCCGCCAGCTGATCCGGAGTAGGCCGCATCATCCACTGGACATCCGAATCCTAAGATCATAAGTGGCCCTGGCTGTCGCATGTTCCGCCCCACATTGAAAGCCGTTCGTGTTCAATTTCTGGAGCAATTGTGACATGAGAAATTTCGTAAGCTGCGTAGCACTGCTGGAGGGTGTATTCCCATTTTGCAAGGCTAGAGACGTGGACGTGAAAAGAACCTGGAACAATGTTAATACGAATAATTTCACCTAGACGCTTGCTATTAGCTGTATTGCCACATGGGATTGAGAGAACTGCCAGATGCGGAGCAGCTTCAATTAGGATTTTCCAGATCTGCTTCCTGGAGTACAAAAATAAATCAGTGGTGTGAGAGCGAGATGGAAGATACCACATTGACTAAAGGGGGACCACGCTGCCAAAGATCATACTGCAGCTGCCGGATCAAACTAGAATGGAGAAGGCACTGAAGCCGAACAAATTGTACCGTGCTGTAAATAGCACGTCACCAAAATAAAATGGATTAGAACCCCAAAAGTCCTTCGAGAAGCTGCCTTCGGTGAGCTGGTGCCACTAGTTATGAAGGGTATAAATAAGCTGAGAGAACTTTTGAGTTACGCGTGATGACAACTGTATGAACAGTTCCGTAAGCAGTCCGAGGAGGCATAAATGGGTGTAGGGTCAACGCCACTGTCGGCCATATCAGCCGAAGTGCTATAGCCGTATGAATATATATTATACACAATAAAAAAGGATGAGAAGACATGTTGGATGATGGTCCTTCACAACGTCCAAGATAAAACTCGCACAACCAACGATTAAGACAAAGGCTAGGTCTATGGGCCAGCTGCGTCTCGATGAATCCCTCAAGTGAAGAGAAACATCGAGAATGCGAGAACCGAGAGGAAACGTCACCAAAAAATGCGCCTACAACACTATCGTGACATGAGGGTTTGAGCAATTGTGGCAAGAAACGGGACTGACAGAATACTGATAATGGGGAGAATGCTGAGGTTGGTGGTGATCTTGATGATGGATCTTAATGGAGGTTGCAAACTGACTCTATGCGGGTTATCTGTCCACTTCATGCCTCAAGGACCGAGGAGGCTGCCTCTCTTCATCGCCGTATCAAGTCTGAGCTAGAGGCACAGCATATGGAACGAGCGATACCGAGAATAGAATTGACGTGTGCAGTGTGTGTGGATGCAGACAGATACAGAACGCCTACTGTGGTGATGATATTATTGCGTGGGGACGGACTATAAATCAGCTGCAAGTGATACCGCATGAGAGACTAATATATACCTGGAGTACACCGCTAACGGGACACGGACCCATGAATCAAATCCAGCAAGATGAAGGACACGACGATAGGACCCGACGGGGACTTACACTTTTCATTGCCACAGTCGGTGGAAGTGATCGTATTCTTCAGTTGTTGCCGATACACCACATGGATCACAAGCCATGGCAAGGATTAGCAACGACACACGAACTGCCGGTCTTACAAATTATATCAGCGTCCCGCTGACAATGCTTTTGCAGCAGACACTGCTCTTGAGGATAATGATACCACGATCGTTGCATTGCAGGCTTAAGGATATTTTGCTGGTGGCGGCACCAATGATAGGCTAGTACTCATCCTGAAGGTACGCTCGCCATTGCAAATGATCTCAGGTGTGGCAACTCGCGGATACTGGAGCTGTGGTTCTGGGGCTCATATCTCCGTCATGGCATTCCGGCAATGCTCGAGTTTGTAACAGCAGTGCGGATGCATGCATACTGATCCCTCGCGTGGTGCATCTTCTACAACATCTTTGCGGTGCTTCCTGCATCACCCATCATGGTTCGCCCCAGTGGATCGGTGAAATGCTTGTTGTTCTCCTTGTAGTCGCAATTGGATCTGGGCTAGACGTTAGCTGGGTGTGGAGGATGTCGCACCTTGGAACGCATGTATATCCATTGTCACCCACCCTGCACACGATGCGGGTGATACTGGGTGAATTGTTTTTTAGTCATAGACTTCCGGAGATCTACGTGATATCATGTGTTTCATTCATTTCAGTGGAAGAGACCTGATGGATTGATGAACTCTGAGTTACGAGTGGATGCCGACAGATCATCGATTATTGTCGAACATATTCGAGATGAGTCATGGGTTTGGTATCTTGCCCACAGTGGTGTAGGCTCTTCGGTGGTAGAGTAAAGGCAACGTCCGTAATTTTTCATTCTTGAATTGACCCTCCGGCTCTTGGACATCCTCCACACGTAAAACACGTGCGATGAATAGCTCTGAAGCCAACCCACTACCGCCTTCTACTTGCTGCACCTCCGTTTCCCACTCCTCCATGCTCGAACGCAACCACCGTGTATCACTCAAGGGCAACGACCGACCAACCACAGCGCAGGAGAGCGCGCCTAAAGCACCTTTGATCACTGGGAGACCATCTGCAGACTGCGTCCACTGCACCTCCGAATTCGAAAAGGGATGCAGATCTGGACGGGAGAACAATTGTGCAATGTGGGGTTGTGCAGCAGAAAGGATATTGACGACCATATGGGACGACATTTGCATTTGGGGCTTTGATGCGTGGGCATTTAGAGCCAGAGCCATCCGTGAAGGGACGCGGAGAGAGAATGCGACAAGCGGATGCGGATCGAGCGCGATGGACGTGAAAGACGACAATGTAGCGCCATGAAAGATTAACGGTGGTTTTTTCTGGTATTGTATGGACGAATCACTTCGAGGTGCAGTTTCATGGTCTGGTAGGGTTGACGTGACTACCGCCACAGGCTGAGCTGTCTCTCGGAGAAGATTGCGCAGAGATTGTTTGACGAGCTTTGATTGCGCAGATGGCGCAGAGCTATAGCTTCGGAGTACGTTGTGATTCAGATTATGCGTCGTACGTCTGACAGCACTTGTGCATGACTGTAGCATATTTGAATTTTTGCTACATGAGATACTACCAAAACATCATTGGGAGTTGCTGACTAATACAAAGCATCATTTTCAAATGACCTTCACAGTGCACACTACGAGCTAGGGGATTGAGTCGACTACAGTAATATATCGTCATTTGTGCACGCATCGGCACGCCCATCTGAACACCCGACATCCGTCATCACCCACTCTGTTCTGTTGACCATCAAAAGTCGTTCGATGTGCCCACCGCTAGCGGCCCAGGTAAGTTTTGTTTGAATAGTGGAAATGTAGACTGATTGTATGATCCCTTGTGAACCATCACCGGCACCAGTAATAGACACTTCAAGGGATCGATTTTTGAGAGCTGTCATGAGCAATGCATCAGAATCAGACAGACAATCATCATCAAGGTCATCATCGTTGTCGAACTCATCGAGGTCATCGTCATTGTCGTCCAGCACAAACGCGAGCCCCATGTGCATGAGGATTTAGGCTTGCCATGTCAATGCAAGATGTGCTTGAAGTTCAACGTTCAGCGCTGAGCCTGTGTTGATGCGCTGCACACATCGGGTTACGGTGGCTGCGTCGGCATGCTCTCGGCAGCATTGCGGATCTTTTAAAATACCAACTGGATTAAGCTGGGCTCAGCTCGTGAGCTGAGCCCAAGAATTCAACAACCCTAATAATAAAGTTTATTAGCTGGGCAACTTAGGTGAGCCACATTCGCTTCACATAAATATCATATTGCAGCGCGTGAAGCACTCAACAATACCCATTAGATACCCACAATGATTTTGCTCACTCTCTCCACTGAACATGTTCGCAATACCGTCATCACCAACGAGCAAGGACAAGCTATTTACAAGACAAACACTCCGTCCAGACTAGTTCGCACCCGCACCACGACCATTCAGAAAATCAAGCCAAATGACAACCGGTATCATACGCACGACCAGTTTGATGTCTTAGGAGAGATCGAGTGGCACACATTTGTTTCGTCAAAGTTTCGATCCCATGGAACTGAAGTAAAGACGGAGGTGTTCATACCGAAGAGAGGCCTATGGGGTCGGTGAGTACATGGTGTCGTTCTAGGAAATCTGAGTCGCCATAAAATTCTGGCAGGAAGCGCGTCTTCACAGGACCAGATGGCCGTCCCTATCGCTGGGACCTCACGTCCAGAGTGGTAGTTGTGAGTACACTTCCACTTCATTGATCCTGATGCCTCTGTTTTTCTCATCATGATGACGACTCGGATTCTAGCTCTCGCGGGACGATAAGCCTCGAACAGAGGTCGCTCGCTTTCATAGAGCGACTCTCGGAATTATAGGAAGGAAACGTAAAGCCACGTTGGAAGTATCTCCTGAAGTGGCTCATATGATGGATACTGTCATCATGACGTTCATCTATGTCGAGCAACTCAGGAAGGACAAAGAAGAAGCCTCGAGAAGAGCCGCAGCCTCGAATACGAATGTACGCTATCAAATGGGATTGACAAATTGAAGTGTCGTGTTATGATTGATACCCTTTATGATACCCAGCCTTTACTAAGTTTACTTACAAGTATTAATACAATCTGTGGGAAGACGTTTAAAATCTGGCCAAGTCTAGGTCTGTTTTGATCCGCACACTTCGGAGGTGTAGTGATATGATTATGCTAGTTAAATCAACGATCAACCATTCCTTTCGCCAGCCGTGGTGAATTTGACCCCTTATCTCGAGCCGTAACTATGATCCTAAGTATTGGTACCTGGTCCAAGATATGCATGCTGGAGAGCAGAAGTGGTTTGTTTTTTCGCGTAGACAGGGGTCTGAAGATGCTCTTTGCATGAGTCAGAGGATCATGGTCATACTCGATGGTCCCAAGAGTCCGCGCATCGACTCTAGCACACGCAATTCTACACATAATCCGTATCCATGATAGATTTGGATCAATGCACGCACGGAAGCGTAATTGATGAAAACGCTGCACTAGCAGAGTAACTTCAACTTTGCTATATGACTTTCGAAACGGTCTAGTTACATAAAAATCAGCTTAGCGCGCATGGGCTCGTTTGGAGGACAAGTACTGCTAGTGGGAGGTTCCAGTGATTAGCAGTGTATTGGTTACATAATGCGCACCATTTAGGAACACCGCAGCAGGGGTCGTGGCAGTTGCCGCAGCAGTGGCGCAGCATTGCCAAGATGCCCCATCATTTCCAAATGACCCTTAGCGCTGGATTAAGCCGACTACAGTAATACACTGTCATTTGAGCACACATCGACACGCCCATCTGAACACCCGGCAATCGTCAATACCCACTCTGAACTCTGTTCTGTTGACCATCAAAGGTCGTTCGATGCACCCACCGCTAGTAGCCCAGGTAAGTTTTGTTTGAATAGCGGAAATGTGGGCTGATTGTATGGTTCTTGTGAACCCATCACCAGGCACCAGTAATAGACACTTCAAGGGATCGACACCTGAGCACTGCCATGAGCAATGCCATCACAGACAGATCATCATCATCAAGGTTATCATCGTTGTCGAGCTCATTGAGGTCATCGTCATTGTCATCCAGCACAACCGCGAGCCCCATGTGCATGAGGAGTTAGGCTTGCAATGTCAATGCAAGATGTGCTTGAAGTTCAACGCTGAGCCTGTGTTGATGCGCTGGTTACGGTGGCTGCGTCGACATGCTCTCGGCAGCGTTGTGGACCTTTTAAAAATATCAACTGAATCCAGCTTGGCAAGAATTGAACAGCCCTAATAATAAGGTTTACTGGCTGGGCAAGGTGAGCCACATTCGCTTCACATAAATATCTTATTGCAGCGTGTGAAGCACTCAATAATACCCATTAGATACCCACAATGATTTTGCTCACTCTCTCCACTGAACGTGTTCGCAATACCGTCATCACCAACGAGCAAGGACAAGCTATTTACAAGACAAACACTCTGTTCAGACTAGGCACCCGCACCACGACCATTCAGAAAGTCAGGCCAAATGATAACAAGGATCATATGCACGACCAGTTCGATGTCTTAGGAGAGATCGAGTGGCACACATTTGTTTCTTCAAAATTCCGTTACCATGGAACTGAAGTAAAGACGAAGGAGTTCATACCGAAGAGAGGCCTATGCGGTCGGTGAGTACATAGCGTCCTTCTAGGAAATCTGAGTCGTCATGAAATTCTGGCAGGAAGCGCGTCTTCACAGGACCAGATGGCCGTCCCTATCGCTGGGACCTCAAGTGCAGAGTGGTAGTTGTGAGTAAACTTCCACTTCATTGATGCTGATGCCTCTGCTTCTCTTATCATGATGACGACTCGGATTCTAGCTCTCGCGAGACGATAAGCCTCGAACAGAGGTCGCTCGCTTTCATAGAGCGACTCTAGGAATTATAGGAAAGAAACGTAAAGCCACGTTGGAAGTATCTCCTGAAGTGGCTCATATGATGGATACTGTCATCATGACGTTCATCTATGTCGAGCAACTTAGAAGGAACAAAGAACAAGCCTCGAGAAACGCCGCAATGTCAGCCTGATAGGCTTACCGCATCACTGACGCAGCATATGATGCAGCCTATGGCGCAATACCCTTCGATGACGCATATTATCTACATGGACATCGTGCCTACATACCTGTACTTGAAGATCATCTCCTCTTTACCCCTTATCAGTCATACGCTCTGCCACGTTATTGTTCCGTCTCTTAGTGTTGCCATCGACGTATGGTTCCACGCAGCCTCGAATGCGAATGTACCCTATGAAATGGGATTGACAAACTTAGGTGTCGTCGATACCCTTTATGATAACTAGTCTTTTCTAATACAATCTGTGGGAAGATGGGCAGGTCTGTTTTGATCCGCACATTTCGGAGGGTGTAGTGATAATCTAAATCAATCATCAATAATTCCTTCCAGCGATGGTGAAAGCGGTTACATCGAGCCGTAAATATTCTTAAGATCGGTACCTAGTCCAGGATATGCATGCTGGAGAGCAGAAGTGGATTATTTTTCTCTATTGCGTTGCCATAAAAATAGACAAGGGTCTGAAGACGCTCTTTGCATTCCCTCTATTAATTTTCTGCACTGACGAGTCCACTTCCCCAACACGTTGAAAGTGATTTGGCAGCTCATGCTCCTGGCTGTCTCGAACATGCTCTGGGCAACCGTGACAGCATTTGCTATTTGCGACTTGATCATGGTAAACTTTTCCCCCTTAGAAGTCAACCGAGATGTCTAACATTGACGAACTATAATCTGAAGTACAAGTCAACCGAGCTGACCCCAGACGCGCGACGAGCAGCTGGTAGCTCTCCGATGAAAGGTTATCTCCACTGTCTGCTCTTTGTACTGTAACACCCTCTTTGCCGAGAGTGTCCCTTGGAGAACGGCAATCCGCAGTGGAGATGTTTGCTACAGTTGAACCTCATCCTGTAGCTTTGACGCTGAAAAATGGTCCTGAGGCCTCCATGCGAAGTGGCTTGCGTCTGAGCTCGGAACTGGCAGCATGATAGCGGACTGCCATGCTTGTTTATTTGATGTTTGTTTAGATTCTATACTAGATGAGTTACAGAGATTGTGAGCACTCTTGGTAGAGGGGAATGCCAGATCATAGTGTCACATATCTACGCATGTGTAAACTGGAGAATAAGAGTAAGAAATTCACAATATAGTTATTGACCCTGCCCAAGATCCAAGCGCCACTCTTCCCGTAGTGTCTGAGACAGCGCACACTGTGATATCATCTTTTGATTCAATGTAAATCTTCGGCTGTGCAAATGAGTCTCATCAAGACCAACCTTGTAACGGTATATCATGAACCACTTGGCCATTAATTAGCCCTGGCCTTTCCGAGTCGACGTTTGCTTGTAGTGAACCATCACTCCAGACTCGGGCTTCTTCTGATGTATTGCTAACATCTCGAGGATTTGTAAACGCCACGACGGTACGGATCATGCTGGTCCGGGACCTTGCTACCCAGATCCCGCGTTTGCCGTAGTCTCCCAATGCCCAAGCTGATACAAATGTCCTCGTGTCATGTACAGTTCCAAACGGGACCGGAGGCACCAATGGTGGTGGTAAATCTTCAGGCAGTGGCGCCGCGATAAATTGTGGTGAAGCGATTGCCATGGGTCGGACACCCAAAGGCGAGACTGACAATGATGGCAAGGGACGCACTGTCAACTCCACATAGAAAAGAAATATCCCATGGAATAGATCGTTTGCAAGCGCGGATAGCTCATAAATCTCGGATTCATCGTCATTGATACACGTCGTTTTCGTGAGAGATACGCGGCGATAGGTCATGGTGTGTGGGAATCTGAATGTGAGTTGTGGTAGAATATCAGAGCGCTCTCCAACTCCAGAAGATAAATGCGAGGGGAGAGGATATGCCTCGACGGTGTGCATTCTAAAGACTAGGATATATGGCCCACATATCCGCATGGCGGTAATACCATTCCACTACAAAGAAAAATCCAAATTTTCAGCTGAATAGGTCATTTGATTTGACTTGACTCACTAAATCTCCAGGATCATTAGCACGAAGGGCTACTGTAGCTTGAGCTTTAGTTCTCCAGTTCACAACTTCGAAGGATAGAGCAGTGTTAGAAAGTAAGGCGAGCTCTAAGTCGGCGTCGATCGCTCTGATGACTTGTGGTGGAAATATTGAAAATTCTCCCCGAGTGACTAGAACTGGAGGTCCTGATTCCGACGAACCACCAGTATCGAGAGAGACGGTTAAAACTCTCACAGCAACGCTAGAAATCAACATTCGTTGGAGCTAGAGACTCGTAAAGAAATGATAACTGACAGTTCGACATGAGTCAATGCAATAGCTAGGACAGAGCCAGCTGTATTTAAATGATATGCACAAGGATACCACGTCGAAGAAGCATAGGTGACGAAAAGTTCTGCAGCAAAAGGTGCGAAAACATTGTTGATTTTCCACAAATCGATTTTTCCCTCAGAGCCCAAGGACAACAAATGGTGGTCGGAGACGAATGCTAGGTATCGGACACGAGGGATCGAGTTCTCAATGTCATCTGAATCACATCGTTCCTTGATAAGAAAAGTGTCCTTTCTCGGCAACAGCCACACCTGCTCGACATGCATTGCAGTTTTGATCAGGCGTTCCAACTGCAAAGTCGACAGTGTCGCAGTTTCTGACTCAGAAAGCGGCCGCGGAAGGACATGGGACATCCGAGATATTAAAGTGATCCATAAGCTGCGGTCATGGGTGAATTGAAACAAGGATGTGGACGTCTGTAATGCTTGGCTTCAGTTCACGCCTGTACGCACGGAGAAAAGGGGGTGCCTTGCGCAGAGAAAGGATCGTCTCCACATCTAAGAAGCTGGCAACTTGAAGCTGAAGCTCGACAGGGAGATTATGCATCTTCAAGTTTGTTGGGAGTACTATACTATGTAGTAGAGTGAAGGTGGCTGTGCAATGTATTATATAAATCTAAGTGTAAGACTTTGTACCTAGTGGTAATCGTGAATGTCTGGCAGTAAGTAATTACGTGAAACTGGTACAGTCGGTGGTTGCAATGCACATCAAGACATCGAACTTGTCAATGAAAATTAATACTATGTAGCCTTGCAAGAGATAGTCAACGACGGTGCAATATTACTGTCGTTACGGCGATGATGATGACGACGACGACGTTGAACGGAGTAGCCAATCATGACTGTCCAGGGACGATTGGATTGCTTGCGAGTCATCCGATTCCTCAGCTTCGGAAGCACAAGGCATGAGGTTGTTACGCCACTCGTCCGACGTGGCACTGCAGAAGAAAGACGGCACATGCTTAGAACAAAGACGAGTGAAGGGGAAGGGAAATGGGGAATACCTTGTTGTTGTTCTTGATCTAGCAACTTGGAGAGGAAGTTTAATTGCAGTTGTACCTCCATATAAAGTAGGGTGCGGGCGTAGTACAGTTGGAACTTTCGACCTATGTGGTCGCGGAGTAGATTCTTCGTCAATCTCGGGAACAGGTTTCAAAGGCGTATTGCCGACATCCACATCTGTGTCATGATCGTTGCCTTTGAGATTCTTCGACCGCCTGGTGCGAGTTTTTGTTTTCGACGACGATGCAGCATCAGAGTGTTGGCCAATGTCATTGGCACTAAGAACTGCATGCGTGGTTGACCGTCTGACTCGCGGCTGTTCATTTTCGTCCATGATCTCTACGGTGTTGTCATCAGAAATCTGCATGTTGGAAGAATCAGACTTGGCAGAAGTGGTGCGGTATATCATCCTAGCGCCTGTCCTAGAGCGCGTAGATCGCCGGCTCGTCGAACTATACACAGACATGTCGTCGGTCCCGGAGTCCGTAGTTGTTCCTGACCCAGATTTCACAGTGTTCCTCAACGGCCTGCGTCGGGTTGCCGACTCGCTCGCTTCGCTAACTTCATGAGAGGAATGCCGCGCAAGCTCTTTCGATTTCTTCAGTTGCTCTGCCCGCTGGCGAGCTTTCTCTTTCCTCTCCATCTGGGCTGCGCACTTACGCTTCTTCCGCTCCTCTTTCCACATCTGCTCCTCAAGCTCCTCTTCTTCCTCAAGCTCCAACCTTCTGGCTTTGGCACGTTCCATAACAATGCGATCCGCAACACCCTCATCGTCGTTATCATCATAACCGGTTGCCGCGCCCTTACCAAAACCGGTATCGGGGAACATGGCAACACCATACTGCGAGCTTTCACGGAGGGTCACAATTGCGTCGTCCCTGTCGAGACAAAGGTCTTGCATGATGAGCCCTACTGCAGTTTCGGGGATCAATACGAGCTGAATGAACTCCGCAGGTGTGAGAGGGGCTATCGAGGAAGGTTCAAATGATGACAAGGGGAAGAGATTGTAGAGTGTTTGATGTATGATCAACAAACCGAGTTCACCATAGCTAGGACACCATTTAGTACACACAGACTAACGAGAATCGAATGTACTTACTATCCAGGCTGAGTCTTTTCGAAACTGGTAAACTGGCCCTTCACACCAGTAACCGTTCGACTGCCTTGTTTCTTAATTTGCTTCTTGATTTCTCTCCAGAAGTCACTCCGCGCTCTAGGACCCTTGGCATCATCGTCCACAGAATCCTCATTGTCATTGTGGATGTGGCAATCGCTGATTATAGCTTCAAGCGCGCCCCTCATCCTCTCAATCCTCTTCGGTACCTTCTTGAAGTCGATACTTTGTGGCCATCCCTTCTCCATAGCTTCAGGTAAGGAGTGCGTTTCGAAGTGATGTCGCTGACAAGCTGCGATGTAAATTCCTAGAGGAGCTTTAAGCCCGCGAGAATTTCGAGGACGCGGGTCTGGGTATGACTTCTGCTTCGCAGCCGACAAGAGATTCATCAGTTGTGGAGTTGGATTACGCGGCAGTGGTTCATCACAGTACGGGCAAACTGTAGAAGGATCAAGTATTTCAACTGCACGTATAGGGTGTTAAAGTGTTAAATGAAGAATACTGGATGAAAAGAAAGACCTACATGAGTCCTCATCCAGGTATTCATCTGCACCCCGAATCAGCCTTGTTAAGATTCAGCCATTAAGACAGGAAGTGCAACGATCATGAAGAAAAATTACCTTAATTTTTCTTCTTTATGCCTCTTGGCTGTTCGCCCGTGCTCTCCATCGCTATCATCCGAAGCTCGCTTGGACTTCATGCTCTCCGAAGATGACTGAGGGCTACGCCGATGTGCAGTCTTTATTTTGCTTGAGCTCACGGGGAAGGGTCTAAGGGCCACATTGGTCCGTACAGTATCGCGGTGGTTTATAGCAATTTCACCGTCGTCTTCGTCCTGATCAGAAATTAGTGCACGTCTCTTTCCCTTATCCCGCGAGGGTTGTTGCACTGGGGAAGCCAACGGGGAAGGCACAGGGAAGTTTCCAAGTGTCCCTGAGTGAGCGAGGCCTGTCTTCGAAGTGTGCGAAGATAGTGGAAAGGGGCTGAATCCTGTAGGTCCGAGGAGTTGCTGCTTCGGAAGATTTGACTTTCCCAAAGGGCTCATAGGGAAAGGAGCGCCATGTTGACGTGACAGTGCATTTGTCTTCTCCTGCGGCTGAGGGCCCGCGGGGAAAGGAGCATTAGGTTCACGTGGTAGTACGCTTGTCTTCTCCTTCGGCTTGCATATAGGTATATTTGCATTTTCCTTTTTCGCTGCTGAAGGCTCTCGAGCACTCTTCCAAGGAGGAGAAGCGTCAGAAGCGCATGAGCCCCCACCATATACCGAGGAATGACCACCCAAAGGGAATGGCCGAGGCTGCCCGCTAGCACGCGGAGTTGCTTCGGGACTCCGACCACGAACAACTGAGCCCTCAGCCTTCACAGCCCGCGCCTTAGTAATGCGCTTGGGAAGTCCGCCTTCTCTAGTCAGTGATGAATTGGCCGTCTTCCTGGACACAGAGTTCCTTCCTGGACCCGGAGGCGCAAAGGTCGTGCCCATCTCTTTCTTCGGCTTGGTTGTAGACTTTGTCTGAGAGGCTATGTCGTCGGATATTGGTCTGAATAGTTCTTGAGAGTCGTCTGCGTCGGGAAAAGATGATGATGGAGGCGAATCCGGAATACTCTCTTCTACCTGCGACTCCTTCTTAATCCTCGTGAAGTTGGGGAGTTTTTTTTCCCGAGGGAGGTAATCCGGGTGATACGGATGATCGTTTGAGGCAAGACTGGGTTTCTGAGGCACCGACGCTGTCTTCTTGCCGCGGCGAACAGCGCGTTCAAGTTTATGTTTAGGTGACAAGTCTAAGCCCAACGGTTGAGCACCTTCAGATAATAACAGCTCGTCATCACTGTCACTAAGAGCATGTTCCATACTGTTCGTGATAGGACGCGACGTGGCATGCTTGACTTTGCTGCCGGCCGCCTTGCTTCGCACTGGTTGGGATGGAGCAAACGAGGACCCCAAGTCTTCATGGCCTCGACCCTTGCCTGACTGAACAGAGAATGGACGCTCTGGCATTCTATGAGTTTTGTCTGAGAAGATGTTAGTGTTCTTCCTCTCGAATTCGGTCTCAATGCGCTCCATCTTCGGCTATCAGCCAGCCACTGCTGAGGTAATGTGGATGGTGACACGCTTCTTATGCGTAATAACCGACGCGTTGTTTGGGTTAGTTGATTTCTAAAGCTTGTGCCAAACCTGAGCAAATACAACTGCCACAGCCTTGACCACTGACCACATCTTAATTACCGCGATGAGCCATTACTAGCGAGGCTGCAAGGGTGCGCCGGCCGTATTCACATATTATTTGAGCCAAAACAACTTGCTTATAACTTGATTCAGGATGGACATTGATGCATGATGGATGACGATTCTTGTTCATTCCATCATGAATCATAGCTGGGTTAATTGCTAAGTCGGAACTTGTGACTGGCCATTTGTGCCTCTCAGAGCACCTGTTGTTCGTGTCTGTAACTAGGGTGCGGCCCGATGTGGCGCGACCTACAGAAGATTATTGAATTTCTCACTGCGCCTTTCACTCACCGGATGTTCTCCTAACAGGCTACGTCGTTTGTCAGCCAATAGGGGTGTGCGTGTCCGTGGACAATGAAGCCAAATCCTCGTCGGACTCGAACGGTTATTAAATATTAAGTAGGCGATCTTTCGAAGTAGGCGATCTTTCGAAATAGGTAATACTGCGAGCTCTTCAAACTCGGTGGTGACGCCGGGCTCCCGCTATACAGAGGTGGCTCACAGTTCAGCCCCGGATCTACAAACATAGTTGTTCATTAACCAGAACTGGCTATTACACCATGCGACCCCTATTGCAAGCTGATACGCTTACCAGTGCTAGTGAGCTCTCCACCAATGACAGTGCTTGCTTACTGAAGACAACCTCAAGCGTGAACTTGAAGGCAAGAGCCCTGTGGAATGTGACTCATCAGAGTCCAGTCCAGTCCTACTATATATAAGCTCATTGGATATGTTTTGAATACCAACCGACTTTGTCTCGTCTCCTCGCACAAGTGTGTATTGGGTTCCCGATGACTCGTCACGAAGGAGACCCAACTTTTCGCGTACAAGCAATTAAACGTGAACATCAAGTCCCAGAATTTATCGCAGGTGCTCCACTTCATAACGAGGAAATGGACAAAGGAACCTCAGAAACTATATCCCGTGCACCGACTGTGCTAGAAGATGGCTCCTTTTATGTTAGTAGTTTCTCGGTTTTGTAATGCGCTTACTGACAAGGACTAGGTTGATTTCGAAGACGGAGATATGCGGAATCCAGTCAACTTCTCTCCCACAAGGAAGTGGGCAATCACGATAAATGCTTGTGTCTTTACGAGCATTGTGGGTAAATATACAAGTCGGTGGAAGCATATAACTATATGTTTATCATCTCTTGCTTTTTCCAGCTGCCGCCGTATCTTCGTATACCATGGGTTATTCGTCCATGATCAGAGACCTCAATTGCACATTATTTCAAGCAACTCTGGGATTTAGCGTGTACACCATAGGATTTGCAGTCGTGCCCTTGGTCACTTCGTCGTTCAGCGAGGAATTCGGCCGCTTTCCTTTTTACATCGTCTCGTCTTTTATGTTTGTACTGATTGAAATGATGATAGCTTTGTGAGTTTGTGTCTTACTGGAGTCTCTATTTTTCTATAAGGATTGTTCAGGGCACCGAATATACAAACCGTCATTGTAGCTCGTGCTGTTGGAGGGTGCTTTGGCTCGACGGGCGCAGCGCTCGTGGCTGGGAGTATCGCAGATATATGGTTGCCTCATCAGTTAGGTTCACCATTTTTCTGGGAACTCGAGATCTCATAATCCGCAAGACGGGGATTCCCTATGTCCCTCTTTGCCTTAGCGGTCATTGCATCTTCCGGATTGGGCCCGATGGTTGCAGGCTGGATCGAAGCTAATCCATCCCTGCAATGGCGGTGGATACATTGGATCCATGCTATGTGCGATGTTGTTTGCTTTCATCTTGCTGTCCTTATGCTGACTATTCTTTTAGCGTCAGCGGGGTGTGTTCTATCCCCATGCTTTTTGTTCTGACAGAGACTCGCTCGACTGTCATTCTGGCTCGTATAGCCCGTCAAGTTCGAAAGGACACCGGAGATAGCCGATATCGTGCAAGGTCAGAAATAGACAAGCCTTGCTTTATGTCTATGGTTGCGACTTCATGCACTCGCCCATTAAGTCAGTGCATTCATTAGCACTGAAACATTTGCTGAATCAGTGCTAGTTCTCTTATTCACTGAGCCCATTGTTCAGGGCTTTAGTGTATGTCGTTTCTCACTGATCTTCACCACAGACCTGACTCACGAGCCTTGCAATTGATTCTATATCCAGCTCTGGATTAGTTTTGTATGGGGAGTTCTCTTTTTTTTACTCGAGTAAGTGTCCCTGAACCTCGATGAAACATTAAGAGCAAAGTTGCTGCAGTTCAGTATCGAGCGAATTCAAAAACATCTACGGATTTGGTGTCGGAGAGACTGGGAGCGTTTTCGCCACCATAGCGTAAGGTTGATCTTTCGACGCAAGAAACTGTGGGTAATAATTGAACGTCTCAGCATCGGAAGTCTTCTAGGTTACTTGGCTAATATCTATGGGGAAAGGCTATACAAGTCAGTATTCAACTCTCTGAAGAGGAAGCCCAGACTAATCATAGATTTAGAAAACATGTCCACCGCAAAGGCCCAGAAGCTCGTCTTTACATAGCTTGCGTAGCATCCATGTTCTTTCCCATCGGAATGCTCATCTTTGCATGGACCGCCCGAGCGGATATACCATGGATAGTTCCCATGATTGGCCTTACGGTCAGCATCTTTCAGCTATCGATCTTCCCTATCACCACTGATGAAACTGCCAGCTTTTCATGACCTCCGCTTTTATCCTGTATCAAGTCGTATTCATATACTTGGCAGATTGGTGAGCGCTGTGTCCACTTACCAGCATGCTTTATTTGCCTGTTGACGAGCAGCGAGCTAGCTATGGGCCCTATGCGTCTTCAGCACTGGCAGGCCAGAGCCTATGTCGTGAGTCCTTCCGACCGATCCTGTATCAAGAACATTTACAATGTGTCTCGCGCAGGAAACACGCTTGCTACTGTCTTCCCGCTCTACACGAGTCGAATGAATGACCTCCTGACATACAAATGGGCAGGTACAGTCTTTGCGCTAATAGCGGCCATCATGATTCCTATACCATATGTGAGTGATTCGAATACTCTATTGTATGCATTTTGCCCACGATCATGTAGATTTTTTTCTTTTATGGGTCGAGAATGCGAAAGTGCAGCCCTGTCTCCCGGAAGATCCTAGAGATCGAAGTTGAACAAAAGAACCCTGACTCGGAAAAGTCGTAAGAATATTTATTCGCTCGTTGCTCGTCATTAAGTTATAGAGATATGGCGGGAATGCTTGCCGTAGTTATTTTATGACACGTTGATCGCACGAAGATTCTCGTAGCAATCAATTGACATCTATCTATCTCTCTACATATTGTAAGAACGGAGCGATTTCCAATTAACGTTGACGCCATGTGCGCGCGCCACTTCTGGAGGGTCACACAGACTGGGTCAACGCCATCACCTTGTTTCAGAACGACCGCCTCCTCAAGTTGTGAGTGCATCATCGGACAACACAGTGCGTCTATGGAATCTCGACACCAACCTCCCAGTCGGTCCACCCCTCCAACACCAAGATGAAGTAATCCGCGCAGCCCTTTCGGCTAATGGAAAATTGCTGGTCACTGGTTGCAAAGACGGAAATGTGTGTACATGGGACATTCACGCCATACTCAAAGGTGCTGGCTTTGAGGACCTACTATCCATTCCTCGTGTGAGCTCAGGTGCCTCGTGCTCTTCAAACCACACTAATCTCTCATTTGCAGGTCCCAACTCGAAAGTCGTTAAAGGACGTACGTGACGCATTTCTTCACTCTGTCCAACCGAAATTCTAGAGTAGTGCTCCTCGACGTCCACCTATTCAGGCCCGTCGAATACCACCAGGCTTTTTCGACGGCACCCAGGTGAGTCGTCTACATTTTTTGGCCAGCTCTTTTTCTAACCTTTCTCAGTCCTCTACACCACGTGGTACCCATACTCTCTCTCCTGCGCACAGTCCTCGCAGTCCTCTCCCATCTCTATCTGCCATTCCACGTGCCCTTCTCGAACGACTTTCGTCGTTCTTCCACCACTCTCACTCCGATGTTGATGGAGAAACCGAACTCCGGCAATGCCCAAGGCGCTCCATCTTCTCTCGCGGTCCTCGTATTGTCGAAGTTGCTACAGTACGGGACAGAAAGGTATTTCTTTCTCCTCGTCCATTTCCTATCGCCCTCAGGCTGGTTCAACAATTTCTGTTCAGGCTTTGTATGTTGCGCCGCGGCCGCGGCCGCAGCAGCAAAGGCAGTTGCATGCCCAGGGCTCGTCGTCACAATCTCAGCCTACCACTACCACACCTGCTCAAGGTACTAGCACTGCCGCATCAGGTGCAGCAACCATGCAGTCACCACCCATCCCACTGCGGGCTCGTTTTGTTTTGTTTCTCTGCTGCGCATCTCCACCGCACACCAATGGTTATTAATTCAGGAGCAGCATATGTACAATCATTTTGTTTTTCACGTCTTCCCCTGCTCCATCGATCCTATTTCCTCATCGTGAGACTGCTGGAATACATCGGACTCGATTGTCCTAACCGTCGCGAGAGCACCATTATACTCAGAGGATAAAACCCTAGTATCAGCCAAGGTCCCTCCCATCCGTAGACTTTAGCAATATCATCGCCCACTCATCAGCTACTATGTAGCCTTTCAGATTATGTTTGCAGAATTCGACCTCGGGCGAGCAAGATGCCCTTTCTAATGTCCATGCACTAAGTCCTACATTTATGCACCAAGTATTTGCGCAGTTCTCTGTCGGAGCCCCGAAACATCGGTTTCGTATAGGGCTGCATAATACCTGTGTGTGACTACGATAACCGGCCATAAACGCCAGCGGTTTTTTTTGTTCATGATATTGAGCATATGGGATTGTATTTATTGATTTACAGGTGTCGACACCGTTGTCCATACACCAGTGAAATTTATCCAGATTCCAGAAGCAACTACAGCGATCAAGTCAGCAACGAATTTTATATTGTGCCATCGACAACGACGCCAACGGCCCAATACGAACGCAGAAACACGACTCACTGTCCAGTTGTGCCTCTCGTTTCGTTGACTGACCCATAGGCAGCCTAACCACAGGACCGGGAATTACCATTCTATTAGCATCACAAGAGGTGAGTAATGGCGTTTAATCCTGGGTGCAAAGTAAACTGCTTGTGCTCACTTCGCCGGGAAGACATTGAAGGCCTGTGCAGCAATCGCTGTCAATGGAGCAACGCTGCAGGATTGTGTTGCATGCACCAACAGACATGCCTGCTGCTAAAGCAGTAAGGACGACGACGACGAAGGAGAAATGCATGGTTTGTGCGATGTGATACGAGTTTTGTGAAGGAGAATCTTAACTAATATCACTGAGGTGAAGGGTACGCTGAGCGCGACCAGCTTTTATGTCGTGAAATTGGTGTTGTGAGCAACTTCACGGTGAGGATGTCTAGAAACTTGGGAGTTCAACTATTGGACTGGCAGATTGTTTCTGGTAAATGACATAACTTGGCAGGGAGGATATCGGAAGAACGTATTGCAAGTAGTTCCAGGATAAACAATCCAGAATTTGACTGTAAGCGGTTTTTGCCAAAGGTGAGATGGGGCTCCCTCGTGCCTCTGCGAAGTTCTCGTTATAGATCTCGGAGTGGCCACACCGCCAGATTGCATCTCGCCACAAGGTTGCGTCCTACAATGGTGCATGGAACACATGCTCATTCGCTTTTCCCCAGGTATAAATTTGAAGGCCGTGACAGCACCGAGCTAGATGAGATCGGCTGTTGAACAGATACTCACCCTATGACGCTCCAAAGTGGGAAGCAATCAAATTCATCTGCTGTGACTCATTATCATATTCCGGATACTCGTACATTGCCAGAAGATATCATCCATCCCCTGCGTCCGGCAGATACCTGTATCGATCTTTGATTAATTGGTACTTGAAGTGTTCGTGTTATTCACACAAGAGCAGGACATTGCGACTACGTTGGTACAACAGCATGCTGAAGGCTGCTGAAGGTTTGGTGGCCATGGCCCATCGGGGATGAAACTTTGTAAATCATTTCAAATTCTAGGCGTACGTCCCTACCATTAATGGCAGCTCGATGCCGTAATGGCTTACCAATCTGCAAAAAAGCAGACTTACATAGCGCAAACTCGAATTAGCAAAGGGCCCACTGGCAGCTGTGCATGTGAAGCTTTGAACGTTGTGGTCACATTCAATACGGAAACCAATCTCAGTGGCCGATGAACCTTGCGGAGAAATACCAGAGATCGTACTTGACAAACGTGAAACAGTATTTTTGCCAACAGCTCCGATTGATGTACCCGCTGGCATGCATTCTCGTTAAGATGGATCATATCAAGGCAGACGGCGCCCTCGCGCACCCGCTGAGTCCTTCGTTCTCCCACAGTCAGAGCTAGAACTCTGAGTCATCCTACAGGCTTCTTAACAGCAAACAGTCACCCCCTAATGCAACTCCCTGCACAGTTCCTACATTGTGGCGCAGGCACTACCCCTCACTTCCCTAGGACCGCAGCCCTGCGTGTCGCACCTAAGCTGCTGATTCGTGCACGTGAACTGTGGTCCGCTCTCAGGCTCTCACATCTACCTTGTTACACCCGAGGCCCAACATCCGTTCCGCTGGCGGCCGCATCTATCTGTCACTGTCACCCTGCGCTGAGTACACGATGCACACCTCCTTATTTTCTCCTTCAACTTTGCTCGCACTCCTTTTGCCACTCAGCATTGTCTGCATGTTTTCAACTTTATTTATACACCCGCATTGGGAATCAGGAACGACGTCGAGGACTTCTCGAGACCATTGAAGAAGATGGCTGCCGCCCGACATAATGTCATACTACACCCCCAGGATATCGTGGCACTGTATTCTCCTCTCAAGTACAAACAACTCAAGATTGGAAGGGCTTCTCAAGCCTCGTCAATCCATTTTATTGGGTATAAAGCATGAATGCAGTTGTCATATCGATGACACGCACCTTAGTAGGGAGATCCACCACAGCTATAGGCCGCGAGATCAGAGCAACTGCGCAAATTGTTCGATTTCATCGGCTTTTCCACCGAGATGAAATTTAGGCAATCCTTGTTGAAAAAAACGTACAAACACACCCATCTGTTCTGCCACTGCTGGCGTAGGCTTGTACATATAGCTGTCCATTGATTTGATCCTTTCTACATGAGGTGTCGTACTGAGAAGTAGCATAGGGGAGTCTGCTCCAATTGACGATGAGTAGAGTCGACGTGTATCATCGTGGTCGACCAAACATAGAGCAAGTTTGGTTTTCTCATATTCCGAGTCATTCTTGATCACCAAATTGTCAGATATAGGTCAAGTCTGAGTTGGCTCAGCCTGCTGGAATACATTAGAGGCGATATCAATTATCATACTTATCCTCGAAATCGGTCGAGGCACATACCCATTCTACAGTGAGGGCTTGCGTTGCTACCTTGAAAGATTTTTTCACCGTGAGGAGCTGAGGCCCATTTATGATGAGATTAGATATAACACTTCACTCGAGAGAAACGTGACGTTATTCTTAGTGGTTTGGATGCGAGTGGTAATGACGAGGAGTCGACAAGCAAGGTAAAGCCATTTCCTCCGTCATTTTGGTATCTTAAGGAAGACACCCTTTAAATGTTCAAGCTATGCAGAATTTGATTTAAGGATACTACCAGCAATGCGCGTTAAAACCTAACGTGATCTCAACCGTACGCGTGAGCTTGAAGTAATTCTCTACCACCCACATACCGAACTGCCCAAGGACTGGGCTGCGAGAAGGCTCGTCACATACTGTAAAGAGCCGCGCTGGAAGTCCCCCGTGATAGAATTGGTGACAAGCTTGAGACGCTAGAAGAGAAAACTTCGGCTGCGTCCGGTGCACAAACATGTTTTGAGAATTGGCGGAATGAAGGGTGATATTGCAATAAGCTATATCCCTGCATTCAAAGGAGTGATATGATGATGTGCTGGAGTAGCTGCTAGATACAAAAAACAACAATATTCATGCAGGGTAGATAGTGGAAGGGGCACGCACTGCAATGGAAATCCAAGGCCAAACCTTGATAGCGGGAATAGCGGGAGGCTACATCGAGGACGACTACAGCAATGCACAGGACCCTTGCCACTGCACCAAACCACCCTACTACAATAGACTGCTCGATTGAACACGATGGTGTACATTCTGGAAGCTTTGAAGACAAGAGGGAGACGCATGTATGCACTGCAGAGGTACTGGGAGGACATACTGTCGAGGGCAGCGGGTATGACAACAACTTGGGTGCATTCAAGTTGCGGTAATGGAAGCGTGGAGGCGAATAGCCTTAAGTGTCCTGGGCGTCTATTGAAACGAGGGTTGAGACAGTGAAGCACCATAAAATGCACCCCTGCAGCTTGGAGAAAGACATAATCCCTCCAAAGTCCACCTTGACCATGCTCAATACCATCAACCTCCAGTAAAATGTCGAACCTCATTTCAATCGCCACACCCCTGCGACAGTTTAAAGGTCACGAAGCAAGCGTAGCCGCACTCGCAGTTTTTCCCGATAAACGACGGATAGTTACGTGCTCATGGGACAGGACGCTTCGGTTATGGGACTTGAAGACAGGTGTTGTGTTGAAGAAGATGGAGCATTGCACTATGGTGCGGAGATTGGCGGTATCACGAGATGGGCAATTGATAGCAAGCAGTGATCATAATGGAGAGGTCATCATCTGGCACGGAGAAACTCTTGAATCACTCACCGAATTCGAAGCCCACTCTTATTTGATCAGCTCGCTGGATTTGTCTCCCGATGGCACAATGCTGGCCACTGGTTCATATGACGAGGGAATGACGAAACTGTGGAATACCAAAACCTGGCAGGTGCAAGGAGATCCAATCGAGTGTGGTGATTCTCTCAATTGTGTACGGTATTCACCGTCTGGAGAACTTCTTGCCATCACAACGGACAACGATATCCAAATTTACAATTCAGGCACGAGGAAACGCGTCGCATCCTTCAAGGGTCACACAGAATACAACAGCTCACTCGCATGGACGCCCGATGGCACACGCATTCTCACAGGTGGCTCTGCGGGTGATCCTACCATACGCGAATGGGATACAACAAATTGGAAGCAGGTCGGCGATCCTTGGACGGGTCATAATCAATGCCATTGCCATTCATCCTGCTGGCACACTCGTCGCATCATCATCTTGTGACAAGAACGTCCATCTCTGGCAGCTCTCAGACCGACAAACCATTGCCATATTCAAGCACCCATCCGTTTCGACATGCGTCACCTTCTCCGTGGACGGTAACCACATACTCAGCGGAGATGCCGATAACATGATCTCAGAGTGGGCAGTACCTCAGGGTATTCATCCAAAGGTATGTTTCCGTCATTGACTCATATGTCACCATTCGAGCATTCTTCACGCAGATTCTCGCCATCACAACAGCCCGCGATGCATGCATAGATGGGGACTTGTCTGCCGCCGCCGAACTACTTGCCCAAAATATCAACACCGATCCTAACAACCATACTTCCTACGCTCATCGCTCATTTGTTATGGCGCGAAAACACGACTGGGACCACGCCCTTCATGACGCAATCAAGGTGAGATTTACCGACCATCATCGGCCCCTTACAAAAGGCTAACTCGACGATGACAAAGTCCATCAGCATTCAACCCTCATTGACAGGCTATATCTCCAAGGGTATTGCCCTCTGTGGAAAAGGCCGTGTCCAGGATGCGAGGGCAGCATTTGATGTTGCATCAATGTATACAGACCAAGATTCACAGATCCTCCATTTCCTGCTCTTGATCAAAGTATGTTATGTTTGCTCCGTATACTCCCCGCTTCATCGCGTATTTCAGGTCATCGCGCTTTTCAACGCAAATCAACATGACGAGGCAAACCTGCTCCTTAGAGAACTCACTTCCGGCTGTCCAAATGCCGACACTCGCGCATGTCATACCGTGGAAGTAGGTATCATGCAACCACGCTGGGTTATCTGCATTAACACTAATCTTTGCAATTCTCACATTAGGCATATCTACGTGTTCAACTCGGACTCAAAGCCTTGGATGGCGCATGCCACGATGAAGCCGCTGACCATTTCACTGCCGCTCTCGATACCAGCAATTTATCATCAAAATCGGACATTCATGAAATTTATGAGGATTTGGTGGTGGTATGTTAATACTCATCCAAAACATTTTTCATAACTGAGTCCCTTCCCTTACCCAGCTCTTCGGCTGGGATCTCAAATTGTTGTGGCTCACTGCGCACCAGAAACGGTGCCAGGCTTTCCTTTCCTCGGGCAAAGTCGATGAAGCTCTCGAATCACACAAATCTATGGTAAACAACATTGACGAAACGACAAAGGCCAGATGCCTTGACTGGTCCACTGGCAAGTTTTCAATGATGTCACCCGAAGTTATGATTCTCACTTGCATTTCACTCAGCTTTCAAGCAAGAATGCAGTGCCCTCTTTCTTGTCAACGGAGATACTGTCCTCGCTGCAGGCGATTATGACAGGGCTATTGACCTTTACTCTGTGGTGATCGACTTGAATTCCGCATCTGATGTCGTCTTCGTAAAGCGCAGCAAGGCAAGGTTGGGAAAAATGCTATGGATGGAAGCACTCCTTGATGCGCAGAAGGTGCGATGGCATTTATCGTTTTTAACTTATACTTATTGTGGTGATACATAGGTCACCGAACTCAACTCTTCGTCTTATCTCGGATACAGTTTGAAGCACGCAGCGCTTCATGGTGCACAACGCTACGATGAAGCGATACAGGCCTTTAGAATCATGCTCTCAAAATTAGATAATGCTCACGACACCGAGACACGAAGTAAGCCTCAGAAAACTCATACATCAACATACTTTAACTGTTTCTGCAGAGTTGCGCCAGCAGTATCTCGGTCCATTCGAAGTGGACCGTGATATTCGAAAGGCCATCAATGCTCAACTTGACAATACTCCGCTACGTGTACTCGACACTACCACTGGTCTCTTATGCGATCGAGAGGCGCAGATACGCATCTTCAAAATGAGCAAAGAGTACAAGGAGCTTGTATCATCAACAATCACGCATTCGGACTTCCGAATGAAGCGCATCAAAGAAGTGGTGATGACGTACTTCCAATATGCCATGCTGTCGCACAGGTGGGAAGGGAAGGAGCCGCTGCTGCAGGATATCCAAGGCAAGGTCGTCTATGAGTTGGGTCCAGTTGGTGGCATCACAAAATTGCAGTCCTTCTGCAAAACTACTCGCGATCTGGGATATCGCTGGGCATGGAGCGATACATGCTGTATCGACAAGAGCAACAGTGTTGAGCTCCAAGAATCGGTCAACTCCATGTTCATCTGGTATCACCACTCCGCGCTCACAGTCGTATACCTCTCGGATGTTCCACCTTCGTCAAAGTCTGGCGCGCTGGCAAAGAGCGCTTGGAACACACGCGGATGGACTGTTCAGGAATTCCTCGCTCCCAATGTTATTTTATTTTACCAGAAGGATTGGACTCCTTATCTCAGCGATCGCACTCCAAACCACAAGGATTCCGTTGCCATCATGCGGGAGTTAGAATACGCGACAGGCATAGATCGACGAGCCGTCGTGGCCTTCCGTCCCGGGATGAGAGGCGCCCGAGAGAAACTTCAGTGGGCGTCGACACGTATTACCACAATGCAAGAAGACATCGCATACTCGTTATTCGGCATCTTCGGTATCACCCTACCTGTCATTTATGGCGAGAAGAAGCAGAGCGCACTCGGGCGGTTCCTGCAAGAAATCATAGCTCAGTCGGGCGACATTACTGCCCTGGACTGGGTCAGATAACCATCAGAATTCAATAGCTGTCTACCAGCTGACATCACTTCATACGAAACTCCACCATGCAAACTGCCATCTCTATCTGAAGATGGGATTCAGTCATTGGTCTCCTCGCTGCGAGGTGGTATGGCTCTAGAGACGGCTTCGATATTGTATCAGACAGTTGATTACATGAGCGCTCCCCGTTTTGCGTACCGTCGGTTGCATTTGCCTTGCATCGTATTTCCAGTCACAGATGCTATGCGAGGGCAAAGTCGAGACCAGGACACATATACATATGACCTCAAATCAAATGGGCTTCATGACCTGCAGATTGCCACGGCAGACAAGTTGATCCCATTCTCGCGCGCAAGGCCGCCGCCCGCCTGGCAGACAATCTTGCTTGTTCGTCCATGGAGCCGCGATCTCCTGGAGTTGTATGACTCTGCAGACGATGCACACAGCGTGGTACTTGAGACCATGCCCAAGTCTCCGTCGCACGATTCACTTCCTGCACAAACTGAGCCGATTTATTCGGAATCTCACTCGCGAGCATTGCGATTGATCGTTCGCCTTGGACAGCCTTTTAGTGCATTATTGCTAGCGCGGCAGCGCAACGGAGAATTCAAGAGGATTGCATCCGATCATGATATCATTGCACAGGTTGAAGACATGGCTTCGATTAGGTACTTGATGGACATTAGGACGCTAGAGATAGTGTAACTGTATGAATGAATCCTTTCGACAATCTCATACCTGTTCCTGGATCGCGTTTATCATCACGCCACTTTCCAAGAGATTAATAGATCAGGTGAACTAGTTTTTACAATCCACCTGCAATTACGGTTGATGAGATCAAACATGGTACGAGTGATAAGTATGGATTTACACTGTAATTATCGAATGTGTTGCAGAGCGACTAGTGATGTGGCGAACTATACACCATGGCACAGAAATGAATCTATTAGCTTGGAATTGACTTGGAACCTAAGGATCTGGGACAAAGCAGGCGTGCCGCATACTTATCTACGACATGATTGCGTGATACCTTCCAAGGCATTACAGGTAATGGACCCAGTGCAATGACGACCTGCATGAGAATCAGAATTCGATATTAGTAGATACAAGAGCCACACAAACCAAGCTCATACTCATCTATGTTTTGCTTCAGCATCCTGATGCCAACTGAAGGTTTTGCTCGTAACGTTGGGTGCGGTCATCTGCGGTGATACAGATACATAACGGGGTGGGACCTAGGCTGATAAGTATAGGCAATCACACAAGCGCACATAGAGTCAGTTGAGAGCTCGGGGGATATCCGAGTCGATATAAAATCACATAAACACCCCAGGCAGGAAGAAACGCTGCCGTCTAAACTTCTGTCTTGAAACATTATACGCAAGCAACGTCATTCCTTCACAAATTCATTGCACAATGCAGTTACAGGCGCTCCGCAAATGATGTAATCGGCAAGATAAACATGCGTTCAACGATCATATCGACCAGTTCCAGCTAGCGCGACCGCGAACGGGTCTGTGCCAAATTCTCACCCCAACGCTTGGCCTCCGGATGACGCAAGTGAGGCAAGCTGGAATCGAAAAACGGCTGAAGATCCAGCGCATGCGCCATTTCGTATTCGCGTGCTGCGCAAGTACATGAATATAACACGGACATAACCCGATGACGACGCAGCTACATACCTTGCAGAGCCATCTCCAGTCTATCAAGGTCTACAGACACGGAAATAAATCAAAGCACGGCAGGAGGAATAGCAAAGGCAGACCTTTGACGAACTTCGCCTCGTCCGTTTCCCCCTCCTCATATTCCTGCGCAAAGCCTGACGTTAAAGTTCATTCAGGTCGAGCGATGCAGGACTCACGTTCCAGAGAGCTTCGATTCGTAGTGCTGCTGGGGAACCATGGAGCATATCATGCACGAAATTATGCATCGCTTCCTATACGGTAAAAGGTATTTTCGAGTCAGATACGACTCGGGGTACTGCAAGGTATGGATGGCTAACCGCCTCTAAGCGCTGTTTCTCCTGTTTCGAAATACCTTCTCGAGGTGTGATGTCTCCCACTGTCATATAATCAGTGCTGATTCTTACAATACAAGAAAACATGTGTTACAGATTTACCTTGTGCTTCAGCAAGATCATGCACGACAGCCATCATAACGCATCTTCAAACATCACCATAAACCACAACTCATCTACGATGGAAACAACGCACTTGGAAACATCAAGCGCGCTGTCAGATGTACACATAGCGAGTACAGCCATGCGGTACATGTGATCTGATATACTATCGGAAACGCGAGTGAGTGAGTGATGCCATGCCAAGGGAGGGTATGCATCACGAACCTCTCTGCATTTGGGATCTGCAATATTGAACGGTGAGTAATTCAGCAGTATCTTTGAAGGGTAGGAATATGTTCCTTGTTATCGATCCATCCTGTGCGCTTTTGAGTCTACTCGAATGTGCATGAGTGCAGGGATCGTACATCTCGGAGTGATGTGCATCTGTACCTTTAATCTTTCTAGCACGTGGAAGAATGCCAGCCTGTCGATGGACGGGTCACCGGTTGATACATACAACGGCGGAAACACGCGTTTAGCAGGAGGAGGGATCTCAGACTCGTCCATGTGCACAAAGTGAAACACTACGGGATCAGACTCAAAGGGCAACCCGGGACCCACGGTCCGCTTACGGCCCTACGGGTAAACAGGAATCTCCGACTTCCGACTTCCGATGATAAGATATGATACAATTTCAAAATCAAAAAGAACATGCGCCTACGAAACCTTGCCAGAACTCACGGCCGCTGCTCTACGCCGTTTGCTGCCCCTCCGAATTTCCATCAAATCTGCCTCTATGTCTGCTTCTTTGCTGGGGCCTAGCATTGCTATGCTCTTGCCTAGGCCACCGACGCCGACCATGCTTGAGTGAAGTCCTGCACCTTTGGTACGACGCCTGGAGCCATTATTGCCGGAGCTACCACCGGCACCGGAAGACGGATTAGTGAGGGTCACGGCTGTGAGGGGAAAGGGGAAAGGAGAAGGTAGCTCGTCGACGGAGAGGGAGTGGGGGTTAGTGAAAGGGCCGGTTGTGATGGGCGTGTTGCTTCCAAGCGAACCATTGACGTGGTTCTCTCCTCGAAGTGCGAGGGGTGTTGGAGGAGGAGAAGTGCCAACTTTATTTCGCAGTTTCCGAGTGATATGGGACCGAGACTGAGCGTCTAACGTTGCGTCTGATTGATGTGGTGAATGAAAATTAGAGGATGTTGAGATGAGAAAGAGAGCAACGTACCGTTTACGGTTCCCTCGCCTTCCTTTTCCTCTCTTGCACGCCGTCTGCGCTCTTCTATACCTTCGAGGAGCCTTTCTCGTATACGATCACGGCCCTTGCGCCATTCTTCCTCAACTCTTTCACGTTCCTCCTCGTAGGCAATCTGTATTGATTCCAAGGTATGCTTTTCTTCGAACGCATGCTGGGCGAGCAAGGCGGAGCGCTCAAGAGAAATGGGATACAAGCGGAGGTTATAAAGAGGATGAGTTTCTGGACGGGATGCGAGTTGCATTGCGGCGCTGTGGAGTGCAGATATATTTTCAGTGAAGTGTCGTCCTCTAACATAAAGTTGAGCGGAGATGAGAAAAGTGGTTGGGAGGAACATACTCGTCTCTGCGGTCTAGCATCTCTTTTCCTACTTTGCCTGATATATCCTTCCTCTTTTTCTCTCGTTTTGGATCGTCTTTGTTCGCATGCAGGTCAGTACGTATATTACTTTAGAAGGCAAGTAAAGACATACCCTGCACGCGAGATGGACCTGCAGTTGGATGACCATTATGATAATGAGGATTAGGACCCTGTGGGGGCTGCATATTCGAATAAGAAATTGTCATGGACATGTTGTCTGGCTGAATAACGTCTGTGCGCGCCTTGTGTGTTGATGCATATGGCAGGGCAAACATTCCTGGCTGTGGCGGCATTGTACCCGAATAGATTTTGTCAAAAGTTTGATGTTCAGCGTCAACCAAGAATCGCAGCGAGCTCGACAAACTTTGCAGACCAGAAGCTTCTCAGGCCGGGAGGAGGTTAGTGTTGGGTTTGCTATAAAAAGAAATTCATTGTAACCGATCAATTTATATAAGTCACGCGGCCGAGCCATGCACTTAGTGACCGTCGTGCTCAGTCAGTCGACGCCGGTCTCCTTCATGTTCGCTTAGACTTTAGTACTTGCTGGCTTCTGGTACATCGAGCAGCCGGTCCGGCGTGCAGGAACTTTATACATCGTCTTGTACTAAGAACTCCCAAAACGTTCCCACTGTGTCATACCAGCATGAAAATTTGGACGGAAATGTACTAACAGCAGCGATATCACGGACGTGTGCTAGGTCAGCTGCCGAGCGCTCACCGAGGATGCCACTCGTGTTGCGTGTCCCTGGGATTGGTTGCTAAGCATATGAATATGTCAGCCCAATTGACATGTGCGTCATCTATCATATTTCTATCATGAGCCCTATATAAGTAAGTCGATATCAGGAGAACACATCTCAAGCCCTCAAACCACATCCAACTTCAAACATGAGTTTGTGCAAGCACTGCATCCAAGGTGCGTTCATAGCCATCCCACGATCGTGAATCGTGATCACTGATTGCATTACCAACAGGCGTTCGCCACGAGGGTGACTCTCAGGGTAAGAACCTTTCTATTTTGCTACGCCCTACTTTCTTATCAGTGTCTTCACTAGGAACGCTCAAGACCATCGACGGTGTCGCTTGCTACGTCGCCACCCCTACCGTTGACTATCCCAAGGATAAAGTCATCCTCCTCCTACCAGATGTTTTTGGTATCGAGCTCAGCAATAACCAGGTATGTCATTCGTATACAATTCCTCTTATTTAGATTGATAAGGGGTCCCACACCAGCTTCTCGCAGATGACTTTGCAAGAAACGGCTTTAAGGTTTGCATCCAAGGCCCATAGTATGCATAGACGTGGGCATGACAGCATCATATAGGTCATTGCAATCGACTACCTTAACGGCGATAGAATTCCTCCTGATGCTATGAACGTTAGTTCTGTCCGATTTCCTCTGCATCGCAAGCCCTGATCCTGTGCCCACTCACAGGCTTCGTATGATTTCATGGCATGGCTCTCCAAGCACGGCGCAGACCAGACCCGCCCACCCCTCGACAAGGTCATCGCTGCACTCAAAGCGGAAGGCGTCACCAAGTTTGGCGCAACTGGCTACTGCTTCGGCGGTATGTTTCCCACTCGGCTATTTCTTCCTTTACTTGATGATTACTGTCAGGTCGTTACACTTTTGACCTTGCATTCGACAACGTCATCCAGTGCGCCGTGGTCTCCCACCCCTCACTCTTGAAGGTGCCTGAGGACCTCAAGGTAATGCATATTGTCGCGCATAATGCTTTCCCCTCTGAACCCATTATTTTAGAAGTACTTTTCCAAATCACAAGCGCCTCTCCTGATCAACTCCTGTGAAGTCGATCAGATGTTCCCTGCCGAAGCACAAACACAAGCCGATGAAATCTTTGGCGATGGGAAATTCGCCCCAGGGTACAAGCGCGAGTATTTCCCTGGTTGCACGCATGGGTTTGCTGTACGTGGGGATATGAGCGACCCGCTGATCAAAGCTGGGAAAGAGGGCTCGTTCAAGGCTGCCGTGGAGTTCTTCCTGGAGCGCCTGTGAGCAGTCTGTCTGTCATGAGATTTGTGTGTGGTACGATTCGATCCGAATAAAAATTCAATATGCAAAGTACAAAGTACAAAACTAAGATTGTCGCATGACATGTGCAGTCGTACCACGTTGCTGGCCGTGTGAGCATGCCAGCAATACTGCAGCGTATGTATCTTCATGCCTATGGAGGTAGCCTAAGGGCAGGCCCGGCAGGGACCCTTTCTCCAGCTTAGTCAGCACTCAGACCATCGTAGCTGGCATCATCATCACAACTTGTCTGCCTTGCTCTGGGCTCAGGCGGCTGGCCCATGTTTCAAAATTTCACCAATGGCATAGGTGTCCAGTTTTCTATGAGCTGTATATAAGATATCGTCCAATGACTCTTAAACCTCTCCTAACCACACCTAAATATGAGTTTCTGCAAAGACTGTTTCCAAGGTGCCGTTTTATCTCCTCACAATCAATACCGAGTATTAATTGCAAACAGGCGTACGCCATGAGGGTGAGCCTCAAGGTAAGTTATTTTCCAACTCGCCACGTTGCATTGTTCATCAGTGTCTTCACTAGGAACGCTCGAGACTATCGATGGTGTTGCTTGCTACGTCGCCACCCCTACTGTTGACTATTCCAAGGACAAAGTTATCCTCTTCCTTCCAGATGTCTTCGGTATCGAGATCAACAATACAAAGGCATGTCCCTTCGTGCTACCATGGTCCTAACATGTTGACCAAAATGGATACAGCTCCTCGCTGATGACTTTGCAATCAACGGCTTCAAGGTTTGCACCCAAGCACGTAGTATACACTGCTGCGAAACTAATTCCATAATACAATGTAGGTCGTCGCGGTTGACTACTTTAACGGCGATGGTCTTCCTGTTGATGTCATGAACGTTGGTTTTGACCAATTTCCTTCGCGTCTCAAGCTCTAATCTCGTGTCCACTCACAGTCTGCCTCGTTTGACGTCAACGCGTGGTTCGCTAAACATGGCACCGAGCACACACGCCCACCTCTCGATAAGGTCATTGCTGTGCTCAAAGAGAGAGGTGTCACCAAGTTCGGGGCCACTGGTTACTGTTTCGGCGGTACGTCTCCCGATTCAACTACTTGTTTCTCTGCCTAACAGTACATGTCAGGTCGTTACACTTTTGACCTTGCATTCGAAAACGTCATTCAGTGCTCCGTCGTCTCCCACCCCTCAATGTTGAAGGTTCCCGACGACCTCGAGGTAACGCATACTGCTGGGCGTGATGCTTCTCCCTCTAAACTCACTCTTTCCAGGCGTACTTTACCAAATCAAAAGCGCCTCTCCTGATCAACTCTTGCGAAGTCGATCAAAAGTTCCCTGTCGAAGCTCAAGCAAAGGCCGATGAAATCTTTGGCGATGGGAAATTCGCCCCAGGGTACAAGCGCGAGTATTTCCCTGGTTGCACGCATGGGTTTGCTATACGTGGGGATATCAAAGACCCGCTGATTAAAGCTGGGAAGGAAGGATCGTTCAAGGCTGCTGTGGAGTTCTTCCGGGAGCACCTGTGAGAAGGTCCGGTCGTTGCAATGTTATGGAGTCTCTGTATGGTACAGTTCGATTCAAAACCAATATCCAATCTCAAATACGCAACTAAATTCATCATACGACTTACCGCAGTTGTAGCCCCGTCGTTAGCCATGCCAGCAATATCAGAGCGTCTACGCGCGTCATGCAGGTTAAATAGTGCTCGTCTTGTGAGGTGTCACTTCCCAATTCGATGACAGAGTTTGAATGCTCAGAGTATATGCACTCCTGCGTCATCAGTTGATTTTATCAGCATGGACAACTTTGCGATGAGCTGTATATATAATGGAATATCACTCTCAACCCTCTGCTAATCACCCCAAAGTATGGATTTCTGTAATGGCTGTATCCAAGGTGCGTTGTATATCATCCCCGTCTACATTAATTTTGAGCACTGACATTGAACAGGCGTACGTCACGGCGAGCATTTAGGTAAGTACTTTTCCAACTTGCCACGTCGCATTGTTCACCAGTGGCTTCGTTAGGAACACTCAAGACCATTGCTGGTGTCACTTGCTACGTCGCCACTCCCACTGTCGATTATGCCAAGGACAAAGTTATCCTCCTCCTACCGGACGGCTTCGGTATGACTATCAATGCTCAGGTACCCCCATCCTTGTGACATGCTACCCCACATTTACTAAAAGGGGTACAAACCCCACAACAGCTCCTCGCTGATGACTTTGTCAGAAACGGCTTCAAGGTTTGCACAAACCATAGTACGTGTAAGTTCAGGATACGATATTGATGTTACAATACAGGTCGTCGCGATCGACTATTTCAATGGCGATGGTATTCCCGGTGATAGGCTCTTCAAGGTGAAGGTCAGTTTATTCTTGGCTGATACTTTGATCAATAAGTATCCTGAGCTCTGACCCATGACCACTTCCTAGGATAACTTGAAATCATTGGACTTCTGGGGATGGCAAGCCGCTACCGTCAAGGCCACCCGCCCCTCACTCGACAAGGTCATCGCTGCGCTCAAAGAGGAAGGTGTTACCAAGTTTGGGGCCACGGGTCACTGTTTCGGTTGTGCGTCCTTCTATTTAGTCACTGTTTCCTCTCGACTTGATGTGCACTGCAGGTCGTCACACCTTTGACCTCGCATTCGACAACATTATCCAATGTACCGTCGTCTCCCACATCTCGCTTTTGAATCTCCCCGACGACCTGGAGGTAACTCACATCATCCTCGTAGCACTCTCCTGCTGAACTCGTTCTTCTAGACATACTTTTCCAGATCAGCAGCGCCTCTCCTGATCGACTCATGCGAGCATGATAGGTTGTTTTGTGCAGAAGCTCAAACAAAGGCCGATGCGATTTTTGGCGATGGAAAGTTTGCTCCGGGATACAGGTCCGAGTGCTTTCCTAGATGCACACATGGGTTTACTGTCCTTGGTGATTTGAGCAATCCACTGGTCAAGGCTGGGAAGCAAGGATCGTCCCTGGCTAGTGTGGAGTTCTTCCTGGAGCACCTGTGAGCTGCATGTTCGCGGTGTTGCAGGAGGTACAATTCAATCTCAAATACAATGATAATATATAATATTTTAGTGCTGTTACATTTTTCTACGGAAGCCCTCATTCTCAGTGGTGGAAAAGCCTGAGAGAGGTGTGCGCGAATACCATCTCATGCTCATCCGCGGCCTTGATACACTCCTCATCCATCACACTTCCGCTAGGCGCAGCGAGGTACCTCACTCCGCTCTTCCTAGCCCGGTGCACGTTATCCGCAAATGGGAAAAATGCGTCACTCGAACATGCAACACCATCCAACTTCCCAGCCCACTCCTTCTTCTCCGACTCGCTGAGCGGTGCGGGCACCTCCTCGAATTGCCCCTCCCATTGGGCACGCTCACCGCCCTCGAGTACCTCCCCGCTCACAAAGAGGTCGATCGCGTTCGCTTTCTCAGCGCGCTTGACGCCTTTTTTGAATGGGAGTGCGAGGACGCGCGGGTGGTGTCGTAACCACCAGTTGTCCGCTTTGGATCCTGCGAGCCGTGTGCAGTGGATGCGCGACTGCTGTCCGGCGCCCAAGCCGATAATAGCGCCGTTCTTGGCATACGAGACACTGTTAGACTGCGTGTACTTGACCGCGAGGGTCGCGACGATGAGGTCCGTCAGTGCTTGCGTTGGGACCTATGGAACAGTTACAACTTGTGGGTTACAAAGAGAGTAAGGACATACGTCTTTGTTCTTGGTGACAAGATTTTCGAATAGCTTGGCGTCAATTTTGACGTCGTTTCGGCGCTGCTGGAGGCTGACGCCATACACTTGGCGTGTCTCGATATCTGAGGGCTTGTATGACGGGTCCATCTTTTGGTAGCGTTAGAAAATACAATAGAGCTGTGTAATCGAGTGAACGTACCTCTAAAACGCAATACTTTCCTGCCTTTTTCTTTTTGAGAACTTCCAGCGCCTCGGGGCTGTAGCCTGGTGCAATTATGCCGTCGGATACTTCCCTGGAGATGATACGCGCTGTGGCAAGGTCACATGGCGCAGAGAGTGCAATGAAGTCTCCGAATGATGACATGCGGTCGGCACCTAAAACAAGATCGTTGGTCACATACGGAGTTTAATTTCATCAAATAACACACCTCGAGCGCGAGCATATGCACATGCTAAAGGCGTCAGGGGCTCTTTGAGATCTTCGACGCCGTACACGTGCTTCTCGGTTTCGTCAAGTTCCAAACCCACAGCTGCACCAGCAGGGGAGACGTGTTTGAAGGAAGCAGCAGCAGGGAGGTTCAAGGCCTCTTGAAGCTCCTTTACGAGCGCGTATGAATTCAGGGCATCTAATAGATTGATGTAGCCTGGGGAGCCGCTGAGGACTAGACCATCCAAAGTCAACAAAACATCCATCAGATAAAATCAGAAATCGCACCTTTGAATGGCAATTCGTCCTCAGCCACGAAGGTCTGCGCTGGTTTTTGGTGAGGGTTAGCACCGTATCTAAGCACCATGCGCTGGACTGGTCCGCTCTCGGGCGTCGATGCATAGTGTTCGCGGAAATACCCGCTAATCGCGTCATCATACTTTGCAGTCATCTCAAACGCCTTCAGTGCAAGCCTGTTGCGGAGCACCTGCCCAACATCGCCCTGGCCCTGCTGTAATGCCTGCAAGAACGCGTGGTAGTCAGTAGGATCTGAGAGAACGGAGACACGCTCGTGGTTCTTGGCAGCTGCGCGAAGCAGGGTGACACCACCGATGTCGATCTCTTCTACGGCATCTGCGAATGTGCAGCTTGGTTTAGAAATGGTGGATGCGAAAGGGTAGAGGTTGCAAACGACGATGGAGATGGGGGAGATGTTTTGTGCCTTGAGGTCTTGCTCATCGGCAGGGATAGAGCGCGCGAGGATACCTTTTTGTGCATCAGTCAAACGTTGCGCACTTGATATACAAGGTAAATATCGTACCACCGTGGACGGCAGGATGAAGCGTCTTCACCCTACCTCCGAGCATCTCAGGTGCCTTGGTAATGTCAGCAACATCCCTAGGACACCGCAAATCAATGAAAATAAGTGAAGAAAGCATGCGGCACTCACTCGATGGGTATCCCAGCCTCCCTGATCTTCTTCGCGGTCCCTCCAGAACCGAGCAGACGGACTCCAGCACTGCGAAGTCCCTGTGCAAGATCGAGGAGATCAGTCTTGTCGTAGACTGACAATAGAGCTTTTGTGGGCTGTTAGATGAGATCTAGTTGAATGTAAGTTTTATCATACCAATAGGTTGGGTCATTGTGATGGATGGTGGTATATAGACTGGAGACTAACTTTGTCCAACATCGATCAGAAAATATCGATCTTATCTTATTTTATCTACGAAAGTTACCAAGTTGATACGTATTAGGGAGGCGTGCCGCGATGCCGGGTGTCCGTTTGAAATTCGATAAGGGTCTGCCCCCAATAAACCTTAAATTTGTGAGGGTACCCTGCAGATTAACATAATCATACCGTGTGTAGGACGTTATTTTATTTGATATTATTTGGAGAACATGCTTGGCGCATTTAATTGTACAACTTGAACTGTGGATGTGCCTTCAAGCTAGTGTATGCATATCTACAGCACTCGAGCGAAGAGGTGAGTGCTGACGTCACGCGTTGGGATCCTACCCAGTCGCGTCACGTGTGCAGCCAAAACTTTGTACAGTTGAAATGCTCATAATGCATACCGTTGGGACCGCCAAAACGTTATGCATTATGAGACATATGCAATAGCATATGTGTCACACTATTGTGACGCATGTGACCTCCGCCAAAAGTGTGACAGAAAATCGTCCATAGTCCTACAGAAGTACATGTATTATACCGAGAAGAATTGTTCTAAAGAAGTTTGTCTAGCATTAAGTAGTTCTTCGCGTCGTAGGTTCGCGCGAAACTTTCGAAGTTGTGATGATAAATCAAGTGAAAATTGAGGATCACCATATTGCATGCATCCAACTTCAAGCTGCTGGCACAAATCGAGAATATTTTGACGAGTGATTGATGGATCCGCTTCGTCGTCGTCGTCGTCATCAGAATCAACCTCGATAACTTCACCATTTGCAACGGCAATTTCGTGGCGGACCGTGTCTGCAATGGATGAGTCACCACCTTCAAAAGCAGAGAATTCTCCCTTATCTCTCTCCTCGGCGGGGTCCAGAAGTTCATCAATAGTTGGCAAGGTACCGAAAATGGATTGCGTGCTTGGAGTTCTCGGACTGATTGCATAAGCGCAGCTTCGGTAGAAGATAGCTGGGCAGCTTGTTGTGAGCGCGCGGGAATACAAATTTTGAGGCCGGTACGACGAGATGCAGCTTGCATAAGTGCATCAATGGCATTTAAAGCCATCTCCACATCTCCTTCAGCATCCATTACAGCTTTGAGGGCTGGTCTCCAATCAGAATCTATGTAGCGCTCGCCAAGAAGAGCCTGTAGCTTGTTCTCCGCATTGGGAAGGGACATTTCGGTAGTTGCGAATTTGTGGACGATGTTCCACGCAAGTGGATCCGTGTGAGGCCGTGTGTCAGCGTTAGTCGTTGGATCACTGTGATAGACTTGAGCACCCAAAAAAATGAGGTCAAAAGATGACTTACACTTGAATGTCAGTGTGATCCCAACAATGTTTGATGGTTTCGGACGTGACAGCATACCATGCTTGCTTCGCCATTGTCATGCCTTCGAGAATATTAATTTTATAAATATCCCGTTCGCCAGCTTCGTCAAGATCAATAGCACGCGCGCAAAAATTACGGCGATATAGTGCCTTGAAGCATCGGATGATTCCAGCATCGCATGGTTGGACAAATGGTGTCATGTTGGGCCCAAAAAATTCAAGATCAATGTTTGATGGTTGATACGAGATGCTGTGGGCAGAGAAATTATCAATAAACATGCAAATGTGCCGGTTTTGTTGCTTCATCTGAAGATCGAGTTTTTTGATCCATCTAGGCCACTGATTAGATATTAACAGCAATCATATCATCATGTCCACGTACTCCTCAAATATGACTGCTGTCATCCAAGCCTTCTTATTATTCCGATAATAAAATCCCCGCTGTTCCGGTGTCTGCTTCTTGAAGCATCGGGGTTTCTTTGCCCTGCCGATAAAAAAAGGCTCGAGCCTCTCGCTTCCATCTGCGTTGCAGGCTAATCTGATGGAGATACGGAATTTCTCTTTCTTCTTACCACTCATTTGTCGTGTTGCAAGGCCACGGTCTGGAGGTGCACTAAAATGAAAAAAAAATTAGGTGACATAGATTAATATAAATGAACACTCACTAAGGAAAGAATGATGTCTCGTCAAAATTCCACCGATCTTTGGGAGCAAACTTCACCAAGATCTTACGACAACGCTCTCGTTCTTTATCAACAGCTTCGATGTCAACAGACCCAGCTTCTCCATGCCGTCGGTACTCGCGAATCTTGTAGGCAGTACAAAATGATTGGAGCCATTCCCCCGACAGCCTTTCATTTTCCGGGACATCAAACTCATCTTCAAACCTTTTCCGTTTCTCTCGCAGCATAGGCCCAGTCACTGTTTCACGTCTACTCTCCATGTGCCTAACCCACAGAATTAAGGCACGTTCGACATCGGGCCTTGTGACAATCCTTGGCCGCTTCGATGACAATGCATTAGGGTTATCGTTGATCCGTGCTTCCATTTTTGGACGTTCCCGCAACTTGCGTGATAAGGTTGACTGCGTGAAATTGAGTGCACCCGACTTGAGAGATTTAAAGTGTTCAACAATTTCAATCTGTGATACAGTAGGATGAGAATCAACAAATGAATAGACTGTTAACCAGTCAGAGAGTGTAAGATTGTGGCGAGAAGTGCATTTGGGAGAATGAGCTGAAGTTCGAGGAGTGTCCTTGGTGATTTTCTGCCGCTTCGCAGGTCGGTTATAGACAGCGGGCTTGTCACAGGGTTTGCGTTTTGGGTTTACGGACATTGTTGTGTGGTATCGTACTGTCGTGATTACTTGCTAGCTTCTATACATAGTCGAACGAGACAATACCACTGAAGCAGAACCACCTGTACCTGTAGGTTTGATGTATCACTTCTTACAATTGTAGATGAAATGGGATACAATAATTACTGAAGTCCATAGATACCTATCATTGTAGGGCTGATATATCAATGGAGGATCCTGTCAGGACACTCCCATAATAATCTCACACCCCTAATTTTCGCATTTTTGGCCACCTACTGTGGGAATTTCCCCACAACACTTAAAAATAGATTGCTTCTCCACATTTTCGCATTTTTAGCCACCCCACTACACCTAAAACATCACCCATTTTGGGAATCTCCACAATATCAATTATTCCCACACCCTCCCCACCTCACTGCAGCTTCACCACCACACCACAATAGGTCCCCTCTTGTATCTAAGTAGTAGTTTGGTATATATATGTACAATATAATGTAATAGACCGCTTTTTTGCTTATTTGTGTGCCTGCTCCTCCTCTAGAGGCCATTTAACATATGTTAGAGTAAAGAACACTTTCGCACTTTTGCCCCTTTGGTGGGAAAGTGTTCTATTATATTCAAAACATGTTTATGAGCATATATGAGTATATTCCCATCTTTATTTGACCCCCTGAAGCGCCCTACATCAATAGATATAGCACATATGCAAGAAAACACAGAATATGTTCCCATTTAATTATTTCTAGGTGGACAGACTTGGAAAAATGATTCCCAGCATCTATTCAACAATATGAACAATTTATCAGGAGCCCAGGACCATGGGATAATTCCCTGTTGCATGATGTGCCCCCCCCTCTCCTGATGGTTCACCCCCTGTGAAATTTTTTCCTGCAGGACCGGACCTTAATTGAGGTGAGGGGTCTATTTCTATGTATATTTGGAGTAGATCTATCATATAGCTGGCCCAGAACACACATAGGATCCTGCTACAAGAACAAAAACATAGAAAATCTCACTTTTGACACTTTTGATGTTTTTTAGTATCTTACTCTTGCATAAATAACCATACCTGCTCACATATTATCAGTAGTACATTCACACATATGTTCTATGCCAAGGATCAGCCCTACATAGGGCGCAAATTTGATATCTGATGTACAGGGGGTATTTCTACTGATAGGAAACCTACAGAGTAATCTAGCCTGTGATAAGTGATCAGATACATGGGATACCTCTTATATATGTCCCTAATGATGGACTTGAAGTTTTAGAAAGATCAGTGAAGGACTGACTGAATGACAAGTAAAATGACATATGTGTGAAAAGTGACAATTGACATCTTTTGACACAAAGTCACATTTATATATGGTACAGGGCAAATATTTCATTGAAAATATGTAGGATATATGATAGACTACTAAATGAACCTATGCTACATACTGCCCTGAGGTTAGAGGGTGATGGAAGGAATGTGGTGTATATTTGAGTTGACCCAGCATTAAAGTCCTACTGCTGCCCAACTGACCATTTTCGATGTTTTGAGTCTTTGAACTTTCCCACACTCAATTTCTTATCTATTTCACTTCCTCAGCACTCAATTCTTGTTGGATTGTTTTGTAAATTTAAGTATATGATAGTGAATGTACTTGAAATCTACTCCAGGTGTCTGATTATTAAATTTCGATGTTTTGAAAGTATGGGCTCCTTATCAGTAGAAATAGCAAGTATCTACACTAGCTCAAACCTCCAGCCTATTTTGAGCTGATCCTTGTCATAAAAAGCAAGTATATATGCTATTCTAATGATATATGAACAGGCTGTATTATTTATGCAAGAGTAAGATACTAAAAAACATCAAAAGTGTCAAAAGTGAGATTTTCTATGTTTTTGTTCTTGTAGCAGGATCCTATGTGTGTTCTGGGCCAGCTATATGATAGATCTACTCCAAATATACATAGAAATAGACCCCTCACCTCAATTAAGGTCCGGTCCTGCAGGAAAAAATTTCACAGGGGGTGAACCATCAGGAGAGGGGGGGGCACATCATGCAACAGGGAATTATCCCATGGTCCTGGGCTCCTGATAAATTGTTCATATTGTTGAATAGATGCTGGGAATCATTTTTCCAAGTCTGTCCACCTAGAAATAATTAAATGGGAACATATTCTGTGTTTTCTTGCATATGTGCTATATCTATTGATGTAGGGCGCTTCAGGGGGTCAAATAAAGATGGGAATATACTCATATATGCTCATAAACATGTTTTGAATATAATAGAACACTTTCCCACCAAAGGGGCAAAAGTGCGAAAGTGTTCTTTACTCTAACATATGTTAAATGGCCTCTAGAGGAGGAGCAGGCACACAAATAAGCAAAAAAAGCGGTCTATTACATTATATTGTACATATATATACCAAACTACTACTTAGATACAAGAGGGGACCTATTGTGGTGTGGTGGTGAAGCTGCAGTGAGGTGGGGAGGGTGTGGGAATAATTGATATTGTGGAGATTCCCAAAATGGGTGATGTTTTAGGTGTAGTGGGGTGGCTAAAAATGCGAAAATGTGGAGAAGCAATCTATTTTTAAGTGTTGTGGGGAAATTCCCACAGTAGGTGGCCAAAAATGCGAAAATTAGGGGTGTGAGATTATTATGGGAGTGTCCTGACAGGATCCTCCATTGATATATCAGCCCTACAATGATAGGTATCTATGGACTTCAGTAATTATTGTATCCCATTTCATCTATAATTGTAGGTATTTAATGTATCATTCTTACAGTATGGCCTGGCAGAACAATAAATTTATGCAATACATTGTCGTACCTATTGTCCCGTCCTATCAATTTGGTACCTCATAATGCATATTGGCTATGCAAAGGTTATGCATTATGCATTATGCGGTCAATTACATGGGAACGCCGTCGGGATCCAAAAAAGTCCATGCATTATGAGACTTATGCATTGTTAGCATATGCATTATGAGCATTTCAACTGTAGTATGCATCTTGTATGAATCGATAGTCTTCAAAGCGACCAGGCATTCATCGTCGTCGGTCCAACTAATGTGTGACGCTGAAAGTGCTCTTCGTGCGAGCGTCTCACGTTTACTCACCGCCGCGATAGCAAAGCGCGTGCAATCACTGCCATTGGCACCTCAGGCAGCACTTCTCGGTGCCTATAAAGGGTCTAAGAGACCCGGTTAATATGTTATGGGAAACTAGTCTCTGAGACATACCCTCCCACCATCTATTAATAACTCTCACCTCTCGTCCCTCTTGCACCACCCTCCTGCACCACCCTCCGATACCTCCAATACCTCCTGCACCACCCTCCAATACCTCCAATACCTCCTGCACCGCCCTCCAATACCTCCAATACCTCCTGCACCACCCTCCGATACCTCTGATACATCTTGTGCCTCACTTGCACTTAGCTTGGCATCCGCTACTCTCTGATTTTTCAAGTGGTATGTCCTTCTCTTCTTTCCACCACTATGTCTTTCTCAACACCCCGTCCCACTCGTAAAGCTCAAGTCGCAACTTTTGGCCTGGGCCACCACTTTGTGAGCCCCAGGAAAGCTCGAGATAAACGGAAGACTCAAACATTGGTGGAGTTACCAGGCGCAGAGGCGAAACGCCGCCGACTTTTGGCTGAAATGAAGGAACTTATGAAGCCACGGTATGAAGAACAAAGCTCGCAGGTGTTGTCTCCTCATCCATCACACGATGATACTGCCAAGCACCCTCAACACATAGAGAATGATGATACCACAGCACTTCACTTTGAAGATGTGGAAACGTTCGACCAACCATCTCTCGATACCTCAGCAATCGACACTCCAGTCAAACGATGGATTGTGTCAGACCGATCGGCTAGTTTACTGTATAGTCACTGGAGCGACCTCATCCCAACTCTCATCGATCCTCTACTTCTCTACTTAGGGCGAACGCAGGGAAAACCACTGGAAACCACTCATTCAGTCATATCTGCATGTACTGGGACACTACCATGTACACCAAAACGAGCAACTTTGATGTGTTTGTTTTTTGACCGTAAGCTTATATTTATCTATCACAGAAGCGGGCACTGATACTTGCTTAGGATACGCGTCTATAGATGTGCTAAGCTGTACATGCTCCACTCTCCCGCAGGTACTTCTCCACCATGGTCTATTCCCAACTGCACCTTCACAGCCTCGAATGGCTGTATCTGTTGATTTACTTTCATTCTACCGTGCACTGTTTGAACGCTCATGCGACGCGATTAACGCTCTCGCATCAGCGCTGAAAAATCATTACTCTCGTCGGGGCTTCCAGGTGACCGACGCACAGGTAAGTTTCAATTACATACTCGAATTACTACTGACAAGCTTTGGAAGGGTCAACTTATTCAAGACCCATTTCGTCGGGGTCTCGGTTATGCTGTTCAGTGGTTCGACATCCTGCAAATTCAAGTCGAACGACAACTTGAGATGCTTCTCCAACAAAGTCGCGATCACATAACGAAATTCCAGGCCTCCTTGCACGGCACCAATTTCCCTCCACCAGGTCGATGCGCGCCACTTCTGGTCCAACGATGTCCCGCCTGCTTTGGGGGCGTACTGCATGGCAGGCCCACAGATGAAGGAGGCGATGTACACGTTGCAACAGACGGGAATTTCCACCACCGTCATCGCCGCGCTGCTGGTGATTGTCCTCCATTCTATGACCCTACCTACTTTATCCCGAAAAACTTTGTTGATGAAATTGGTCGCCATATAGACACCCAACGTAAGCACCCCCCAAAGGCACATACCCCCATTGTCCCTGACGAAGCTGTCGACCAATGCGAGACTGCTTACGAGGCTGCTGACGGCAAAAAACAGAAAACTGCAATGGATAATTTTGATGACACCGGGATCATGGCGCTGATCTGTCGTCATGACATCCCGCTTTTCTTTGCTAACATTGATTCGCCTGGAGAACAACAAAAATATTCTGTAGCCCTTCTTCAGCATTTGTTTTCACTTCTCCCACCGGAGGCTACCGTTGTTGCCCTGTATGATGTTGGGTGTGTTCTGGCCAGATCACTCGCAAAGGTATGCTGAGACTTATGTTCTATTTACACACTCACACCTCTCTAGTATAATATTCTTCCTGAGACCATAACCAAACGACTTCGTCTCGCAACCACAGCAATGCATGCGTATGGCCATGAGTGGGCTTGCCAGCTCATCTATAATCCGCGAATGTGCCTTGGCCTTGGGTTGTCCGATGGGGAAGGGACCGAACGACTTTGGTCACGCTTTGTCCGGCTGATCGGTGTTGAGAGGACTTCTTCTGTGTGTGCCACCTCATTTTAATTACGATCTTACTCACACAAGACGTTAGCGCCAGCGCCGCCTGTGGCTTATTGATCGACAAGCAGCAGCCATAGGATCCGAGATGCAAACAGATCTCGGTGACTGGATTAAGCACCGCCTTAGACGAGGAATCAAAGAGCAAGGTTCAGCAGCGCAAGCTATGCTAGAACGATGTGGAATTCCCATCGCTGAATTGAAGTCTGAGTGGTCCCACCAACGTCAATCGCAATTATCTATTCGTGCTCGTAAGTAAGATTTATTAGAAATTGATCAGTGTTAATAGGTGACCTTGCAAGATGCTCCTGCTCGTCTTAAGAAAGAGCTGGACACCGTATTGGCTCTCCAGGCAGACCTGGACACATCAGATAGAGCACTACAGACTACGAGAGCCATGTTGGAGAAAGAATTTGCCTCTGACGACACATTAGAGGCGCTGGAGAGCCTCGAGAGGGGACATGACCGACTGATGGATAAAGTCGAGGCCCTTTACTCATCACTCAATGTTCATGAGAGGTTCCCCGAGCTTCATGATGTCAATCTTGAGTTTGTCCGCACTCTTCTAATGGCACGTGATCTCAAGATGAACGTTCGTAAGCGCGCCATTGCTAGTTTCTTCGAGTGGGACAAGCTTGACCGAGCAGTTGGTGGCGCACAGCAGGCTTTAGGTAAAGTTCTTCCCTTTTGCCACATTATGCTTTATTAATTTTTTGCAGGGACTAAATTACATCAACACACACGTAAAGCTATAGCTAAGCGTCAACCTGCCCTCATGACTGCTATCCGAAAATTTAATTCCTACTGTGAACGACTGGAGTCATTGTACGACCCCACTTGGGGGATTTTACTTCCTGCCCCACTTCCCACAAAACTGACCGAACTACGCTCCGATCCAAGATTGATGGAAGACGTATGGATCACACCATCAGTCGGAGAGGTTCCCCGATGGTTGGAGGACTCAGACGTGAGAGATGGTATCCGTGCGCTACTAAAGCAGGAATGCTGTCAAGAGGAGCAGATCCGCCTTGGCATTGAGGCCGAGAATCTTTGTCGCTTCTTCGGAGATGAACTTGCAGCACTTGAACTTGCAGTTCGGTTGCTGGAAAGTAAGTTAATTTAATTTTTCTGATGTAAAGTTCTTTTTTTGATTCATTTGTACTAGGTCAACCTTTTGCTGTTCCATTGCGACAACGGCTTGTTAATTTCCTCCGGCTCCAATTCCGATGGTCCAATCCCCTAGCTTCTTCGGCACGCTTCGCTAGCCAAGTGGACCGAGCACTAGACCTTGCTACCACCCTCTCAGGAGGCTCACGAACTATAGGATCTCACTGGAACAATACTGGCACGCTCACACTACCTGATCCTGAGGTTGATGAATTCCCTGTTGTTGATCCTGACCATGCCCCACAGGTTGACTCTGAGCAGGCTGCACTTGTTGATGTTCTAGAGGACGAGATGGGCACCCTGGAGTTAGATGAGGACGACTCGACTAATTATGGGCGCGAAGCTAATGCCGTCATCCATTGGGATCTTCCTGAGGTACGTATATGTTCAATGTCAGGAATATGGTGCTAATAAATTGTCGTAGAATCTCCTTATGGATGACTTCCGTGTTCCGTCACGCACCCCACCATCCGCGCCAGGCTCTCAGCCTAGGAAGGTTGCTGCCCGAGTAAGACCTTCGCACAATGGAATCCCTCCTCAGGTGTTTGAGCCGAAAGACATTGATATGCTTAGATCTCCGACGGCACGCCTCAATGACGTATGTATTAACAGTTGCGCCATCCTTCTGTGGTACTCTCAGTGGGATACATCGACACAGATCGCAATGTTGTCAACTCACGATCTTCCCCGTATTCGTTACAATGCGCCAGATGATGTCATCTGGCGCAATGCATCGTGGGTCCGCTATTGGGACAAGGATACATGGGTGCTTCCAATCCATCGTCCATCAGTCATTGGGCACTGGGTGTTATGTGTCATCCGGCTGTCGCACAAAGAGCTTCACCTGTTTGATAGCCTTGGCGATAGGAAGCCTTGGCCAAGTGATGTTAAAGTAAGTTGATTTTAATTGCGTATTTTGGTTTAACTGACGTGCGTCATGCAAAAGGATATAATGAAACTGATTGCTCGATTTCTGGCAGTGGCGCGTCAACATGGCCATCACGTTGATATTGACCTTGAAGGGTGGGTAGCACGACCACTGAATGTAAGCTCACTTTGTGTTTTTATCAGGATTCTGACAGTTTGTATTATTTAGATGGAACACCTTCAAACCAATGGGTATGACTGTGGTGTATGGGTTTTAGCTACCATTTTGGCCATTGTACGTGGTAGATATGTTACAGGAATGCATGAGCGAGATATGGACAATATGCGATACTATCTCCATACTATGGTTTTTGCCCTACCAATGATGTCATAGTGTAGTTCAATATCAATGATAGGCATTGCCCCACCAAGATGAGAGGATACGGGAGAGTAACAGAGGGGGCAAATGATGTTGGTGCATTACTCTTCAACGAGGTTCTGTGTGTTCAGAAATATATATTGCTGCATTTACACTATTTTACAGCATGATAGACGTTGAATGACATTGGATGCTTAATGTAGCAAGTCGCGAGTGACCAAATGTATTCAAAAATCGAGTCAAAAGGATGGAAAGTCAAGGGAGCAAGCCATGCAGCTTTCTGAAATTCATGCAAAGTAAGACAAGCATCATGGCCCAGTTAAACACACTGCCATTTTGCCCGTTACCTATTATAAGGCGTGCTCAATTCTTAGGATGTCAAGTTCAAGATGTGTCAAGTTCCTGCCATAAGCCAAATAAGATAGCCATTTGGGCTGCCGAAGCCACCGAAGCGCTTTAGACACTGTCACACCGATGGACTTACTGTTACAATAACATGTAAACCGAGAACCCCTCCTACGGAGGTCATCATGACCTTAGCCCCTATCCCACCATATGCACCGTCTTGGAAGACTTACCGACTCAACGGAGACTCGTAGAGACGCCTAGAACGGCCTGGATGCCATTAGAAGACCTAGACCAGCCTAGGCCACATCTGATCGGACCTAGACGGTCCTCGACCCGGATCATGAGGAAGCTCTGCCTCATGGTCAGAAGAGAAGCCGCATGCCTTAGCATGCGCAGTTAGACTCCAAGGCATGCTACGCCTTAAGGACAGATAAGAGAGGCATGGTAAGCCTCATGTACAGATAATCGACCGCATGGCATCAGATAAGATGCCCTTGTATAGACACACTTATACCTACCTACCGAACGTAGTATTGGTCTGTGCACACGGACGACAGTATATAGAGCAGACAGAATCATGTATATTCCCTACTTGATTCTACTAGGTTTTATCCAGAACTTCCTCTGAAAGACAGTCCCAGTCCTTCAGTCTAAGCCGCACCTTAAGGAAGCCGACGCTACCTTAAGTGGAACCCCCGAACCTCTCATTCGAGAGAAGATCCCCGTCTCTCCAATAGCGAGCCCGCTATCAGATTAGGCAATCCGCCTAGGGAGAGCCCGAACTATCCTAGTCTGTATCACTTACAAGTTTAAGTGAACATAGAAACTTCGATGTAGTCAACTGACTAATGATGGGCTATCCAGCGCAGAATGTAGTACAACACTATTAGGAAGTCTTCACCGCAAAAGTAGCATTTCTATAAGATAACTCCCAGAATTCTAGCACCCTTCTATCACGCCATAACAAGAAGCACCACCTCTTCCTATCGGGTACCATCAGTGCTCAACATCCCGTTTTCTTCTGAAACGCATGATACGATGTTGGAGAGAGAGAGAGAATTGAGCTCGATCATTGCACATAACTTCTCGTGTGGGGACAGTGCTGAGAGTCGCTGGTTATCGTTGGGGGGCTCTTGCTTGTGCGGACTGAGGATAACATCTGCCAGAGAATCAAAGCTGCCATCGCCGATGGTGGCTGGGATCTCCTCGAGCTCTTTAATGCGCTGTTGGATGCGTGCTTCGATGAAGCGATCGCGCTCATTGATGATCTGGTGCACGTCGAGACCTACGGGCATTATGGAGGGAATGAGGAGGCGCTGGAGGCGTGTTGCAACCATAGTTGGGTCGACGTTCGGTGGGCGCTCAAGGTGGGAGAAGGGAAGCCTGAATGCATTATACGGGTACACACCCGAGTTAACAGCTTCCTCGAAGAATTACGACTTCAACTGGCACAGGTGTTTCGGTGGGTGGGGGCAGGACAATGTGGCCTTTCTGTATTTTAGCAGCACTGTCGACTGTACAGGGTACACACCTGAGTTAACAGCTTCCTCGAAGAAAGGGCCTTTGGGAAGATCAGCAGGGTCGATGGGAGAACCATGCTCTTCTCCATTTATGACTTCAACTGGCACAGGTGTGTCGGTGGGTGGGGGCGGGACAATGTGGCCTTTCCGTATTTTAGCAGCACTGTCGACTGTACAGGAGGGGATGTCTGGGCCCTGGAGAAGCTTCTCGAGATCCGGGACGGCAGTGTTGGAAATGTGAATTGCATGCTGTATGTGGTCTGGGATGGGAGAACCATTGACTTGGGAGGTGAATCAGTCACTGGGCGTGAAGATGATGTAGAGCTTACTGGATAATGGTATCAAGGACTCATCGCGCCCTGCATAGTGCCACTTGCGAAATAGGCCTCCCAAAAGGCTATGAAAAAAATTGCAACCCTCTCGAGCCTCCAGAAATGAGCTGGCACCAGGTACCAGTCCCTTGGGTCATAATTACTGTTTCAGGTATGTCCTGGCGCTTGAACTGTTCTTCCTCTTCGATTTCAACGTTCCAGTTTCGCTTCTTCGAACTTACTACAATTATCCAAGTTCCAAAATTTTCATGGTTTGCACATTATCGTTTGATCAATCAGTACCTACCGGTACTTCTGTACGTTAATTGTACGTTACCTCCTGCAAAATGGCCGCATCCACCAGCACATCAAGATCATCCTACCGGCGTGACCTTATTGATGTTGCCACGCTCACAGACTCACAGACTTTTTTGGTTACTCGGATTGTAAGTACTGACTGTACTATGGTTGTATTTTCGGATTTGCTGATATGCTTCCAGATGGTGGATAAGGTGGTGTCGACAGCGGACACTGAACTTAGTGAAGTCACCGAAGGCTCCCAAGTCAGTGAAGGATGGAAGAGCCTCGATGGGATACCTTGTATCATGGGTGGGATAAAGGCGCTTGTCGGTAGGTTCGTCACAACACATTTACACTAATCTTGACATCATTGTAGCATCTCTTGGCGGGACACTGCGTGGGCGCACAGGTAGTGACTTCCCCTGGAAAACACTTCCAAAAGAATTAGCTCGCCTTGGGTATGTTCTCGTCAATTATCCTGACGAGACCTTGATGCCTGGCGAGCTGCGACCCACTATCTCTCGTTCTAAAGGCATCCACGATCTGACCCAACAGCATCGCGTCAATCTCATCAATTGCCTCAAGGCAGGTACCCTCACCATTCGAGCAGTTACGAATGATGCTGCTCGCATGCGTCTCACTACTTCAAAGGACCCTGTCATCATCGGAGACGCCCCCTCAGCCTGCTCCATGTATCCCCGTGGGCGACGTGCATTTGCTGATGGCCACATTGACCAAAAGGGTCTTCGTCGTCTACAACGGCTTCCTTCACCTGTTCTTCAACCGTCTCCTTCACCTATTCTTCAACCGTCTCCTTCACCTGTTCTTCAACTGTCTTCTTCACCAGTCTCTCATCGTCGCGTCCAAGTCATTGTGGAGATCACACAGCCGCCTCCCCGCCCAGTTTCTATCACACAACCGCGGATCACACAGCCGCCTCCCAGCTCAGCTTCTATCATGCGACCGCCACCCTGCCCAGCTTCTCGAGCAGTTCACAAACCATCTAGTACGCGCACCGAGCATCTTATTCCCCCAATTACTTCCGTCAATGGGGCTGAATCAAGCTCTGAACATGACAGTACTGATGATGAAAATGATTGTGAGGATGAAATTTGCGAGAGTGGTCGTTACCCTGTGAAGCGCCTTAGACGCTGATTGAGCCTATCTCTATCCTGAGACCAAACGTAGATAGGACGTGTACGTAGCCCAACATAATCTGTGCTCATACCTCTAACCTGATTTTGATATCCCGCTGTATTCGGGTACAAACTAAGGTTTCAGCCTCATTGTCCTCAATGTGATCTTTAGTAATAAATCTGCTTTTATGCCGAACCCTCTCTGGAGCCTCCGGAGCCTCCCAAAGACCTGGCTATTCGACGAGTCGCCCTCTACACCCTCTTCAGCCACCATTCTTAGACCTCCGTAATATTTTGCACGTTGAGTTTCGCTTCTGTACTCCTGCCTGTTCTAACTTATTTAGTCTGAATGAAATTAAAGATGGCCTGCAGAAACAGAGACCCTGTACCGACTAAATCTTCCATAAGTATGAGGCCTTGTGTCCGTTTTTTTCGCCCACTTTCAGGACCCCAGCTGCCCACCTAGTATCTCGTATAATACGTTCAAAGGACAGTGCCAATTTCACCCCCTCTGGGCAGGTAAGCAACGCCCTCCTGCCTGCATCCAATCTTCTTAATATTCATATACATTTTGCTAGATATTGCAGATATGACCCAGAACACCCGTGATAATCCTGCCAGTGACCAGTGGTCGACCCAGAACACCCATGATAATCCTCCTGCTAGTGACCAGTGGTCATATCCTAACCCCTTCATGGACTCACCTCCTACATTCGACTACACTCAAGAGCAGTTAGGCGGAGGACGATATCAAACACCACCTGTTGAGTTGACACCCTCCCGCCTCAGGAGCAAGCTCAAGCCTACGGCATGGGACGTTGGCATTATCAGAGGGGCCACTCTCTGTCGCCAGGCCTGTCAGCAACCCTCTGAGGACAGCGCACAGTCTGATCCACCAGGCTTTAACCACGAGGGGACTTCAACAAGCGACACGTCATTGCTTGCGCCTAATGTTGCTGAACGTCATCATGCCTCACCAATTCCACCTGCTTCACCTGCCCCTCCACAATCAAGCGATTTGTCGTCGCTTACGCTTAACGTTGCCCATAGTCGTCAGGCCTCGCCATCTCCATTTGCTCCTGCTGCCCCCACACAATCAAATGATGCATCATCACTTACGCTTAATGTTGCTCACAGTCGTCATGCCTCGCCGTTCACACCTGCCCCTGCACAATTGCCAGATCTATTTTATGGCTCTAGTATGAGCCACCAAGCTGCTTGGATGGAGCAAAACTCTGGCGCTGACACCTATAACATGTTGGGAGGTGACACCTTCCCAGCCGGGTTACTTGAGGATCAAACTTTAGACGTGGTTGGAACGTCTGTGCCTGCTAATGTGCAAGGCGGCCAGCTCACCATGCAAGATGTGTCCCGCCTACCACCTCAGCCCTCGTTTCATTTTCCTCAAAGTTCAATGGGACCATCGATGGCACTTCCTCGTGGATGCTCGCAAGGCCCTGCGGGTCAACAACCTTCAGGTTTTCCCCAGGATTTGTCTCATCTCGCCCCATTTGTACTCCGTCCCGTGCCATCCTCGTCTCGAGACCATGTGCTCCCCCTGCCAACCACAAATATAATCCCACCAACGCCGCTGCAGCATGGCGCCAGCAAGACTAACAACACCAATTCGATGAACACTGCCGCGACTCAGGCACTCCCTATTGTGACGAGAGATCCCAGTCCACGGTTGGACCTGGGGCATTATCCTTCTGCTGCTGTCTCCAATAGTCGGTTTCCTGAGGAGAATGAGCCAGTCACGCATAATGATGGTCCCACTGTTACAGGACGCAGGTCTACAGAACTGAACGCAACCCTTGATGCCGGGTTTGCAGAAGTTGAACATTGCTTTCTCAATCTGTCAACATCTACCACACTCCCCGTCAACCAGCTGATCAATTCATTCTTGAAGAGCCGTGGACGCACGGTGGTTAGTACCAATTACTGGAATCTTTACGCAAACTACTTTAAAGATAACGTCCGGCAAGAACTTGCTCGCATTGGCAGAGTGGCACCTGAAGGAGGTGGTACACCTAGTGAGTACAATTTCACTGGAATCATGTATATCATGTTTATCGTCTTGCAGGTGCAACCGTGCGAACACAATGCTACGATAAGTTCAAGGAAGCCTACCCCGACACATATCAAGACATCCTGTCGATGCACGAGGAGGCATCTCTCCTAGGGTCATCTCCCCAAACCATTGCGCAGCGTGGCCAAACTTTTCAAAAACACTATCGAAGGGTTATCAATATTGTATGTTATTATATTATCTACTGACACCACCTGACTCTTTTTGTCGTAGCTTGAGTCTGGTTCCGTTAAATTTGGCTTTGAAGCAGCTATCATACTCTGTGGGAAGGTGGTTAATGAGGACGGATCACTCGGTCACAACTATAACACACCTGGCGCTGCGGGGGTAAGCTTATTCATAGGTATATGTACTGATACACACTCAACAAGTAATAGTTTTGGCAGACATGGTGCCGCGCCAGTAATGATGCAATTATAGGTCATCTTAAGGCACATGTGTAGTAAGTCGAAGATTAGTTATGTTTACGCAAATCCTCACGTGGCTCTAAACAGCAATACGACATCTCTATCCACAGTCGATGACGCATTTAGGGACGACGTTGATGATAGTCATGATGACCCAACCACCACCACCAACCTGGATCAGTCTTCTGACATCATTGAGGGACGCGACGATGGTTTGAAGTGGGTGAAGAGCCAAATCATCAAGGCAGTCGGTATGTTTGATTATCGTCTGTCTTTTCATTCACTTAAACTAATGTGCCATACGTCACACCAGCCCGAGTTGGTATGTTTGATTATCACCACTATTTTTTTACTCACGTTAACTAACATAATCTTATTATGCTAGCTCGACCTGGCGCTGGGTTCAATGACAAGAACTTTCCTTGGAAACTTATGCCGTCGGCCCTTGTGGAAGCCAATCTTTGTATCAAAGGATACCCCGCTCACAAGTGTCTCTTACCGGGCGAAACTCACAATGAGATTTCCAAGAAGAAAGGTATTGCTGCGCTGACACAGAAGGAAGTCACAGCACTTGCAGATGCTTTGAAGGCAGGAACTATGGTAATTTGCAAATCTGAGCATGAGCGATGTACGTGTCAACTACGCTATGCTAGCGAACTGATGCGAACTGATTTTTATGACATGTAGCGGTAATGATTGCCTCTGAGAAGCCTGTAGTCGTGGGCGAAGCGCCTCCATCAGATTGGCCACATTCTGGTGCCCGACAACTCTATCTTGATGGCCACACGGATTACAACGGCCCTGCTCGCCTCAAGCCCAGCACTGCGACCACAAAAATAAAGAAGGGTAATAAAACGCTCAAGGCCCCTCTTCCTCCTCTACCTTCTATCGATGAATCGGATGATGATGATCGAGCTGGACCTTCTGCTTCAAAGCGCGCACCTCAGGCGATCCCCCCGAAACCAAAAATGCGTGTGGAACTTGATCTACTTCCACCTCTACCCTTACATCCTTTCAGAGTCGTTCCTAGGTCGGCTATCCCCCAGGCTCGGAACGAGCCATCTGTCCCTCAGAATCGGAGTGAGCCAGCTGCCCGTCAAGCTCAGGGTGATGTTATCGAACTAACGTCCACTGAAGAGAAGCCCTCCGAAGAACCTGACACGGAATACGAAGAAGCAGCACGTGGGAAGAGGAAGCTTAAGTCGACAAATACATCGCGTGCGTCAAAGAAGCTTGCCCCATCGACAGAGAAGACTGACGCTTCGAAAGTGGGGAAGAAAGGAGTAGGAGCGAAGAACAATCCCCAACCCAAGGGTCCTCCCTTGCAGACGTCAAACCATTCTCCAACAAAGGGCGGTCCACTATCCCCATTGACAGTGGGTTCATCGAGCGTAGCAGCCTTGCCGGAAAGTGAGTATTATTTGCTTCTATTTAAGTCCTGCTTATTTCAGATTTTACAGGCACAGCAATGCGACTTCGAGATGGGCCCTCAAACGTCTCGGAGGGAAAAAAGAGTCAGTTTATTTTATTTGTTTCTTTATTTCTATGTCTCATTGTCTACACTCTAGAACATGTCAAACCACGACCAGTCACCAAAGGCTCTAAGCGTCCTATGAAGCGTGCTCTTCGTATGGTATATAACGACTCGGACTCTGAATCCGAAGAGGATAAGGACGCGAAGGCAGCTACTGAAATCTGTGGCAATGTCGAGTCCTCTGGTGCGGTCCATACTCAGGCAGATGATGTTCCAGAAGGAGGGGCACTACACAATGAAGTACCAGTGGGTAATACACACGAGGAAGAACAAGTTCCTGCTGTCGCACCTACTGTTCCAAACCAACGGCCTCTTCATGTCCCTCGTCCCCAGGTTCCGCCTCTTCGTGATGTGCCTCGCTCCGATAGTCCTCATGACTCAGAACCTCTTCGTGATGTCCCTCGCTCCGATATTCCTCGTGACTTAGAGCCTGACGTCCCTCATCCCAATACTCCTCGTGATCCGGAACCTCTTTGTGATGCCCCTGGTACCCAGATTCCTCGTAACTCGGATCCCTTGCATGACCCACCGCGCAACCTTCATGAGCCTTCACACAACCCTCGTGAGCCTCTCCAGTACCCTCGTGAGCCTCTCCATTACCCTCGTGAGCCTGCTTGGCACGACCCTCGTGGTGCCCCTCCTGACCCACGGGATGATATTCAATATGACCTTCGTCATCCTTCCCATGGCAATTCTCGTGACCCTCTGCACCCATACGACCAACGTTACCGTGTGCGTCATCGCGAGGTCCAGAGTCAGCGTGAAGTCACTCCAATTACCGACCGTGACTCCCTTCACCCCCACGATACCTTTTACCCGCGTGATTCTCGTCATCCCCGCCACCTTAGTGGTTACCCACATCCGGAGAGTGATTTCAATACTCGGGATAGCTCTCCTGTATCGGATCTTTTTGGTCACGGTGAGCAGGAACGCTCATACCCAAGCAGGTATAGCCCTGTATTTGATCCAGGCTATGCTCGCGAAGCTGAATATAGTCGACGCGAGGACCGTGATGAGCGTGGGCACTTATTGGCTCCCTATCGTCCAGTTGGTGCAGGTGCTTATCGTAATGGAGGATACCCCCAAGACAGAAGATACTACGAGTCGAGGTGGACAGACCGTGAGGATCCCTATGTCCGTGACGCCGTGCCACGATCCATTCGTGATGCAACTAACCCCCCGCGAGCACCTCCCCCTTAACCAACGCCCACCTTACTTCTTAAATTCATGTCTATGTTTTCCCCGTCGTTATGGTGTCCTGTCATATTTTGCTCATGCCTATCCCCATCATCTTGTTGCTGTGTCGTGACTCCCTGTTATACCTCACATTGGTAGCTACTATGTTTTGTAATCTTTTATGTCAATATCAGTATAGCGGCTGCACAGCCTGCTTTTGTCTCGTTCGTAATGTTCACCTGATCACGAAGAATGTTGCACAGGAATGAAATCCTCAGACAAATGATCACACTGCCAAGACTTCTTATATCTCAGAAAACTTGAATCAACGGAGATTTCATGATTCTCATCAAACATAAGCATTAGATGGAGGGAATAACCTAACCCAACATAACATAACATAAGTAATGACATAAACAATGGGAGGCTACGAGAGGGTCGTTATACCGATGACGGCGGGACAGGTTTATATAACATGTTGGGCTCTCAGAGAGGCCTCTAGAACCGGAGAAAATACAACATAAGTAATGTCATAAATGATGGGAGGCTACGAGAGGGTCGTTATACTGACGACGGCGGGGAGGTTTGTATAACATGAAGTTGAGGGCTCTCAGAGAGGCCTCTAGAACCGGAGTGGACTACCCTCCAGCGACAACGGACGAGTCCATGGGGTGACCTGCGAGGGTGTTGTTGAGCCTCTTGAGGGGGTTGAAGGGGAGGCCCCGGGGAGAGGCAGGTCTCAGAGATGGGTTTCGTCCTACAACGAAACCAGGTCTAACAGACCGTGAGAACAGTGCAAAAGTGCTGCCAAGGGTGGCCATTGGTCACATCCGAGTCCCAATGGACTGGGCGTGGAGTCCTTGGTGCTATTCTTCCGCTTCGAATCAGTTAAACATTCTCAGGCTGTCGCTGGTGGTCTAAGGTCTTTTCTCGACAATCAACACCTTAGGTTCTTTTGCATAGACAGGTTCACCGTGACACCACCTCTCTCTCCTCAAGACAAGTGGAGAGGGAAAAATTGTTAACATCCTATCTGGAACCACTGTGCAGATGTTGAAGTCGACTATGAAACCGTTGCTTGAGACGCGCATGCCTGGATGGGCTTCAATTACTCTCTGGCCATCCGGTGTGGCGCACGGATAACATCGAGCTCCTTCTCCAGATTACTGTCTCTCGGATGCAAGTTACGTGGTCACCTGATGGCCAACAACTTGTCTCTGTCTCATTAGACAATAAAACACTCAAACTTTGGAACTCGTTGAATGGAGACCAGCCTGTTGAACTTTGCACCGGTCACACTCGCTCAATCGACACACCATATCCTCTGATAGGTCCTTCATCATCACCTCGAACGACAGGATCGTGCAGCTGTTGTCTCGGACCACAACTTAGACAGGCACTCGAACCTACCATAGGTGTCGAATCTGCTGCAATTTCTCCCAATATTGTCAGTAGAGATGACCGATGAAAGGTTTGGCTCCAGTCTATCACAGTTATACTTGAGCAAGGCAAGGAAGAAAGGATAGCGGAGGGTGAAAAAGCACAGCGAAGTCGCTGATAGACTCAACGACAATACTACTGACTTATTCTCTAGGAAAACACTTGTTGACCCTACACTGAACAGTTCTTCAGCTGGGACTTCGACTCTATGGCAAATTGCCAATAAAATATGGTGCAACACGTTCCTTCGCACATATTGGGTGACCGAAGCCGTCGAATTTTACCAATATATGATGAGCGTAATCGACGAACCTGCAGTTTGGTTCGAATGGTTCACTAGTAGTGAGTATTTGAAGTTTTCAGATGAACTTGAACAAAGACTTACTCTTTGAGGTCTTTTAGCCTTCAAGAAGAAAAAACTGCACTGCGCACTGTGTCTCAAAGGGCTAGGAGACTGTTGCGAGAAATTATAAGTTGAAATTTATTCAGCAGGATCAGGCTGAACTCATGCGAGTTCCTCTGTGTCGCAGTAAGGGAAAATTTGGAATGAAACCTTCATTCTGAAGCTCTTCACAATGCGGAAAAGGTGCTGATGATGTCCATAATTCGTAAACATGCTGATACTATTGATGCTCAGGACATCGTACCCAACCCTTCGTTCATATCTTGTATACGAAGTGAAGCATGCAGCGCCTCACTTCGACGCTATGATGATGCACCCGACTCGCACAAGCCCAAAACTACTCATGCGCAAACGCGAATATGGTCAACCTCAACCCTCGCGGGTGAAACTTCAAATCAACCGGCTCATCTTCTCTATAAGATCCACTAAGCACTGTTGTGTTTGATGGAGACTCAGACTTCGACCTGGCAGTTGTCGTCCGTGCTCTGTTGCCTACTTCGAGTAGACTAACAGTACTAATGCTGGCGCAGCTCTGGAAACAACGTTGATCGCTCGCCATGGACAGCGTTTTGGTACACTTTTGTTAGCGCAGCATGGTGGGGAGTGTGAGATAATCATGTCGGATCACAATCGCACACAAGTCGTGGATGCAGCTAGATCTATTCATGACATGAGGGATGTCAGGACACTAGAGATATTGGTTTTCACGCGGTTTGATTTCGACAAGAAAAATTCCCCTAATATCTTTCGTATGATATGCTGTCCACGACTGCATGCACGGCATTGTAATTGAAATCGAAATCCAGATGATCATTGATCAAAGAGAATAAAAATGTATCATAGATGTTATCTTACTGTCGAATAAGCCTACTGTAGTCCGCCTTCCATACATACAAGCAATCCACACAACACCGCAGTAGTACATTATTAGAAACACAAATAACAATACAAGTATCATACTACCGTCCTGCTCCCTGTGTAGGCTTTGCCATTTGCATTTGCATCTGCATCTGCATCTGCTGCTGCTGCATCCCTGCTGCTGCTTGCCCATTCACCTGAGCCTGATTTGGCATTCCCCGTCCAACACCCCACGGAGGATAGTTCGGCTGCAATCGTCCAGGCATGGGATAGCTCATATATGGATACATCTGATACATCATTGGGTGCTGCTGCTGCTGGTCCTGCCCAGGCGGTCTGTACGGCATTGTTGGAAAGTTATACTGCTGTGACATGCCCGGGTGCTGTGCAGCTTGTGCAGGTTGGGGTGGGAGCGGATTAGAATTGGGCATGGGTGAGCCTCTGGCCTGATTTTGGAGCATGGGTGAACCTCTGGCTTGGTTCTGGAGCATCGGGCTGTTTCGAACCGCAGGATGTCCCGGCAAGGGGCTTCGCGATTGTGAATTCTGCGGTGTCATACGTCCGGCTTGCACGTGAGCTTGTGGCTGGTTTTGAGCCTGTGCCTGTGCCTGCACCTGTACCTGGTGGGCCTGATGAGGTTGTGCGTGGTGAACTTGAACTTGAGCCTGGGCATGGGGGTGAGCTTGGGCCTGAGCATGAGCTTGGGCTTGAGCTTGGGCTTGAGCATGAGCTTGGGCCTGAGCATGAGCTTGAGCCTGCGCCTGAGCCTGAGCTTGCGCCTGCGCCTGAACCTGCTGAGCCAATCGGGCTTGTTGGTGCAGTTGCATCTGTTGCATTTGTTGAAGCTGATACATCTGCCCTTGAGCGTGACCTTGAGTTTGAGGATGCTGCTGCATCACATGTTGCCCAGCAGCCAGCTGCGTTGCACCAACCTGTTGCCCGGCTTGTGCAGGGGAAGGTGTCGACTGAGATGGATAAGCCACCTGGGGGGTAGCAGCTTTGGGTTGAGAACCTTGCGGTGAAGCAATTGCGAAGAATTGAGGGGCGGGTTGAGGGCGGTGTGTTGTTGGGGGAAGTTGTGAGCCAGCTGCGAGAGGTGAGGAGTGCGGCGCTTGCGATGGTGAAGGGCGTGGTGATTGTGTGAACCTTTGTGCAGGTGACTGTACAGATGGGAGCGGTGAAGGCGCGCTTACACGGGGTGATGGGGAGGTAGCGTGGCGTGGCTGTGATTGAAGCTGGTTTACCGTGGGGTGTGGGGCAGGAGTAGCGGAAGAGCGTGACACCTCGGGGGTGATTTGAAAAGCCTGCGTCGCATCGGCTTTCTTCTTTGTTGGCTTGGGTTTCTGGTCAGCAACTGGCTGGGGAGTTGGTGTTGGCGCCGGTGCGGGCGCAGCCAAGACGGGAGTAGGTTGTAATTGAGCGGGCTGGGGTTGCGGCGTAGGCACAGGAGCTGGTATTTGGCCTTGTGTTTGATTTTGGCTCTGTGCTTGATTTTGGCCTTGGGCATTTACTTGAGCTTGAGCTTGAGTCTGAGTTTGTGCTTGAGCCTGAGCGGCAGCTTGTGCCAATTGGGCCTTGAGATAAGGCTGTGTTTCCAATCCAACCGCCATGCGAACTTCCTTGACGCGACGGATTGCATCCAATATCCGATAACTAAGTGAAGGTGAGTAAGAAGAGGATACTTTGGAACAATACGAAATACCTTGGGGCGTGAGAACGATTTTGTCTCTGGTTCATGAACTGCATGATCTTGGCCCGACGAGTCTTGTCGGACTCATCTTCCTCGGGCGTAATAGTAGCTGCTTTGCGTTTCAAGGAGATGGGTATACTTGGAGTAGAAACTCTGAGGGTATGATTCGCGATACGGGTTAAATGTGGGTCTGGGTCAAGACATAGGGGAGGTGCTGTTTGTAGCTACAACGACGAGGATGAGATATGGCAGAAAATGTCACGAATATAACATACTAGTATCTGTGCTTCAAGTTCAAGTACTTCCGTGTCTGTGAACTTATTGCCTGAACGTTGATTCATGAGACATAGATTCGCCCAGAGAGTCTCATCATTCGGGTGCAGAGCAACACGGCTCCGTTCAGGTTTCTCGAGAGGTGGGTCCTTTGCTTTCTTTGGGCGGTAGTCTAGTAGCTCCACAAGCATGCAGCCTAACGAAATCATGAATTAAGGACCTTGTACGGATGACCGGCTACTCACCATCATAGAATGGCACGCGTGCAGAGTCGAAAAGTTCAAGGTAGTCAACCGGTATACGGTGCGCTCTAACGTCATCAAGTATTGACTATTGATGGTTAGCACAATTTCTGCATCTTAAATTCAGTAACGCACTGCGATAGGATTATTATACAGGAATTTGGATCCGTTGTTGAGTGTCCAGTGGTCGGGATAGAGATGGACTGAGAAAGATGGTGCAGCGTCTTCATGCAAGTCTAGTAGTTGTTCCGCCGAGCGCGTAATATTGTAACAAGACATTGCAGACTACTTACGCGCTCGCTAATGGCTTCAATGGCACCGTCTCTGATGACGGTCCAACCTAAGTAGTCCAAACTTCTGTTCAAGGACATTTACGTAATCGTCCGCAATCCATTAAGCACTCGTGGGAATTATAGTAATAATGGATGTTGTACAATGGAGGCACAACTAAAGGAGGTTCGTGTCTTGATGGACAACTAAATCAAAGTGTTGACTTACTTGCAGCTCATCCCATTCTTAAGGGATAAGAACCCACAAGTCCGACAAATAGCCTTGTCAAATCTGCTCGGGCAAACACTAGAAGGATCTCCGCATAGAAACATTTTTTACCATGGCCTCGGGGGAACAGGCTTACAGAAACCGAAGGAAACGGATATCATCCGTGATCTTAAGCTTTTATGTCGGGATCAACTCGTATGTATACCTATTTCAATTGTGATCAAGCGATGATGGTCACAGGCGGTTGCGCACGATGCTTTCCGTGCATTGGTCAATCTCTCCGATTCACCATTGCTAGTACCATTTTTATCGGAACCAGCCTTTCTCACTTTCTTGGTATCATATATCTTGGTTTGTGCTCTACGTCATGTTTGTTTCGCAATGTCTTACCGCTTCGTAGAACGCAGATTCCATACTTGCAGATCTGGCATCCATGCTGCTTTCCAATCTAACTGCCTCATCTTCACCATGCACAGCTCTTTTAGCCTTAAATGTACCCATATTAAAAACACCATCTTCACCGAGTTCTTTTTTCCCAACTCTGGCCCGTTCTGGAACCTGTTTTGCGCCAGTGCCTTATCCACCAGGAGAACCACAGGATATCCTCGCCTTACCGCTCCTTATCGAAGCATTCGTAGAAGGTGCATCGATGGATCCTTCCGGAGATAGAGCTTCCAGAAAACGGAAAGGAGAGCTGCACTTCCTCGCCAGTGTCTTTGCCAATATCAGCACAGTCAGTTTCTCTAGAATCAATTACATCTTGACACTAAAGCCATAATGACTAGTCTCCGGCTGGTCGCACGTTTTTCATCACTTCACGACCAACAGATCCTTTGAACCCCAATAGTACTAATGAGTATCCTCTCGCTAAAATAGTCGCGTTCACTGAACATCAAGACACAATACGACGTGGTGGTGTGGCCTCGACATTGAAGTAGGACATCTTCCCTGCTTTGACATTGAGTGTATCTAATGCCTCGATCACAGGAACTGCGTTTTTTCTTCACAAGTTCACCGAGCAATATTATCTCCTGATACTGAAACTGTTGTCGTTCCTCCGTCAACATTGTCTGCCCCGGGTATCGATGCACTGCCCTACATTTTGCTACCGCTAGCAGGCCCAGAGGAACTTGATCTAGAAGTACGATCGCAGTAGTAGACAGCCCAAACCTGCTGATGTTGTGCCTTCCAGGACCAAGAAAAATTGCCATCTGCACTTCAGTTCCTTCCATCCACGAAGAAGCGAGATCCGGATCCTGTCTTGCGCTTGACGCATGTTGAAACATTACTGCTTCTATGCACCACGCGATGGGGCCGAGACTACCTCAGGGATCATGGAGTGTATGAGATTGTCAGAGGGGCACACATGGAAGAGACCGTCGACAAGGTCTGTTTCTGCTTACAATTCGTCCTTTGATCAAAAGTTTCTCATAGACTATTCAGGTATCTGAGCACATTGAGCGCCTCGTCCAGCTTTTGAAAGGCGACGAAAGCGCAGAAACGGTCGATGGGTGCGATGTGGTGCGTGTTGGAGACCAAGATGATGATGATGACGACGAAGATAACAGAATCGAAGAAGTATAAGTAGTCGTGAAAAAAAAATCTCTGATTGGGTTTTTGTGACAATTAGATATTATGTGCGCGAGCTTTTTTTAGGCAGGACTGTTCTTTTCTGTCATGCCAGGAGTACTCATTGGACGTTGTCTTACTGGGTGCTACGGCTCGGAGACAAGAGTCCACTGCAATCGGCGATGACTGCCGATGAGGCGAATTTCACATTCGTGCATAGTTCGGATCCACAGTCATGGTACGTCTCTTGACGGAGCCTGGAATCCGGCGGCAGCCGCTTGCTCCTCAGCACATAACCAACAAAACCCTTTATCCAGCCATACCAACTTCTAGGTCCTTTTATTTTCGGTGCATTCTTTGTGATGCATGCAAAGAGTTGAGTAGGCGTGTGCTTCTTACTAGGGGTGAGGCAAATGATGCACAAGAACGTTGGGCATGGTTTGTGATTGGTTGTCAACAGTGAGTGCTAATTTAAATTTGTAATATGTGATATACACATCCGTCACGCATAGTTCCGAACGCTGGTCTGGGATACCGCCTTCCGCAAGCCGATGTTGAACCCCAGGGTTTGACACGCCTCTCTTTTGAACCCCAGCATGCATCCTTGTTAACGCCATGCTTCGACTAGACTAATTAGTCTATAACAGTTAGCAAAATCCAAAGAGCATCTCGCAATTATGCAAGGTCCTTCTACCTTGAATGAATCCATAACAAAGGATGCGGTATGTGAATCATGTATCTTTCTGAACTTATCCTTCAGCCAACCCAATTGTATCAGCTGGGACCCAAGCACGTCAATATCGTACGTATGGTGCCAGACCCTCACTCACACAAGGGTCACGGCCCTAGTTGTGTAATTAACACGGCTTCTCTGCCGGTAAGTTTTACATATCCATATTCATTTACTCAAACATTCTTTATCCTTTCTTAATGAAAGTGGCAGTGGATAAGTACGTAAATGATATTCAATTTGCGGCTGCTCAGGTTTATTTACCAAGAATACTTAATTTAAATCATTGCGAGCCGTACTTCTCGTACTCACACGCGATTTCTTTGTTTCAGATTTCCTTTTTCCTCACACAGGATTCAGCATCCAGAGAACGCCCAACTGTAATTCGCATTGCCTCCTCGGCAATCACCTGGTGGTATCTCGATACCCGGCTTAAATCGTGCATGTGAGTTGTGATCTCACATCACCTTGACCTTATAGCGTTAATCGATTTTTTTTTGCTTCAGAGTGGAATCCTTTGAGACCGTACTACGACCCTATTTGGACATAATCTCGTCATGAGTTTTCGATCGTATACGCGCCGATCCATTTGCGACTGCATATACTACGGGTCGATGACCGCTCATTCTCGTCGATCTCGTCGATGCTGTCGGGGAGTTTTCTCACCCTCTTCACTGGCAGTAACGGTCTCCGTCGACCAGATCCGGAGGAGGTTTAAAATTGGGAGCTACATAATAACTTCACGAGGCGGTGCCATATCTTGCGGGGGGTCTGGGGCTGCTCACGTATAGGACCCCAAAAGTTGAAAAGATAAACTTATTAATGGATGCTTTCTACTCCCTCCTCTGTTGACACTGATACTGTGTCTGAAAAGCATTTCTCCATGAGGCAGTGCAAGTATTTGAATCAAGGGAGATCATGGGCTATCCTCGACTGGATCAGAAGGCTGGCACTCGTACAATACTTCATCAATGTTCTAATTATTCACTGAACAGATTATGCCACCGGACTCGGCCGAATGTATGCACTGCGTTCCCCGCAAGCCGGTATGGAACATGCTCTTTGATTAGGTTTCACATGCTGTTACTAAACCCTCAGTCGTGCTATTCCAGTCAGTCGTTGGTTCCCTTCACCACTATCCTCCTGGATGCGTGCTTGAGGTTACCCGCATTTAAGGTCTGAGGGACGTCAGATGCATCCGAGAAAAGGGTGATGATCTTCAATAATTATCACGCGCGAATGTGTCGTAGCCCTTGTGCTGACACCCAATGGAAGCATCCTTGGACAACCCGACTGATCCGTTGAGTCCTCAGGGGACTCGACAAACTCCGCGATGCCCCGCTCAACGGCGCGTCCTCTGGGACATCAGAACTTGTCTCTCGATATGATGCCTGTTATTGCGGCATCATCATCCAACGAAACAACTTTCTACGTGTACCTCTCAAGCGAAACAGACTCATGGGGCATAACTGCGCCGTCTAATACTGCGGATCCGACAACTTGGCCAGTGCAATGGGCGATACCACCGCATTATGAGAAGAATAATGAAACACCGAGGAGTAGCCCGTTGATGGCAGTCACTGACTGCCATCGTGCACGCATCCCTGTCAATAGCTGTTTAATGCTCGAAACCATCCTCAGGTCAGGTCGCATGCATTAACGATCACTGTTCTGATTATGATATTTACTGGTTGCCGATATTTTCCACTGCAGTTCCCCTGTGCATTTATCATATTCATGTCATTAAATTTGCCAGCCCAACCTTCTGCGTCCAGGCGGCAGCGAACATATCACGCTCGAGGTTTAACGCGTGGACAGCAATCACAGCGAAGGTATGTCACGACGGCGAATAGTGGAGCGAATAATCCTCGCTGACATGAGAGAAAACAGCCCGCGTGTCTAAAAAAACTTTTGGTGCAACCCTGCATGATTATTATATGTCCAGCAAGCAAGCAGTGTTATCGCCCGCGAAGGTCGTCGTCATATTAAGGACTTCCAGGCCAACGAGGTAATTTTGACCCAGCGCGTCAGTTTAGTGATGTCATGTGAGTATCGGCTGTACCATACTATGGCCACGTTTTCTTCATTTATGCACGAGGCACCCATGATAAGTAAGTACAGAATATTAATTCTTCTGTTCCCCACTAAGCACCACTGACGGCATGTTGTCACCAGTTCGTGCACCCACATTGACCGATTTCGTAGTCCGCTCGGCATTTCGAGGGCACAAAATACAACCTGTTCCAAAGCCGCTGGATGCTGTGAGCATTACAAAAACCCCTTATCACGGCCTGACAACTCTCTCATCGACTGCTTGTCAGATGGTATTCATTCGAGTTCATGCATGGGGCATCAAGATTTGTGCCAGACGAAGTGATGCACGTGATGTAGGGATGTACGAGCTACTTAGTACTAGGCAACTTGAATAGTACTTGTTAGAAAAAAACAACATTAATCTGTTGTTGTCCTGACGGACAATATGATGACAAAACAAAATATAGGAATGTATGAGAAAATGGTGTTTTTTTTGTGCATGAAAGTAGGTTGATCAAACAAGCTTAGTATCCGATGAATGTCTTACTACGTGTGATGACTCTGATGAGGATGAGCCGCAACAAAGGGTCGCGGCCTTTGATCGATGGTCATCGGTCGGTCAATTGATTCCTTGCGGTGCTGGAAGTCTGCCACAAAAATTGCAACTTTGTCATATCGTCCCTACTATCTGGGAGGCAGTAGGAGGTGCCAATAGGTGCCAGTGAAGCGCTACTGGTGATGTAATTCCGGTTTGTGATCACCGCTGGAATTCCAATGAGTGTCCAGCTAATAAAATACCTAAGATGCGCAACTCGCAGTCAAGTGAAGCAGCGGAGCCTTGCCATCTGAAATTCATTTGTCTGTTGAAGAGGCACCGATAGGTGCACAACGTGGACCAAAAACTGTGATGTCGAACGATAGATTCTTAGTTCCTTCGCTTCGACCGATTAACCTAACTAAACGCCGTGATGCGAATTACTAAGAGAAATGAGATTGACGAATCTGTAACCTTATCACCATAACAGACACTGCAAAGTGGAGCCACACCAACCCTGACGCGTACTGAGGAGCCCCTCGAACCCGGAAAAAACTATTGTCATGTCATTGAAAGGTCCAGCCGTTGATAAAAATAGTAAGGAAGGCGGGCGAGAAGCAGGCTGGACAGATTAGAGCATCACGGGTCCAACTTCACACTCTCCGTATATGATCACCTAGGTCGCGGTCTTGTGACCCATAAGAATCGTCATCATCACTTCCACCACTGGACGCAATAACAGAGTCCTCCATGGTGTTATGAGATCCTAGGTCTTTGCTATTACCCCCGCGGGACCGTTCCCCTCGTGCCCGTTTTTTCAGCTGAAATAAAACATGATAACAAGAATCAGAGGGTTTATGTTGACGTACAAGTTTAGCATACACGAGGCCACATGCGTTGCACAAGGTTCGAGGGCCTAAACCAATATAAGCTCGAAGCATGTGGCTTACAAATGAAACCGCGCTAACCTAGGGGGCCACGCCTCCACTCAGGGGTCGAGGTTGCGTTGCAACCAAGGCAAGTTTGTCCTTCCTGAGCATGTTCCTCGGCCTTCTGAGTACAGAAAAGGAAGCATCAACATTTTAGTATATTCCCCATGGCAGACGATTCACCTGCCGCTTTATAGCCGGAGTTTCCTTGTCGCTACCGCCAGTAGATGGCCTCGTGTCAGGGTTTGACTGCGCAACTGCTGATTGTAACATTTGTCTTCCGTAGTTCGCGGACTGGATCATACGTTCCATGGTTTCAGGCGGTGGGAGCCGCGCAGGAACTCCCACGGACGCCAGGGATTTGGTACCCTCGAGTATCATACCGTAGGACTCTACCATCTGTTAACAGGTCAGATATTGACCGCAAAGGGATGACTGTAGGACGTACCTTCCCAAAATCTAAACTAGGATTGATAATTGGACTTGGAGCCAGGACTGGTGACTCCTTGTCCCGCCTCTTACTCTTTTGAATAGGCGATGCATGAGCCGACCCAGGGGCAGGGGGATAGCGTTCCTCTGGGCGGCGATTCTCAACAAGTGGTGGATTGGATGGACCAGCGGCATACGATCGTGCCTCTGCATGGGTGGTCTGAGAAACTGGCTCCGGGCGGGCTGCATTTGGGGTATACGCCACGTCTGCCGTGATGGATGTAGGTTGAAAGGTCCCAAATTGAGGGGACCAGGTTTCAGGCTGCCATTGAGGCTGCGACTGAGGAAGAGAGTATGATGGAGCAGGCGCATAGGGCGCTTGTTGTGTATATGAAGACGATGCCGCAAAAGTTGTTTGGTGGTGTTGCGAATGAAACTGAGTGATGGGAGAACGTATCGGCCGGGGAGGAGCCTGAGGAGGTGGTGCCGACACGTAAGCTTGTGTAGGATATGTTTGATACTCATAAGAGGTTGTCGATCCTCCTTGAGGATTAGAATAAATATATCGTTGATGATCTGCGGACATTCCAAGAGTTGTTGGAAGGGAGGAAAAATCGCCGATGTTTTTAAAGCTGGGCACTTGCAGAAGAGAACGCGAAAGAGGTAATTCTTCGACGCTGTTGCGATTAAAGTGCGTAGTGCGTGTTAGGAGCCTCGAGGCTATATCCCCGAAATGAAAGATAGATCGTCAGAAGTCAATCAATGACAAGTTGGATGAATGCAGTGGGGTGAGCGAAATCGCGGTGCCGCGCCAAATAAACAAGAAGGAGCGACAGAAAGATGTCATTTAGGACACAGAGTCGGACAATGATCATCGCGTGAAGCGACACATGGCTGTCCGCATTCGTTGCTCAATCACGGACAGGTCGAAAATGGCCTCACAAGTTTTGATCAGAAACGCACGTTTCGCCTGAAGTTTGTGGACAAAGCTTGTTCGTCAAGATGTGATGGATCTAGTTTACGTGAACAAACGTGATGATCAATCTCGCGAAAAAGTGCCGCGGCCGTGCTAACCTGTGTGAACCACTGAGTAGTATTACTTACCGGTGAGCGGTGACCTTCAAGGCCAGCAAACTAAGTCCCAGAACGAGTGCGATATAAGAAGATAGCAAATGCTAAGCAGACAGTGGAGGTAAGAGAAAAAGTTGCATTTGAAACATACTCTGAGCTTCATGCTTTAAACGGTGACGCTTACACCGATCGGCGAGACTTCCATCAGGACGCCTCACTGCACGCGGCTGCCCCGTGGAAGCCGTCTTGTCACCGGCCTGCCAAATCACAGTCATGGTTCTCTCTGTAGGTAATCCATTGAAATTGCCTCATATTTGCCAACGCGACTACCAATAAATTCCAAATGTCCGTCCATTAGATAAAGATGCGGCTTGTGATAACATGTCAGTAAGTAATGCGATGCCTTCCACGACTAGCGATGGCGTATGCAAAATGAGACGGAAAGAGCGGAAGTGGATCAGTAAATACGCTATCCAGTTTGTATGAAATCCTGCCCTCTAGACCTGCCAATATCCGGGCCTTCTTTCCAATTAGACTCCTTCACGATGACGGGGGATTGCGCAGGAGATGGCTCATAATCGTTGTCGTAATCGTCTTCTTCATCAGATGATGCCAAATTCGCAGGTGTCTTGGAGGCGTTCAGTCCGCCTGCAGCACGCTCCTGCGCACGTCTTCTTCTACGAAGGATCTGTTTTCGGTTCTTCACCGCTTGACGGTGCTCTAACCCCTCTCCATAGAAAAGGGAGTATTCGCAACGTGGGCAGATCCATTCATCTGCGGGATTGACTATTTGCGCAGTGGGAGTAACCGTGTTTGCCTTCTTGCGTCTGCGAGGCGGTATTTGTGCCGAGAGGAAGCGAAGTGGAAGTGGCCCAAGCATGTTCTGAGCATTAACATTCGCCTGAACCATATTAGCCTGCCCAGATGAAGGAAGCCTGGAAGGAACGTAATTTTTGCGGTGATGCGGATTTGATGCAATAGCAAGTGCATTTCGCTTTTTCTTTTTGCTTCCCTTGCCTTTTCCCCCTGGCATTTCCAGAAACTCCGCTGACTGATCCCCACTTTCAGCTGTGCCTTTAGGTGCCCGCTGCTGCGTTTTCTCTCCCCGCTTTGACTTAGCTCCTTTGCTTGCCGTAAGTGCTGCTTGTTTAGCATCAGTAGCTGCTTTTGTTACTTTAGCCGCTTGACGTGCGAGTTCATTTTCGAACCGATTTCTAAGTGCGAGCACCTCCTGTTTTGTCGCAACGAGGCGATCAGATGCTGAAATTAAACCAGTTCTGATCAGGTTCTGACATCACTTTGATAACTGGACTGCGACTCACTTGCACTGGAAAACGTGAACGCGAATTGAGCGCTTGGAAATGAAGGCTTCTTCTGAGGGGGCAATGAGGCTGTACCTGCATGAGCTTTTGCCGCGCGAGCAAGACGCGGACCAGGTCGACGCGAGAGCCGTACTTTAGGCGGATTAGAACCAGATCTGATCATCGAACCCGCAAAGGGCAAATGTGTCGATAATGCTTGATCAAGGGCAAGTGTATCGCCAAGGGAAAGGGCTCCCAGGACGGCTGCAAGCTGGCGCTTTCGATGCTTGAGCAGCTCCTTGTGCTGGAGACCTGCCAGCGTTGATGGGGTGATCTTACCCTTCCTGGGGGTGGGGGTCACCGATGGTGGCAGGGCAGAAAGGTCAAGGCCGTGGTTAGCCCGACCATTCAATAGAGCCAAGTTGTCCAAAATCTCATCCTCTGCACCCAACTGTGGCTCTGCCTCTCGCCCTTGCGCCGCGCCTGACATGTTAGCTGGCACCTTCCTCTTCTTCGTATTTCCAGGCTGCTGCAGATGATCTGTATAGTCACCCTCACTCTGGTCCTCCTCCGACCTTCCCATTTTCCCGAGCTGATACGCCGCGCTCAGATCAAGGGTGTCTCCATTACGGGTACCACCGAACACAGAGGCGTAGTAAGAATGCAGAGAGAAGGAGTCAGCATGAGCAAGGAGTTTTTCTGCGAGAGATTCTGTGCCGAGAATGTCGGCCATGGGATGGGTGACGTCTGCTGCTGGAATGGGCGCGTCTGAGGTACGTCTACGTTTGGGTAACGGTTTAAGCCTCCTCAACGGCTGAAATTCCGGCTCATCGGATGCGGGAGACGATCCTCGATACATTGTGGCAGAATTTCAATGAAAAAGAGATAATTGGAAGAAGCTGGCAAACTGTAGCGTCTAAAGCAAAAAGAGCGAAGGAGGGAACGTCTCAAATACGTACGGCTTCCGGCGCTGGCCCTTGTGATGACGTGGAGACCAACTGCTACAGGTCGGTGGCCACGACAGCCGATCCATTTTCGCACCCTCCGGAGTCTCACCAGAGCTTGAGAGTAAAACGGCCTGCAATGGGAAGGCGTCTAGGAATTGATAAAATAAGACAGGAAAGACTACGGTACAGGATATGCGATGCTCTAACAGTAAAAATTGTCTCGTGAGGATATCAAATAATGTCCGACCGCGCGTCGCAATGCCAATAAATGAGTGGATATCGCGAAACGACGACTGACAAATGATGTATGCTGCTCATGTCTACGGCCCGCCGTTTAACGTCTATCTATAATGCGGAGAGGGGGGTGGCGCTTTGGGGGAAAGAATTAGGAGTAGACATACCGCACCGAGACAATAGAAACACAGACGACGAATGTAAGATAGGCCGTATAGTCTTCATGATGAGCAGGAGCAACGAGACAAACCAGGTTGAAAGAGCAGCGCAAGGAGTCCGTGCGTGAGAGAGGAAAAGAGAGCGAAACACACAGCGAGATGGATGTTTGAGTGCATAGGGCAAGGAGTTTGTTGTTACCAGGGACATTTTCATGAGTGTGAAATCGAGGCGAATTGAGGAAATCCGATGGAAGTTGCAGGCCGAGAAGAACTTGATACACTTGAGTGGAAGGCGGATGGATTCTGGGCGTGGCGACAGTATATTTACCACCAGCCGGATCCACCACCGCTTGCTCCATTGTTATTATAACCTCCGCCGGAACCATAACCTCCACCGCCGCCATATGAAGGGGCATTGCCGTAGCTCATGTTACCACGTCCGAAGCTTCCACCATAGTTGCTGGCACCGCCATAGCCAGACTGTCTGTAATCGCGGTTGCCACCACGACCACGGGTTGCAGCACTGCCACCTCCACTTCCACTTCCACCTCCACCTCCACCTCGGCCACGACCGCCACGGAAACTTGATCCGAAGGTCGTCTCATGTACGACACTCTCCAACCACGAAGGAATCTCCTGATTAGCCTCACGGAGAAGTTCGAGAAGATCCCGGACAATGTTTTTGTTTCCACGATTAAAGAATGCAGTGGAGACACCGGTGTTTCCGGCACGACCAGTACGACCAATGCGGTGGACATAGTCATCAATGTCCGAAGGCAGGTCGTAGTTGATCACATGGGTGACGTTAGGAATATCAAGACCACGGGCTGCGACAGCAGTAGCTACTAAAATTGGAGTACGTCCGGTGCGGAAGGTCTGCAAAGCCATCTCACGCTCACGCTGGGAGCGATCACCGTGGATGGACGTGGCAGGGAGGCGATTTGACATGAGGAAATCAGACAACATGTCGGCCATGCGCTTGGTCTCTACGAAGACGAGGGTCAACCCGCCAGGAGGATCAGACGCGAGGAGATCAAGCAAAACAGAACGCTTGTCATTGTCCTCCACGTACTCGATCTTTTGGGTGATGTTCTCAGAGGTTGAACCGACACGGCCGACAGAAAGGAATATGTAGTCCTTCAGGAAGTCTCGTGCGAGCATTTGGATATCACGTGGGAATGTGGCACTAAACATAAGTGTCTGGCGATCTTCTACGCCAGGCATGTCCTCGCCTTGGACGATCCTACGAATCTGAGGCTCGAAACCCATGTCAAGCATGCGATCAGCCTCATCGAGGACAAGGTAGCGAATGTTTGCTAAACTGATCCGACCACGCTCAATGAGGTCGACAAGCCGTCCAGGAGTAGCACTAAGAAGATCACAGCCACGCTCGATCAGACGCAGCTGCTGATTAATGTCGGCACCACCATACACCACTGCCGGGCGAACCCATGAGCGGTATGCAAATTTGCGTGCTTCTTCGTGAATTTGACTGACAAGCTCGCGGGTGGGAGCAAGAATAAGGGCAGTAGGGTAGGCTTTACGTGAGCGTGAGTACCCCATTGATGGGGTCTCAGGTGGTGGGGCACGAGGTCCAGAAGCGAAAGAGGCGGAAAAAATAGGAAATAGGAAGCCTCCTGTCTTGCCTGAACCAGTCTAGAGTGCTACGTCAGCGGCTACAAATTACCCAAAAAAAATACACACCTGAGCACAGGCCATTAAATCTCTGTTACCAGCGACAATAGGAATGGAGTACTTTTGAACGGGAGTCGGAGTGGTGTAACGAGCGAATGCGATGTTCTCCAAGAGAACAGGGTCTAGTGGGGGATTCGTGAAAGCTATAACGGGGTCTGGGACTCCAGCGCCTGTGGCCTCAACAGGAATATCATCATACTTCTCGAAGTTGATGCCGGTGTGTTGCTTGGATGGATCAGTCGGATCTCCGAAAAGCTCCTTCTCCATGCGAGGATTGCGAGGGCCGACGACATGAACACCATTGCGCCAGGCACCGAATCCGGCAGAATCACGCTGTTGGCTATCTCCACGGGGTTCTCTGGCAGTCCATCCGTTGCTAGTTGGGCGACCTGCCCAATCACTTGCACTGCTACCTCCACGGGTAGGACTGCTGAATGCAAGAGCGACATCTTTGCTACCTTTGTCGGGAGGACCACCTCGGAGGGGTTCAAATGCACGGCGAGGAGAAGCTTGGGGCTCGTTCCAGCCGGTCCTGGGTACGAGCGCTTGATTGACACAGGATGCGAAATCAAAAGGAAATTACGTACCCGTTTGGCTGTTGCGGGGGTGGTGTAGCGCGCTGCGCATTTCTCATGTGAGGTGGGACGTATGCAGATTTCGTTCCATTTATGCCGAGAGAAGCTGAATTAAAGATATTAGTTTGGTGAGAAGGGAACAAAGATAATATGAGTGAGCGCGTACCAAACTGAGTCTCTAGACTTTCGTTGCCGTTTACAATTCCATTGGTCATATTAAGTCGAAATGATGAACTTGACCGTTCTTTTTTCTGTCGTTGAATGTTCTACAGAAGGACCGATGTTGGTGGATGAAGAAAGAAAGCTGAGCAACCACAATTTTGATAAAAAATTCCGGAGCTCTCAGATGCTGACTAATAAAACACCGTGAATGGTTAATTATTCTCATGCACTGCTACCTACCAAGCCAACGTAGCTCTATAGGTTGTTACTTCCGCCAAGCACAAAACTAAAATGTCTCAACAAGTTCAACAACCTTCAGCAGGTCAACACTCGCATGCTCACCCACACCCTCATCCTCCGCAACCTGCTCAACAGGTTATGCCTGCTCCACAACCGGACCCAAACATGCAGGCTCGCATCGATGCCGATTTTAAGTCTGTAGACTTAGCAGTAGGAGGTCCGAGTACTGCATTCGCTTTCTGCAACACGCACAAGCTAGAAAAGTGCAAGCAGTGCAATGTAGACTTTACTGCTCTCAATCGTGTTTCGAAGATTCTTGTTACGAACCCTACCTTGCGCTGTCCACCTCCTCCAACCGTTGTGCAGCAAAAACTCTCGCAGGCAGTGGCAAATATGAAGGATGAGGGCAATGTATGTCTTCCGAGTTTATTTGTCTATATTCGGTTGACTGTTTGCACAGAACCTATACAAACTCAAGAAGACTAGAGAAGCGCTCTCAAAGTACAATATGGCAGCGAGCATAGCCGTGCAGAGACCAGCTTGGGAAAGTGCCGCAATACTACGAGAAGAGCTCTCGACTGTGGTGTCCAACCGCTCAGCGGCTCTTCTTGACCTCGGTGACTACCTCGGCGCACTTGTTGACGCCGAGACCGTCATTTCCGTCCGGAGACAATGGCCGAAAGGTCATTTCAGAAAAGCAAAAGCACTCGTCGCGCTGGGCCGCATAGAAGAAGCTAAAGATGCCATCTCTCTTGGCCTTCAGTTTGAGCCTAATAACACTGTAAGCCACTCCCATGCCCAGGTTGACCTGTGTCTCACATCTTGCTTCAGGAGCTCAGCGGATACATGCTTGAGTTAGACAAGCAATTGACATCGCGTAACCAGCAAAATACAGAAGAAAAGTCGGTGCCTGTCACCTCGTAGTCTACATACAGACTGTATCCATATACCCGTGGATCATTATTACCCATACATGAAAGCTCGATGCATAAATTACAGTTAGGCCATATTCCTCCCTATGTGGGTCTCCTTCGGATCTTATCTTTCAGTGGCTCTAGAAGTCGCTCAGTCTCTATACACTCTTCTGGGAGCTTGAACACCCGCAAAACGATGTCAGGCCTCATCATTAATTTCGCTTTGTTTACGCGGTTCTGCAGCTCGAGACGTTTCCTCTCCGCCTCCGTCATAGGTAGCGTAGTCTGACCCGTCGCCCGTCTGAAGTTGCGCAAAGACAAAGAGCTGGAACTCGACCCAGCCGAGCTTATGGAATCAACAGACATTCTTGGTTTGGTTTTGGAATCTGCATTTGCGGGAGTATCAAATGAGGAAAATGATTGGGGGGGCAAGGTAAATTTGGAGGTGGGTCTCTTCTTCACAGACGGTCCCGGTTTTGCGATGTATGGCCCCGACTCTTTCAAAGTGTCCGTGTCAGACATCGAACGAAGGGGGTGTGGACGAGTAGTAAAGGTTTGTGCTGGCAAGCTCGTCTTCTTGGCTGGCCCAGAAGCCTTCATGGACATGAGACTCGCCAAACTACCTGTAGCATCTGCAAGCCCCGTGTCGTGTACATCTCGGATGAACACAGCCAGAATCTGCTGCGGACGCTCCATAGCAATAGATGCATATAGCTCCAGATCTTGCTCGCCTGAATCCCCAATCAGGATGAACTTCGAGTCAGGAAAACCATCAAGGATTTCAACCACGTTTGCACGCTTGCGGGTGGCAGGATCAGAAAGAAGGGCATTGAAGAAGGATCTACCATTATAAGATTTAAGGGCAATAGATCCCCGCGGGAGGTCGGATATCTGCAAAAATTCTTTGATGACTGGGAGCAGTTCAAATGGAGAGTTAGACTGCGGATTATGAACATGAACATGAGTATACTATAAAATGTGGCATGGCACTCACGACGTAATGGAAGCAAACGCCTCGTTCCCACATTGACTGGTACCATTTCCCCATCTCTGGAATAGTCGTCTCCTCGAGGTCCTTGACAAAAACATTGCGGAAGACGGCACGAGCGCCGCTCGTGATATTTGAGAGCTTGACTGTATCGTCTATATCTGTTATTACACGGATAGGTGAAGACGTGATTGGAACGACCACCGAAATGTTCCTTGGAACGTCTGTGTGGAACAGGTATGCGGGTGTGGGCGCGGGCTCGGGTAACAGCTTTGCAGAAATGAGTAGCTCATGTTTTATGTCCGATCTGTCTGATGGTCTGTGCTGTGCTATAGGATGCCTGCATAATTCTTGCCAGGGGATCTTGAAGGGGTTTGCAAAGGCGCCGTCTGGTCCAGTGACTAGGTGTTCAGTGTACAGCGGACCATCCTCGAGAGCGTCACGTTTCGAATCGATGTCGCCTGAGACAGTAGGTACAGCAAAAATGGATATTTGGATTGTGCGGGATGATAACACGGATGACCAGAATGGTCGCAGACGCGCCTCGAGGTTTGTGTGCTGTTTTTGCAGTGGAGCGCTCACAAACGACGCTGATGTTTCACAACTTGGACGTGGTGTCGGTTGAGGGTCAGACTCGGACTCATAGGTTTCTTCGGTAAGTTGAGCCTTTTGTAGGTCCCTCATGTGTTCGAATTCTTTATCTAGTTCCATCTCGAAGTCATCTGCTATGTCGCCTGGACGGGGAGGTAGCCTGATGCCGTCGATTTCTATCATAGATGATCCTTTGAGGGGCGACTGTTGACCCGGTAGTTTGGGTAGAGATGCATAACCTGATCATGACCTCAGTTTAACGATACAACATAATTTCGAATAAGCTTACCTCTAGCTAGTCTTAGAAACGCACGCTGAGAGCGGGTAAGACACTCTGGCGGCCTACGTGTAGCCGCATAACCCGAGACATAAACAAGTAAGTCAAATGCATCTGCAAAAAGTAGGCCTTTGAGCCGAGTGAAGCATGCACAGCAAGAGAGTTGCTTACTTTCATCCTCATGTTCACTCGCAAGACACAAAGATGCCCAGCCAGGAAATAGAGTCACTTCGTCCGTGGTTATTACATCCGGTCCACCCCGTCTGATTTTCTGACCCGCCCACTGACTCCAACTCAGCGTCGTCATCCGCCCATCAACATAACCACTCTCTCCTGGTCTGGGCGCTCGACGAGCAGATATCACTGTGCGAAGGTTCTGTTTGGAAATATAGGATTTCAGGCCGGCCAAATACGACGATGGGCGAGGGTTGCTTGCAGACATTGGTCTCTTCAAGAAAGCCGTCTCCATGCGGTTACATCAAGTTGCTAAGACTGAAATCACCATTTCGTTGGCACGGGGTTTGAGTACAGGCGCCTAAAGTGTAGGCCACCAGTTGGCGTGCAGGCACGCGCGGCGCGTGACTCAAGTCAGTGACTTCATTTGGGATTTATTTACCCGGACTGGTATCTGCTTGAATGCGAACCGTCTTCTCTCTAAACAGACAACTTTTATTGGTTAATAATTTGGCGCAACGAACACAATCATACCACAGGACACGATACATGGATATCACACAAGAGCTGAAACAGGCGGACAAGAGTAGAAAGAAGGGTCCATCTCCAAAGCTTAGGGGACACCCTCGCGATGATCCACGGACACGTGTATCCAAGAGCCTGAGCTGGCTACTACGACATGGGGCAAAAAATGCAGGATTAGACATGAGAGATGACGGGTATGCCAAAGTCTCGGATGTGGTGGGTTGTATGAATCTTGTTGACGTTTTGTAGCATTAATCATTTCGGATAGCTCTCGAATCCTATGTTCAGAGATGTCAATTTCTCTCAGCTGCAAGAGATTGTTGACAAAGACCAAAAGCAACGATTTCACCTTCTAGCAGAGCCTCGGTCATCTGACTCCCCGTCTGACATATGGTGGATTAGAGCAAATCAGGGGCATTCCTTGCAGGTGAATAACTTATAGTCAAACAAATGTTTGGTTTAAATATCTTGATCGCAGACCGTCACGCTAGACATGCAGCCTATTACGTCTGCATTAGATGTGCCAATGGCTGTCCATGGCACGACACTTAGTGCCTGGGAGCTCATAGGTAAATTTACGTCTATGAGATGGTTCGTCCTTCTAACACATCTGTCAGCTACGCAAGGCCTATCCAAAGTGAAGCGAAATCACATTCACCTTGCCCAAGGTATTCCGGGAGATAATGTCATGAGCGGTAGGTGACACCTCATCTGCTTGCGTTATCCGATTCACGTTCTATAATAGGGATGCGCAACTCCTCGCAAATCTTGATTTTTGTTGATTTGCAGAAAGCCCTTGATGCTGGTGTTCTGTTCTACTTGTCCGCCAATGGCGTCGTCCTGACAGAGGGAAACGAAGGGTTCCTGTCACCAACGTATTTCCAGCGGGTGGAGTTTGCCAAGGGGCGCTTGCCGGTACCAGGATGGGAAGGTGCAGGACCAGTTGTACCGCGGGCATCACTAACTCAGTCCTCAATACCCGTCCAAGATCTTCTAGTTGCACAGTCAGATCCAAGTACAAGCGAATCTATATAGTCTACTTTCAAAGCGCTGGCACGCTTTGCTCTAATATTTTTCGATACCAATGGCATTTCATTCTCGCTCCTCCGCGATGTCTAGTCACTTCTCCATATTGTCTTGCAACTCTTCTTCCTCCAGAATTTTTCGTGACACCTTGCTTCGAGCACGAATCCTAGACCCATAAAAGAAAAGTACCTGGCCTTCATTTAATAACGACCTGACAGGTAGCTAGTTCTGTCTTACCCATGGTATGGGCACTAGCGCAGCACCTATGCATCCGAACAGGGTCAGACCCCATTGATACGTCAAGCGAGCAAACATTTGTGTCGTGAAAAGAGGAAAGATCGATGCGGCCAAATTTCCTAGCGATTCATAGCGTTAGAAGCATTCGAGAGTTGTGGAAGAGGCGAACTCACGACACATGCTCTGACCTGCAATGGCTGACGACGCATATATCCCATAGCTATGAGATTAATCAGTTTCATTCAATCGCGCAGGCCAAAATATCTTCACCAATCTGCGAGATACAGAAAGACCACCATGTAAATCACAAACCCGCCAGACATGAATATCTTGAGAAATGTCAGTGTCATATCTGTGAAGGAGATGCGTAGGACAAACAGTGAGACCGATTGCTGGCACTATCCAATGTATTTCCGGTCTTGCTGTCCAAGCATAGATGAATATCCCAATCGGTATGAGGGTTGCTGCAACACAAGGGAGATAAAGACGCGCTTCCTGACGTTTCCGAGGATAATGTTTCCTAATTTGAACATCTCCATGATCCGTAGATGTGCAATGTAGCCAGCACATGCTTACTGGTATAACTTTTCCTGATAGATGTTAGCAAAGTATCCAATGAAGCTCCCAAATCTAAGCCGGACAATGGTAAATCATCATCATGAGTTCTAGATCCCGTCGACTCACACGAGGGTGCTGAAAACAAATCCTGTGTTCTGCACGTCAAATCCGTAGATCGCCTGGAACTCGGCGGAGACAGACCTATACATGAGTTAGATGGTAAGCACAACAACATGGAACGGCGTACTCGACAAGGGCATAGACAACGCCCCACGTAAACCCAATCCACAACTGCGTGAAAGAAATTATCCTGTTTAGCTCTGTCTATAACAAGCAGCCGCAGATCCTACGCTGAAACTCTGGACGACAGGCTCCGTCAGCAAGAGATCTGAAAAGAGAAAAAATGTCAGCTGATCCGTGTAGATCATCGGTGAAATTTCCTGACATATTGGTCGTGTGCACGAAATCTTGATCAAAGTTATCAAGCTTTGTTTTTCAATCTCTGCTTTCGCTTGGTATCTACAATCTCCTGTCTCTTTTCGCTTCTTCCTTGCCAGGCGAGTTAAAACTATGGTAGCGCGCGTTTCTTTCATGAGCAACACAACAAAAATGAAATAAGCCCCTGTAAAGCTGTAGGAAACTTTAGTCAATGCAATATGCGTGACGTGTTTCAAGGGACTAACATAGCATGAATCCACTGAATCCACCTCCAGCCAAGGCGAGGACTTGCCTCTATTACACCGGCAATTAAGGGCCCAAGGCCCGTTCCAGCCACAGCAACAAGAGCGAAAAACGCCATAGGTCGTCCACGCCTGTGAAGATAGCTGTAGCGATCAAACAAGTCAAAATCTCGAATTGCTCAACTCATGTGGCTTCCATACGTCGGCGACCGAACCACCCACCAAGGTTGCACCTGTTGAGCCGAATGCGCCCCCGAGAAGACGTCCAAGTATGACGGTCTGTATGTTTGGTGAGCTGCAATAGTCTATGAATCAGCGTCACGTCCGTGAAAAGTGAATGAACTTACAGGGCAATCATAATTTCTGTAAGCATGAATGCAAATGACGAGACGATATATATATTCAGGCGACCGAATTCTTCCGTGAAGGACGAAGTGATGAGAGGAACCATGCCAAATCCGATTGACCACATGCTCAATCCGATGGTGGCCTGAAACTGAGTGCAGTTTAGCTCCTGCATCATCGACTGGTAGCCCATGGAAAAAGAGGCCGCCGCTGCAGCTGGAGGCACAAGATTCTGTCAATTCTCTGATCGCTCCATGATGTAGATTGGATTACCGACTATCCCAGTGAAAGCACACGCCACCAATGTGATGGTCCACTTTTTTTTGTACGAGAAGTTCATGGGATCTCGTATGTCATTATCTTCGAAGATGACCTGTTACTCATTAACGATTTGAACATTGATTGAGGCTGAAGAAGGAGAACTGAAAGAGTACTTGCAAGAAATTCATCGTTGTCCTCGGACATACGGATCATTGACGAAGGAGAGCTAATAATGCCACATTTCTCTGACGCTTGTACGGTCGTCATGAGCTTGTGTACAATGAGGGTACGGGTAGGTATCCAACTGTATTTTCCAGTTATTTAAAAAGTCTAGGTGATAGTGGCACGAGTTCTCTCATGACTAGGAAAAGTCACGAGCCCACACTGACACAGAGATAAGCCATTGCCAATTGGCCGAAGCCTTGTCGGAGTGCATAGTTAGCTCAGCTTGGAACTAATCTCGAGGAACCGTAGCCCAAGAAAGCATGACCCTGTGTGTGAACGTTGATATGGATTATAAATGGGGGTCATCGGACAAGATTTAAATCGACATTTCAAAGAACTCGTTCGAGGCATTCCTATACGTTTCCTGATTGCGGATAGTGAAGACAGCGCTGTGATGGCTAGAGTCAGGGACGCAGATACCGGCACGTTCGTCCGAAAGGCAATATCTTTGACTTTTTCGGATCAGTAGCCAGGTAAACGTTTGATTCGGCAAAATGGCAAATATATGTGCCCGTGATGATGCGGGTCAGGCAATAATGCTCAGCTCGAGGTTATATGGGCCTGCGAACGAAAGGCTGTCATTGCATGAACGTTGGGGTGAATGCGAAGAGTTGTTCCAAGACAAACTCTTTGGATGGATCCTATATGGTACTCACCTCGATTATCAGGCAAGCTGGCGTGCGCTACGAGTTCCGAGTCATGATGGAACGGAGGGAGTTAATAGTCGTCACGTGCACGGAGCTATGTGCGCGTGACTGGTGGCAACCGATCAATTTGGGAAATTTAGAGTTTGACGGGTCAGCTGCAGGCTGCAGGAGGCCGTGACAGCGCTCAACAGCTCAATTGAAGAGGACGTAAAACTAAGACTCGTCTGCCAACGTCGTACAAGGCCAAATAGGAGAACGAACATTGGGCCACTTACATATATGAATCCCCATTAGTAGTGTAACAACCAAGCCCACAACGTTCTCAGCAGGTCCGACGAGGCGGCAGAACGCTTGCTCTGCAATCATATCTACTCCAATGAAACTGGCCACCATGGTTAATTATGTAAATGCAATTATCTGGAGGAACCCTCGCGATCTTTTTTTAGTAGCTGCTTCTTGTTGTTCGGATCGCGACCCCGTGATAAGCCTTACTCGCGGGTGACCAGTCCTCCACGTTGAATGTTGCAACACGCGCAATCTAACAGAACCTTGGTTATTAGCGAAACCTAGAGCTTGATACGTTGAGTAATGCTAATAGGCTGCAGCCACTTATCACGAACAGATTGGCGGCGGATTCTGCGAACCTCAATTTCCACAATGATGATCTCGTGGCACAGAATTCCGTAAGAATATCAAACGCCTAACTTGTAATATTTGATTCTATATCGGCCCTGGGCCAGCTGCCAAGCATAATGCATAACTAACCGCAAACCCTGAAGTACACTCAGAGTTGAGTGCACCTGCTTTTATCCTGTTTATGACCTCTTCTAAAATTTCTGTGAGATATGACAGCTCAACGCTATCCTAGTGAGATCACTCAAGCTCGCGATGGCAACGAACCATACGCAGGGCGCCACAGACACCAGCCAGAAAGGTATACGCATTGGCTCCCCATTTACACACAATCTCACATTCATATGCACCACAGAGTAGACGACGTGGTCACTGACAACCTGGCCCAAAACTATCCCACAACATAAGACTGCATTATTCGCCGCCGCTTTCAGTGCCAGAACGTCCAAGCCACTATGCGTGGGCTCGTGTCGTTAGACTCATCTAGTACGCCCCTCACATGAAACTGCTTTAGCCTATACAGCCCATCTTCTGATTCCTGCTGGGTTCACACAACGTCAATGAACCGTATGGCGGATGCACCCATCCTCTATTTTATAATCATATTTGATGTGCTTTGTCCCCTCGATCATGCATCCAGTCCGAAGCATATGGATTCGGATGCAAGCGACAATCCAACAACATGTAGTAACGCCAAGTACTACTAGTACTATCACTTCTTGGAATCAACTGTGTTGTCCTCGACTGATTGATGCCGACCTGAGGCTCAAGGCTCAAATTTCAAACATCAGCCCACCAAAGTACCGTCCCCTCCTGGCCTGAGGAATATTGAAATCAAGATGAATCTGGGAAAGGCGGGCTTACATCCACAATTCACGCCTCGCGACACCGCAGTCACCTACCAGTGCTTTTGTTGCTTTCTCATTGCATCAACGAGCGACGTCCTCAGCTGTGTTATGCATGGAGCCGAGAACGAGACAAGGACAAGGGCGGGCCGCAACAGTTGCGGTTCTCCTTGCAATTTTTCTTACTGTTTAAATGCAATTTCAATGTCTTGTATCTCACCGGTGCATCCTGCCAATCACTTGTTGCAAACACGAAGGGAACCCTATCGACGTTCAAGTTTTGTCACTGTTGGATAGTCTAGGTCAGCGAGGCTCAGAGCTGAGACTAGAACCAGTACTCCTGATTGATGGAGTTCCTGATATCCAGTGACAAGTCGATAATTAAACGTAGTTTGAGTGCAGTGAGAGCCTGCAGAGTTGGTAAAACTAAAAGAAGTCTTGCACCGATACTTGCAGGGTGCGCGATTCCGATGAGATGGGTGTGGGAGAAGGGTTAGTGAACGACAACAAACGAGTTTGCCTAGAGTTTGTGAAGCTGGGAACTGAGATGAGCGACAAGCAGCGTGCTGGAGAGGACGCTGGGCAACCTCTGAAAACATCCAGTACGAGTGTTTAGATTAAACTGAGAAGGCAGAAACCAAGGCAGAAATTCCTCTGTCGTAGCACTAGTACTAAGTAATAGCGGGTTTGAGTTGCGAGAGGCAGGGATCCGATGTACACGTAGATTTCAGGAGTCGACTGCATGAAAAGTGATATTGCAGTAGGCTCAGATTCGATAGAGAATGGATGATACACACAAACAGTGACCGCTCGGACAGGTTGTACGGAAACCCTGCTGAAATAGTTGCTTGACATGAGAAACAAGACATTATTCATGCTACTGTCCAGGATATATGGCGTTCGCGATGCTAGTAATATTTGACAGGCCTCGGACACTATCGGCCAGATCGCTGGACTGTACACATTGGATGCAATGATACGTGTTGGATGTATAGAGGCGCTGGGGTGTTGTACTGTCCAGAAAGGTATATATGACGGCGGTGAGTCCTTGTTGTAACCTTAATGGAGGTGAACGGGGTTCATGTCCTACCAAGGTGTCTATGGAAACACAAGTCAATGGGGTGAAGCAGCACAATACACGCACCTCTGCAGCCTAACACAAAGTCCCTTCAAAGTCCATCTCGACCGTGCTCCACATCATCGGCATCCAGTAAGATGTCTAAGCTCATTTCAAGCATCACACTCTGTCGAGTTGTTGCAAATTGTGAGAGCGGCGTAACCGCAGTCGCAGTTTTTCCTGATAGACAACATATGGTAACGGCTCGTGTGACGAGATGATGCAATTGTGGGAATTGTATTGAAGATGGAGAGGCATTCGCAATGAGGTACGGGCATTGGTGGTATGGTGATGGTGAGGAAGTTCCGAGCCTGTACTACGAAATTTGGTTGCATCCTATACACAAGCAGGATTGGGAGTCGAAACGGGATGAAGGAGTGATATTGCAGTAAGCTATATGCATGCATTCGAAGGAGTGACATGGCGATGTACCGGAGTAGCTGCTCGACACGAAAAAACAACGATGTTATACAGGATAAATAGTCAGATTCGAGCGCTGGAACAACTGTCGATTGGGTGCGATGGAATACATTCTGGAAGATATAGAGACAAGCGTCGGACGCATGTATGCACTGAGGCGCTGGGAAGGTATACTGTCGAAGAAGGCGGGTATGACAGTAGAAAGTATTCTTGCAGTAACAGTTATGTATGGAGGCGTGGAGACAAACAGCCTTAAGCGTCCTGGGCGTCTATTGAAACGAGGCAGGTCGACGCCGTGAAGCATCATAAAACGCACAATACACACACCTCTGCAGGAAGACATCCACAATCCTTTCAAAGTCCACCTCCACCGTGCTCAACACCATTAACCTCCAGTAAAATGTCGGAGTTCATTCCAATCACCATCCCCCTGGGAGAGTTCACCGGCCATGAAGGATACGTAAATGCAATCGCAGTGTTCCCCGATAAACGACGGATGGTTACGGGCTCGAATGACAAGACACTTCATATGTGGGACATAGAGACAGGCGTTGTGTTGAAGAAGATGGAGGGGCATAGCAGCGGGGTGCGGGAATTGGCCGTATCACGAGATGGACAATTGATAGCAAGTGGTGATCACTGTGGAGAGGTCATCGTCTGGCACGGAGAAAGTGGCGAATTACTCACCAGAATCGAAGTCCATTCCTGTTTAAGGATCACCTCGCTGGACTTTTCTCCTGATGGGACAGTGCTGGCTACTGGTTCATATGACGGAATGAAACTGTGGGACACCAATACCTGGCAGCTGCAAGGAAGTCCAATCAAGTGTGGTGATGTCTCCCGCGTACGGTATTCACCGTCTGGAGGACTTCTTGCCATCGCAACAGTCTCAGATGATATCCAAATTTATAATTCAGGCACGAGGGAACGCGTCGCATCCTTCAATTGCAAACCTTACCGATCGTACAACTGGTCACTTGCATCATGTGCATGGACGCCCGATGGTACACGTCTTCTCACATGCGCACGTGGCGATTATCCTGTTCATCGGGGAATTTCTACCTGTCGTATTGATTCTACCATATGTGAATGGGACACAACAACCTGGCAGCAGGTCGGCGATCCCTGGACGGGCCACTCTAACCATATCAATGCCATTACCATTCATCCTACTGGCACACTCGTCGCCTTCGCATCTGATGACGACCATGTTTGTCTCTGGCGGCTCTCAGATCGACAAACCATTGCCACCTTCGAGCGCTCATCTTTTACCACATGCGTCACTTTCTCTGTGGACGGCAACCACATCCTCAGCAATGATGGCTATAATATCTTAGAATGGGCAGTACCTCAGGGCATTAGTTCAAAGGCATGTTTCCATCCTTGACTCATATACCATGATTCGAGCATGTTTCGTGTAGATCCTGGCCATCACAACAGCCCGTGATGCATGTATAGATGGGGACTTGTCTACCGCAGAAGAACTACTCATGCAAGAGATCGACGCAAATGCCAATAACTTTAATTCCTACGCCCATCGCTCATTCGTTATGGCGCGAAAACACGACTGGGACCACGCCCTTCAGGATGCAAACAAGGTGAGATTCACTGACCGATCATCGCCTCTATATGAAAGACTAACTCGACGGTGACATAGTCTATCAGCATTCAGCCCTCATTGACAGGCCATATCTCTAAGGGTATTGCATTATGTGGAAAAGGCCGCGTCGCGGATGCAAGGGCATCATTCGATGTTGCATCAATGTACACGAACCACGATTTACAAATCCTCTATTCCCTGCTCTTGATCAAAGTATGTTACATTTGCCCCACATACTCTCTGCTTCATCGTGTATTTCAGGCCATCGCGCTCTTCAATGCAGATCAATATGATGAAGCAAACCTGCTCCTCAAAGAACTCGCTGCCGGTTGTCCAAATGCCGATACTCGCGCATGTCATATTGTGCAAGTAAGTATCATGTAGCCACGCTGCGTCATCAATGCTAATTTTTGTAACTTGCATATTAGGCATATCTACGTGTTCAACTCGGAATCAAAGCCTTAGATGGTGCACACCACCACGAAGCCGCTGACCATTTCACTGCCGCTATTAACTCCAGCGCTTTGTCATCGGAATCGTGCATTCGTGAATTTTACGAGGATTTGGTGGTGGTACGTTAATACACATCAAAAATATATATATATATAACCAAGTCCCTTGTCCAGCTCTTCGGCTGGGATCTCAAATTATTATGGCTCACTGCACACCAGAAACGTTGTCATGCACTGCTTTTGGCAGGTAAATTTCAAGATGCCGTGAAATCATACAAATACATGATAGTTTCGAGTAACGAAAACATCGAGGCCGACTACCCTGACTGGTGCAAAGGCAAGTCTGGAGTTCGTAATGGGGCGCAGGCTACAATCTTCACCTGCATTTCACTCAGCTTTCACGGAGGAGTGCAGCATGCTCTGTCTTACTAACGGAGATGCTGCCCTCGCTGCAAGCGACTATGACAGAGCTATTGACCTGTACTCGACGGCGATCGACCTGGATTCTGCATTTGATGTCGGCTTTACAAATCGCAGCAAGGCAAAGTTGGGGAAAATGCTATGGGAGGATGCGCTCCTCGATGCGCAAAAGGTGCGATATCATCTAGATTTTTGTAGCCCGTGTTGACTTTGGCGATGCATAGGTCACTGAGCTCAATCCTTCGTCTCACATTGGATACGAGTTGACATATACAGCGCTGCGTGGCGCACAACGTTATGATGAGGCTATCGAGGCCTTTAAAATTATGTTGTCTAAGCTGGAAAATTCTCCCGAAGCACAGATACGAGGTACGTGGGACACTCATGCATAATTTCAAAACGCCTACTCGTTCTGTAGATCTGCGTCAGCAGTATGTCTGTCCATTCGAAGCAGAAGATGCTATTCGAAGAGCAGTTGGGATTGAACTCAGCAACGCCCCACTTCGTCTGCTCAACACCTCTACGGGTCTTTTGTGCGACCGAGTGGCACAGCTAAACTTCTTCAAAACAAGCCCAGAGTACAAGGAGCTTTTGTCATCCATAACAAAGCGTTCGGATCTCCAAATGGAACGCATCAAGCAAGTAGTGACGATGCACTTCCGTTGCGTCCTGCTATCACATAAGTGGGCAGAGACGGAGGCGCTGCTGCATGACATCAAGGACAAAGTCGTGTACGAGCTGAATGAACTTGATGGGATCACGAAATTGCAGTCGTTCTGCAAAGTTGCTCGTGATGCGGGATATTGCTGGGCATGGATGGATACATGCTGCATCGATAAGAGCAACAACGTCGAGCTTCAAGAATCGGTCAACTCCATGTTCGTCTGGTACCGCCACTCAGCGCTCACCATAGTCTACCTATCCGATGTCCCTCCTTCATCCCATCCTGGTGCACTGGCGAGTAGTGTTTGGAACGAGCGAGGATGGACCTTTCAAGAATTCGTCGCTCCGAAAGTCGTCAGATTTTATCAGAAGGATTGGTCATTATATCTCGACGATCGCTCTCCCAACCACAAAGAGTCCTCAGCAATCATGGAGGAGTTGTAGGGTGCGACGGGAATAGATGCACAGGCCCTGATCTCCTTCCGTCCAGGGATGAGAGGCGCTCGAGAGAAACTGCGATGGGCATCAAGACGTGTCACCACCATGCAGGAAGACATGGCGTACTCGTTGTTTGGCATCTTCGGTGTTCACCTACCTGTAATCTATGGTGAGAGGAAGCAAAACGCGCTTGGGCGGCTCCTGCAAGAGATCGTGGCTAGATCGGGCGACATCACCGCCCTGGACTGGGTCGGACAATCGTCCGAGTTCAATAGTTGCCTTCCAGCCGACATCATCTCATATGCAACCCCGCCGAGCTCCTTACCATCATTGCCTGAAGATGAGATTCAGACAGCTGTCTCCTCGTTGCGAAACATTGTAGCTGTGGATTCAGCTTCGAAACTGTATGACCTACTCGAGGACATGAATGCTCCCCTCTTCGCAAACTGCAGACTGCGTCTTCCTTGCATCGCATTCCGTGTCACGGAAGTCAAACGGAGGCGCGGTCATGCTGCTCATTCCACGTATGAAGTGAAAGCAGATGGGCTGCGCGACTTGCTGATAACCACGGACGAGACACTGATTCAGTTCTCGCGCGCAAGACCCACTCGACAGACGTTCTTTCTTGTCCGTCCATGGGATCGTCGTCTCCTTGAGCTGCCTGACTTTGCAGACGAAGCGGAGAGCGTAGGGGATTTACCGAGTCCGAGTCTGCATTAGACGACACTGACGAATCGTCCAGCGAATCACATAGAGAAGAGGACTCGTCAGTTGACTCGGAATCCCACTCGCGATCATTACGCTTGATGGTTCACCTCGGGCAGGCTTTCAGCGCACTTTTGCTAGCCCAGCAACGCGTTGGAGAATACAAGAGGATCGCGTCGGACTATAATATCATTGCGCAGGTCAAAGACACGGTTTCGATTGACACTATGATTATGAACATCAAGACCTTAGACATATTGTAACTGTATGTTTTTAAATCACAGTAATCTCCGAGCAGTTTGCGTGTGTACATTGACGATCACAATACCTTGAAAGCAACATTACGCAAATTCCATCATTTCATCCTCATTACCATGCACTAATTCACGAAGGATGATAATTGGGGCGAGAGCTTTAGTAAAAGAACTGATGTGAACTCAATTGGTCTCTCGGTGGTCCAGGTAAGGCTAGGAACCATTGATTCCATGGTAGATGACATTCCCAAACACCTGTGATGAGAATCCTTTGAACGCAGGGCTCACGTAGCATATATAGTGAGGGCTCGCTTAGAATAGCGACCATGTTGCACTGGTACTTGGATTCCTACGATGATGACATTGGCGAACGAGAGAACTGAAACTAGTTGGACTGGGGTGGGCGAAGTTCGAAGTAGAGATGAATCATAAGCAGGGCGCTGGAAAAAAAGGCGCTCCTCCCTGATATAATTGGTAACGAGTTTGAGATGCCAGAAGGGAAAACTTCGATCGGCTGCATGCGGTGTACATGCAGGTCTTTGGAGTCGACGGGACGAAGGGGTGATATTGTAATAAGCTATAAGTCTGCGTTCGAACGAGTGACGTGGTGTTGGGCTGGAGTGGCTGCTCGACACGAAAAACAACGATAATTCATGCGGTCATACAAAATAGATAGTCAGATTCAAGCGCTAGGAATCACCAGCTGCTCCATGGGATACATTCTGGAAGCTGTGAAGACAAGAATCGGACGAGTAGGCCACTTTATTCTACATTCACGATATAGAAATGTCAAGGATTGTTTCGTCCTCATGAGGATGCACCAATTGTAATTCACGATGGAGATAGTATAGCGTGTTGAGAACAACTGGCCGCAAGTAAATTTGATCGATAACGCAGCGCCTGACATATGGTGATTTGGGTCAGAGTATTAGGTAGAGAAGGTCGATGTACTGTAAACGACCACTTCAAAGTTGGAATACGCATTTGGTTGTCCTTGGGTCCAAGAATTGGGTTCCATTTATTGCATGATCCATATCGTTCCTGAACACCTGCAATGACAGGTCAACAATTACATGAAAGGTTCGTATACCTTTGGCTGTGGTGAGCTCATCGAGGATAGTGACAATGATGACCGTGTCGCACCATGTTACGGTATTTGCAGGATTCCAATGAGGACCGCTTTAGGAGCAGAATGGCGAAGCAGAAAGATGAAACATGTTGGCTGAAAGTTGGCGGAGCCAGGGAATCAGATGAAAGACGAGCAGAGCGCTGGCAGCAAGGTTACGGACATCTTTGGAAAACATCATGACATAGGTGACGTATAAACGCCAGAGACACGCGCACGCAGATCTTGGGAGTCGACGGAGTGGATAGGACATCATTAAATGCATTCGGGCACGTCACATGGCGATATACTGGAGTAGCTGCTGGACACGAGAACAATGATATTCATGCGGTCATCGAGGATGGATAGCATTCGAGCGCATGGGGATGGTGGCTGTATGATCATAATTGAATAGGTGGGAGGGGATGCAGTTTTTGAAGCTGTGGAGACAAGCCAGACCCATGTACGGTGCAGACTCAAAGGCACCGGGAGGGTATATTGTCGAGGAAGGTGGGTGTGACATTCTTTCTGCAACAGTGGCGAACCGCCCCGTTTCCTGGGCGTCTATGGAAACTCGGAGCCAGTATGAATGCACAATACATGCAGCTCCGCAGCTAAGTTAGAGAGAACAGTCCATTGTCCAAAACCTACATCGAGTGTGCCCAGTGCCATCAACCTCCAGTAAAATGTCTCGGCTCACTCCAAACACCACATCGAAGGGAGTTGAAAGGTCATGAAGAACGTATGAATGCAGTTACAATATTACCCGATCAAAGACGAATGATTATGGGCTCGGAGGACAACACGCTTCGTCTCTGTGACTTGAAGGCAGGCGTCATGTTGAAGAAGTAGCAGTATGGTATTGGCATTTGGTGGTAGCATTACGGGATGAGCAATTCATAGCCGGAGTTCTGATGCGGAGAGGTTCGTCGTCCACTGCTGGTGGCACGGAGAAACCAGTGGAAAACTGTTCACCGCACTGTGCACTGGCAGCCCATCAAAGCCAACTTCAAAGTTCAGTCACTTTCGAATATGTCCTTGCTGGACTTTGCTCTAAATGGAATAGTGGTGGGCATTGGTTCGCCGTCATCATGGAGATCACAATACTGCGGTGCACTCAAATCTGGCAGCTGCTAGGAAATGAATGTAGACCTTCTTCGGTATTTACTATTCACCGTCTGGCCAACTTGCAATTACAACAAACCGCAATATCGAAATTTACAATCCAGGCCTCTGGATCTCCTAGGGAATGCATCGCAAAGCTCAAGCTTCAGGCCCAGAGGTCATATAACATTTCACTCGCGTGGACGCTCGATCACATGTCTTCTGACTCTTCTCACATGGGGCAATGCTCGAGGAAGATCCTGCCAGTCCGTATTCGAGATCGACGGCAGAGAAGTGATTGAGCGCTATCGATCACGATGACCTGTGGTGTTTGATGCGGCAAGCTTGTCGGAACGAGGCGATGCCAAACTATGTTGGACACCGACTAACCATTTAGATACCCACCGCGCACTTCAATAATATGTCGCAATTGCACTAGAGTACTTTCGAGATTAGAAAAAGTGCGATCACCAAAACATTGGTTCGTCAGTATAAAACAAGGGTCCGGTTCTTCAATACCCGTCGAGGGTCCGTCCAGGTCCAGGACACGCGAGAGTTCGAGAGAAAATACCATTGTAGTAATAGTAGCTACATACCGTTTAGTGCGCTGCCATCGGCCTGAAGCACAGCAGTGCGGTGAAAGGGCCTGTAAGTACAAAGTAGTGGCGGCCCCTAGTCACCATATACGTGGTGGTTCTATAGTCTCGACCAGTGTGATATGTCAAGTTTAGGCGCCCAGCCAAAAGGATGATGCGAGGGTACCCCTTGACCTTTCTTTGCTTGATAGTTGAGTTGGACTTAGTGATTTTCAACATTGCCCCAGGAACCTGAATCATTGGTTGTCACTGTCAGACTGCGATGACTGATGCAGTGTGATGAGTTTGTTGATGCAACCGAGTCACCTGACCATCATGGTAGTTAGCTCGGCACTAGTATTATGTAGTAGGTTCATGCTAGTCCTCGCTAGTGAGTCTTGCCAACTACAGCCATGTCAGAGCTAACGGCTTCGAGCCGCGGAGAACTTCATTAGAGGGCCTGCCAAGGCTTTCAAACTTGAACGTCCATTCCATCACTTGATGTGCGGCATGTGCTTTTGTCTGCTGAAAAAGCGGTCAGCAAACCGCTACTAGAGGTTGCAAATTTAGCTGTCTAGTCGACCATAACGTTTATCCTACAGTATCGGTCTTATGCAGAAGATCATCGTGTGGACTCTCCAGTTGTTTCAATCACGGTACGTCACCTTGCTTTCACCTGTTATCAACTCAAATTGGACCCGAGAATTTGATCCACTGAACCTATATGAAAGACCGGACATCCCACTTCATAACGTGCACTGCTTGTCTTCTCGTGCATCCAAAGTGGTCTATGGCCGCCCTAGCAACCCAAACTTTGGCTCCGGGTGTTCCTTGACTTGAAATGCCACTACCACAGGCTTAGTGTTGCCTGATACAAATATAAGGAGTCGGCACATGTTTTGTCTATTCCGTTACCTTCGAGTTGATCCCCACGTCGTCTGCGGCTGCCAGTGTTAGGCAGCATAGTTTATATTACCCTGGTCACAATGTTTCTCCACACTGTCCTCGCTGGCTGTCTTCTTGCCTCATCACATGCAATGTCGGTAACTTCAAGATCTAACTCTGAGGCCTTGCAGCATTCGCCGCCTAGCGCACACCCATCCACCATTGGACCTGTCACTGAACTTACTATCGCCAACAGAGTAATCGCGCCTGACGGCTTTAAACGGTCGTGAGTTAATGCGCTTATATCTTCCCCTATGTATCTTCATCCTCCTTTCGTACAGGGCTACACTCGCAGGAGGAATCTTTCCTGGTCCTCTCATCAAGGCGCAGAAGGTTTGTGCAAGCATTTCATTCACGTCTGACGCTGAATATTTCGAAGAATGACAACTTTAGCATCAATGTTGTAAACCAATTACAGGACAAAGACATGCCTTTATCGACGAGCGTAGTATGTTCTTTACTTTGTCTGCCATAGTAAGGTCTCTGATACTCTTCAAAGCACTGGCATGGCATTCAACAACAGAAGACGAACTGGGCAGATGGCACTTCGTTCATCACTCAGTGTCCAATCCCTCCAAATCGCTCTTTCCTCCACCAATTTAGCACAAACCAGACGGGAACCTTTTGGTTTGTGTCCCCCATTTTTCAAAGAGGAGGTTCGCTAAGGCATTTCGTACGATAGGTATCACTCGCATTTTTCCACCCAGTATTGTGAGTGCCCCTGGTTATCTTCGCAACCTTTGCTACATATTTTTACGTCCAGGTGATGGTCTTAGAGGACCTCTTGTCATATATGACCCTGATGATCCACACAAAGATTTGTATGATGTAGATGACGGTTCGTATTATTGCTTTCGTGCTTAGACCAACCATTCACCAGTGTTGGCACAGAGAGCACAATACTGACGATTTCCGACTGGTACGAGTTAGCTTGTCAGCCTTTTGCATTACAAGTCTTTACAAGTTTCTTCAGGTACCACGATCCTACGATTGTGTTAAATAAGATCCTTGGCCCCATCACCAACAACTCCACCCTCATCAATGGTCTGGGACGCTACCCTGGTGGACCCCTGTCACCTCTTGCCGTCATTAATGTTGAGCAGGGCAAACGTTACCGGTTCCGCGTCCTTGGTCTTTCTTGTGACCCATCATATAACCTCACTATCGATGGCCATATCATGACCATCATTGAAGCTGATGGCGTCGAAACTATCCCTGAGACTGTGGATTCGCTTCCGGTGCTCCCTGGCCAGCGCTACTCTGTCATCGTCCATGCGGACCAGCCTGTGGCTAATTACTGGGTTCGCGTACTACCTAACCTGGGAAATCAATCGTTTTCAGGCGGTTTGAACCAAGCCATCCTTAGGTACAAGGGTGCGCCCGAGGAAGATCCTACGAGCTCTCCTGGACCCTCCACCTTGCCATTCAACGAAGCAAAGCTTGCATCCTTGATGAACATTCCGGCTCCCGGTGTGCCTGAGATTGGCAAGGCAGACATCAACATCAACTTAGTTGCCGGTAACGTTAATGGCCTCTTCACGATCAACAACGTTTCGTACCATAACCCTCCGACGCCGGTTCTGTTGCAAATGCTCAGCGGGGCTCAACATCCCTCGGATTTGCTGCCGAACGGAAGCGTATACGAGCTCCCCCCGAACAAGGTCGTAGAGATCACCCTTCCCAACACGGGTGCAGCTCTTGGCGGTCCAGTAAGTCCATCCTGGTACTTTTCATTCCTGTTGCTCATCATCTTTCTAGCATCCTATGCACCTTCATGGAGTATGTCGTTTCTTTTTCTGCGTTGTTCTCCATTCTAATACAGCAGACAGCACAAATTTGCCGTTGTCAGAGTTGCAGGCAATAGTACACCGAACTTCGTTAACCCAATCTGGAGAGACACCGTAAGTATGGGAACGACGATAGGGGATAATGTTACTTTCCGTTTCGTCACGGACAATGCTGGTCCATGGTTCTTCCATTGGTGAGCATGTGTTTTCGCTATATTCTACGATACGCCTCTCATGATGTGTTTGCCAGTCATATTGACTTCCATCTGAACAAGTATGTATGCGGTGGTAATATTTGAGCCATGCACTGACTTCTCTGTAGCGGCTTTGCAGCGGTCATGGCCGAAGCTCGGAATCAACTACCCATCGTTAGCGAGAGTATTCCAGGTATGGGTGCCGTGCTAGTTAAACCGAACAAGCTAACTAAGCTTTCCAGACACTTGGGCCTCCTTGTGTCCTACAGACAACCCATATACTGCATCACAACTGGGTTCCTTCAATACGAGCATACTTACATGATTGTGCGCTATCTTCGCGCCCAAAATTTTCTCCGACCGCTTCTGGGAGGTATATTTACCTTTTAACTGCCATTTCTAGTCTTCAAAAATTTGCATATACTTTCACATCACAATGATTTATTGATAAACGTTTTATTTGCTTTCTTTTGATTTCGTAACTTATCTACATAGTTGTGGGGACGGGGGCATGTAATACAGCATAGCTGTGCTGTCTCTAGGGATAAACTATTGACCTAATATGGTCGTTTCCGCTGATCGTTGGACTTTGCATTCGGACTAATGCCCACAGCAGCGCGCTCATCAGACGCTACTAGTACGACATAACCATTGTCCGACCAACGAGTCTAAGGTCGCTACGGAAGCTGGTTTTCTTTTGGCAAACTGTCAACTAATGACAACCGCGCTACCTCGGTGGTAGTGACTCATCGTTCCGACGGGTGTATATATACACGCGCTCCTCGCTTCGCGAACTGCAGACTGCATCGCCCGTATCACGGAAATCAAACGAGGGCGCGGTCTGGCCCAAGAACTTGATCCGTGGGATCGACCATGCAGTATCTGACACATGGTAATTGTGGTTAGTGTCGAATATACTTGCTCTCAGTGATCCAAAGATTGGGACTATTCATTCCATGGTAGGTTGATATTCAAATGCGGGGTTGTGTAAGTTTGCCGAGGCAGCGGTCACCATGTTGCACCGCTACTTATATGGTGCAGAATTTCAGTGAGGACGAGGTTGAGAGGATAAGAAACACTAATTGGACTGGCAGGAGTTAGCAAGGTGAATCTGAGTCTGAGAGTACATACTTGTCTGAAAGTGGTGAAAAGATACAACGAATGTCCTTGTGGAGCTGACGATGTTTTCACCGTCTCACCGCGGGATTGCACTTGCAATATTGATTTGTTCGCGATGCATTGAAGGTTTGAGTACAAGTATGCAAGGTATCTTTCGGCACATTGTAAGTTGTATTACAATAAAAGTACACTGTTAACAATCAGCACGATATTTCTTTTCCGTCCTTGAGATCTGCCACAGAACATTTCATTAGATGCGGGAGCCATAAACATCCTCCGGCTCAACACCAGCTTGGCCCTTGCGAGCATTAGCCTGACCCCACCTTGGAAGAAAAAGTGAGTAGGTTAAAAGATAAGTAAGCTGGAAATATACTTTTTAATACGGATGCTTTCAATTTGAATGAAACCCGTGGTATCTGTCGGCTCAAAACCACCGAGCTCGTCCATGGAGGATTGATGCTCATCATACAGACCCTGGGAAGAGGATAAGCAAAATGAAACTCATGACTCAAATTCATTACCTCATCAGAGTAACGGCCGACAACAACGACATTGCCCTTGTAGAGCTTCAAGCGCACTGTTCCGTTGACAGTGCGCTGGCTTGCGGGAATGGCACTAGTAACAAACTCGCGCTCAGGGGTGAAGAAGTGACCATTGTAGAGAATGCGGCCCAGTTCGATGGTGACGAACTGGTCACGGAGAGCACGAACATTACGGTCGAGTGTGAGACCTTCAATGTCCATATGTGCGACACGTAAAATAGTGGCTCCAGGTGACTCATAACACCCGCGGGACTTGACGCCGATGAAACGGTTTTCGACGATATCGATACGACCGACACCATGCTTCCTCGCGACAGCATTGAGTGCAAGGAAAATGTCGACGGCGTCGGTCAGAGGGGCTTGGTCTGCAATAACAACCTTTACAGGGAGACCAGCCTTGAACTCGATTGAGAGATTCTCAGGCTCCGCTGGTGCATCCTCGAGAGCTGCGGTGAGCTTCCACATGTCATTTGGTGGTGTGGTGTTCGGGTCCTCCAGGATCCCTGCCTCATAAGAGATATGGAAGAGGTTCTCATCGGTTGACCACGGTTTTGCGGCAGTCTGTTGCACTGGAATTTGCTTCTCCGCCGCGTATGCAAGGAGTGCTTGACGGCCAGGGAAGCGGTTATAGAACTCTGGACATGAGATGTTTAACAAAAAGTTGCTGTGCTGGGGAAACAGGATCACCAGGAAGCCTCCAAGGGGCAATGACCTTGATATCGGGCTTCAGACCATAGAAGGCAAGTTCAAAGCGAACTTGATCATTCCCTTTGCCTGTACAGCCATGTGAGACATAGCTTACAGAAGGTCATTAAACATTGACCTGAAGTGTAAAAGATGAAGGAGAGGCTTACTCGCAACCTTCATTAGCTGCAATGGACATCATGCCGCGGGCAATGACAGGACGAGCAAGAGAAGTTCCAAGTAGGTATACGTTCTGTTTTTAACCATTAGCGCATAATAAATGCACGAAGACGGTGATTACCTCGTAGATGCAGTTTGCCTGCACAGCAGGGTAGATCAATTGTGTTACAAATTCGCGTTTGAGGTCCTGCAATTTGAGGAACAATGAGCAACTACCACACTACTAGAAGAATGCCAAACCTCCAAGAAGAATTTTTTTGCACCAACACTGAGTGCCTTCTTTCTAGCCGCTTCGAAGTCCTGAAAAGCAGTTGGTTAATAATAACACAAGCCTTGCAGTACTGGTATATGTTAGTACCTCTTCCTGACCGACGTCAGCCATGAAAGCGTAAACTTCATAACCCTGCTCGATCAGCCATGCCAGGATGCATGAGGTGTCTGCAGATCTTCACGGTTATTATAATCTCCTTGCCAAGACACGCGGAGAGTCGATTTACCAAGACCGCCAGAGTATGCGAGCAAAACACGGCCTTGTGCAGGTGGTGACATGATTGCAAGCGTTGATAAAGCTTTAAAGCTTAAAGGACAGTGAAGATGGTTAGCCCAGGAGGCGATTAGCAGATCGATCTGTTAAATGTAGGATTTTAAATCTGAGTTATCATGAATCGCGCCTTTTTTACAATGTATCACCACCCCTTGCCTCAATATCAATAGCCGCGGCGTTCCAATAGCTGTGACATTCGGCTGTCACAAGGTGACCCTGGACTGGGGCCCATTACCTTTGTACCACTTCGGCCACAGCTTCTTCCACAACGTAGGCCAGCATATATAGCTGGCCCTTCCAACAATAGCTCATCTGATTACCAAACATAGTATGGACATGAGTCTCATCTGGTGTCGGGATAATCACCATTAACTATTATTCCAGCCAGAATCCCACCCCAATATGAATACACTGGCATTTGAACGTGCACCAGGTCCATCGCGGCGTAACAATCGTCGGTCAAATCTTACGTCAGGAGATGTACCACCAAACTCAAGAAATGGTCAGCGACGCAAGAAATCACGCTCTCCGGACGCGTGGAATTCTCGCCTCCAAGTTACCGCGCAGAGATCTGAGCCAGTTCAACCCGAAGGAGCAAAGAAAAAGAAATCGACAGTTCCCCTACCTTTCGATAGCAGGCCCTTTCTTGCACCACTGGACGATACCAATTTTGAGAGAGGTCGCAAGTACAAGTCTAAATCACGTCAGCAAGGTCGCCAGGCAGTGGAGCACCCTGCTACTGCGTCGGCTCTTGCCATAGAGAACAAGCCTAAGAAAGATAGGTCCAAGTCGAGAGACTCGGCCTACAGACAGATTTCGAAGGTCTCGGGATCCGATTCTGAGGGTGTGCAGGCGCTCGTGGGCCTTCACCTCGAATACCAGGGTCCGCTCGCAGCCGCTGAATTTGCTAAGCTCAAGCGAGAAATTGAAACGTGGAAGAAAGTGAGTGAAATCATGTCCCGACTCTCAGCGTCTGACCAAGGACATAGGTGGCTCTCGACAATAAGAAGACAATTAAGAAGCAGAATAAGGTTCGTATATGCGCTTTCCTTTGGCAGGTTCGTTTACAGTGTGATTCATAGATAATTGAAGAGCTTCGCGAGAAAGCAAGTGTAAATGAGAAGGTCAGTGTGTCCACCACCTATTAATCCATAAACCTATTCACGAGAATGTTCATGCAGAAATTGAAGGAGACGGAAAGTCAAGTGAGCAAGGCACAAAACAGGGTGAAGAAGTCCGAAGATGTGAGTCTTTGGAATCGGTGTGCACGTTGTCCTTGAACTTTTACTCAGGCCATCAATAATGTCGAAACGAGTGTTCAATGCCAAATTTGCATGGAGCTGTTACTCAAACCATATGCGTGAGTCTGCATTCCCTCGCATTAATAAATCACTCATGATTCCTCTAGGTTGTCACCATGTGGCCACGTTCTTTGTGTTTCATGTCTACAGGAGTGGTTCAAGAAAGCACCCCCCGGCGACGATGAAATGTACGACGACGACGACCCTGATTTCTTGCTTTTTCGAAAGAAGACCTGTCCATGCTGTCGTGGTAATATTCGTAATCGACCCATTCCCGTTTTCATCGTCAAATCCATTGCATCCGCATTGTTGAAGGCTCGAGGAACATCTCCCAATACTTCATTATCCACTACTGGATCTCCTGCCGCTGACACGGATCCATGGGAAGGTTTATTCCCGCCTGACGACGAAATAGAGGACTATGGGAGCGATGACGACAACGACGATGATGATGAAGTAGACGATGATTGGCTTGATGAAGATGTCTTCAGTTACGGTACGGGCAGTGATGAAGACACATATGGTGGCGACTACGTTTTACCTCAGTGGGAACCACCAGCAACCATGATCGACGAAGAGGACTATCTCTTCGACCATTTGAGCCACAATGACCTCAACGTCCTTCGACGCGGTGCTACGCTTGCTATGCTTCATGAATATGACATGTACTATGTACATGATGAAGGACTTATCGCGCACGACGAGCTCAGCAATCGCATCTTCCTCGGGTGGAATATTTCCCTCAGCGCCGATGATGAAGATGGTTCAAGGTACATTGAATGGGTCACGCAGGACATGGATGAGCGCCCGGAGCGCTGGAAGATGATACATCTTGAAAATAATGGGAAGTACGAGGCACATCGGCTCATCCCAGAGGATGATGTGTGTGATTATAGTGACAGCGACTCTGAACATTACGTGGCAGAGTCTGACGTTGACTTCTAATACTACACTACCCCTTCAGCAAGCTATCATATATTTGACTCCCCTGTATTGCCCTTGTACATAGATCCTTATCCCTGTGGATGTCCTGATCAGCTTGCAGATGTTTTCGACTGTCAATTCTTAGTCAATCGTGTACTTAGACTATATTTGTGAAATTCCGTACAATATTAATATTGTAGATTATAGATTTATCGGACCTTAAGTCGCTCAGGTATCCATTCCAGACATCGAAGGGTGTAAGTTATCCTCGATGCATAATTAATCATAGTATTATCACAGTGTTGTATCCGATGGTAAGTCCCAGATCTGCAACTCTGAAAGTCGAAAGAACCATTAATAACCACCGTGACGGTGCAGGGACACTGGCAAATGTTCTTCGACACTAACATTGAAGCAGAGCGCATAGCTCCCATTTCAAAACACTCGCCTAGTTGCCACCGGCGAGTCCTGACCCTAGTATCTTATGTAACTTGATGAAGAACCTCTTGAATCGTTCAATAGTCCTTTCACTTATCACCGTGACAATGTCAATATCGCTGAGAGTGTCAAAATTACTATTGTCGTCCACCGTGACCGTCTGGCTATCATGACGACCCGGTGCACGCCATTCGCGTGGTTTTCAAGCGAATTTTTTCCCCCAGATCTGCAACAGAAAATGCCAGAAATGCCAGGACTTCTTGTTCCATGGCATTGCTATGGTCATTCTTTTTCAGTACTCGCCGAGTTCCGAGGCTGTTAGTAGACTCGGAGAGTACCTGGAAGTTAACCTTGCTGATCGAGTAAGCGGGCCCCGGGTGACTGACGCATTGATATCTGATTTTTGGTTCTGATCAGGTTGACGACGCTCTCCCGTTGCACGCAAGTACTTATTACCCGGCTCTTTGAGGCTTTGACAATGACTTATATGCCATGTACGCGATCCTGCAAATGCAATATCTCCAGCAGAGCACCCGAGCTGCTGCCAGAAGCACGACCCCATGGGTAGATGATTGACTGTCAACTACCACTAATCACCCATAATCACCCGGCACAATTCATCACCGACTCCTTCGTGTACAACCTGTGATTGCAAATTGCTTGACACGTCGGCCATTTGAATTCACGATGTTCGCGGGATGGCGGCCAATAGCTGCTTACTACCCATGTGTGCCACGATGTTCTTCTTCATGTCACTGTTCTCTGTACCTTGATATTTTTCACAGATAACAACTGGGCCTGTGCTCGTTGTGAGGCTGCATTCAGCCAAAAACGGTTTACCCATTACGTTGGTATCAGGTGCCGGTTCAACCAAGCGGCCCAAGCGATGATCACCATCGGTAGCAGAGGCTCGTCGGCAGTTGAACCACAGAACAGTTTGCGCGCCGTCCGTCATGTCGGTGCAGGGATCATCAACATCACCGAACTTACCGGCCCCACTTACTAATTGGTTCGTCGTTTTATGTTCTAATTATTTTAATGTCGACGGACATAAGTATACCCTTACCCCGGCGATCCGAACGATCTGATTTTGTTGAGCCTTGTTAAATGCCTACGCTGTTCGCTAGGTTCGTAGTACCTGGAAATGAAGATAGACCTCGAAACCCCCATGTTAAACTCCGAGGATACACAAACGTGACCATCCTAACCCAGAATGCACAACAGACCATCGATCTATAATTGCTGGCAACTACTAATTGGCAATACGTATGTAATTGATCGCTCAACATCAATTTTCCGCAGAAATCCTAGGCTCGAACCATCCAATATTGTCTCAAGTTCGGGCTTTCACTCCTCTCCCCATCCAAAAGGCAGCTGATTCCTTACAAACATAGACTGGTAGTGAGTCTACATAAATCTTTATTCTCGGAACCCTTGGTGACTAACAACATGCCCCTTCTTGGATTGCGTCCCGGCCGCCGGGGGGGGGGGGGGATGATTATAGTTGACCTCTCCTCCTTGTGACTGTCTGGTATTCACCAGGCCCACTGCTTTACACGATGATTTCAACAACATGAATGTCATTTATCTCAAAGCTTGCTTGAAGGCTGCGAAACTTCGTATAGGAAAGTTGCTGACCACGCACGGTCGAGTCAACGGTGAAGGCAAGCCTTGGCTATGATTACATTTGCAGTATGATCGCTATGGAGATTCACTAGGATTCACTGCATTTAAGTAAGCGATAAGATGATCGCCACCGAGAGGACATTTTTGTATGCACATTGCCCGAAGTCGCCCTTCTCCATTGTAATTCAATGTGCCTTGTGCAAGCTTAGCTAGTCTGTTCTCCCGATGCGCATATACACAGGCCACAGGTTGCGTATTTATCTTCTTTGAGGTAACTGTCAATGGTTTGCCTGATGATCGATGAACTAGGCTTGGACCACGGCTCAGTTTATTCTATGGTGTCCAAGAGTCCGGCCCTCCGGGACTAATGTTGGGCACAGATGCCACTTGACACAGATCAATTCATCTCTTTGGCATCGAAAAGAATAAATGTACTTTCGACGTTTGGGTTCTTCATTCACGAAGAAAGTAAGGAGCTACGCAGCTGAATCCATTGGTGACTCTATTGGTCCATTGCTGTTCGGATCAGCTACGTTCTCAGCCACATTATTAATACGTCATTCCCAACATGGTGTTTTTCGGCCACGCCGAAGCTTAGTTTGACCAGTAAAGTGACCGGCCGCCAGTACTCTTTAGTGCATTTGTTTATACTCTCCGTTCTTACTATCAGTCAGCATCATCTCTCGAGTGCTTGACATCCACATAGCACCAAAGAGTCGTCAAAAGAGTTCACAAATCAGCATTTTTGAAGGAATTGACACAACCTGTTTCTGACGCTCGTGGAGCCACTCAGACTTAGAATTCGGGTCTGTCAACACGAGTCATACGCATGCAGGAGGCAGAGGAGCAAGGTATACCACATTTATAGTGTAGTTGGATCACTTTTGAGCTAGAGCTAACCTTTTACCTCTTAGACACATGTCGAATCTGCAGCGCGCCTAGCGATTTGGATCAGCCGCTCTTTTATCCCTGTAAATGCTCTGGCACCATACGGTATATCCATCAAGACTGGTCAGTGGACTCCACAGGAATGATTATCGTACAGCCTCACTTACAACTTCTATCTAGTTTGACTACATGGTTATCACACAGCAAGAAGAAGACCTGCGATGTCTGCAAACATCCATACTCCTTTACGAAAGGTGAATACAGCTTTGCTCGATGTGTTGAACTGACTTATACTATTGTTTCCCTTAGTCTATGCAGCTGATATGCCCTCCACGCTTCCTCCACTTCTCCTGTTTCGGCGTCTAGCTCAGCAGGCTTTGTTTGCCATCCTTTTTGGTCTGCGGGCTATTATGGTTGGAACCGTCTGGCTTGCCGTGCTACCGTGGATCACCATTTGGACATGGAGAGTTTATTTCACCATGGGCGAGTCAACGTAAGTTACACAACTTCTGTGCGGCCTTAACTCACACTGTGTAGTGCATGGTGGATAAGTGGTCGTGGTCGACCATATGCTGATTTCTTTGGGATGAACGGTCCCACCGCTTCTTTGAATGGCTCCTTTACTGGTCTCGGGCTCCCTTCCAATGCCACACTATATCAACGGGTTTCTAATCGCCCATTCTGGTCGATGCTATCTGCTGACATTTTTGCCGGACAAATCATTGCCTCCCTCATTGTTTTAATATTTGTTGCAATATTTCTTCTCAGGGAATGGATCTCGCAGAATGCTCGGCCGGGGGTTTTCGAGGATGAAGACGGCGGCGCAATACATCCTCCCCCTCAACCTGGTGATCTCCCTGCAGTTCCAGTAGAAGAGCCTGCCAACGTACATATTCCAGATGAGAATGATTTTGGTCGTAATGCCCTTCGAGACGCAGCTCTCGATGCACGGCGTCAAGGGAGAATTATGCGTGCTCGCCGAGGCCCCGGTGTCGTCCAAAGGCAAGGTCTACACCAGCGTGACCCATTGGAGATAGACCGACATCAGGTTCTTCGAAATCGTCCTCTCGACAGACTTCCTTTTCCTCTTGAGTCACCCCCTCAACTTCCCCAAGTCCCCCGAGAGCAGCCACCACCGTATGAACCAGATCATTACTCTCGGAAAGGAAAGGAAAGGGCCGAAGACGCTGATGATACCGGAGAAGGGTCATCCGAACCTCATTCCCAACGCCGTATCCGCAGGAGGATTCACACCGAGGAAGACGAGAGTATGACTCATGAGACGGCTGATAGTCAAGACGTTCAACCCTCTACTTCGCTCAATGGAGGGGAGGCGTTGACGTTCCCCTTTACCTTCAGAGCTTCTAGCTCCATCAGCTCGAATTTCCCAGAACCTTCGAGTAGTGATCCCGTCGTCGGCCCATCAACTTTCAATGATAGATATTCCTGGGATGCAGACTTCCACATTGACTCGCAACCAACTTCTTCGTCTGTCTCCCCTTCAATGACACCTGCACTTCATGTCAATATTGGCACTCCTCTACGACGACCTCCCATGGCAAACTCTACTGTTTTCGCGGAGGGTGCGACGCCTAACAAGCTTCAGCCAAGTCCAGCGCTACCACCATCTTCACCAAGTCTCGCAATGTATCTCGCGCCAGAAGAGCTGGAGGCTGGACCGTCATCACCTGGGCCATCAGGGTACTTTGATGGCGGCGAACGCTCAAAAGAGGAACTCGAAGAAGAATTGGAAAGCTTCTTTCGTGATCCGGAGTCAGCTAGCCCCGACTTACCTCCTCCGTCTGATGCGCAGGATCAAACTTCTATTGCCACCATACCAGACACGCTTCTCGAAGAGAATGATGAGGAAGACGACGATGAGGGGGAGGAGGATGATAATCCTGCACAGGCACCTGCAGCCGAGGTTGATCGGGTGTTGGATGATGAAGACGATGAGGACGATGACGGTGACGGCGATGATTTGATCAACCCTCGCGATGAGAACGTCGCTGCCCCTCCCCAAATTCAGGTTGTACTAAACCAGCCTGGTGACATGGATGATCTAGAACCGGGAGTCGAGGATGATTTGGACGGAGCTATGGAAGGTCTGACCATCTTCCTTATCGCACGAAGTATGCTGATATTCTGCAGCAATTGGACTGAGGGGACCTATCCTCGGAGTCTTTCAAAACGTTTGTCTCGAATTTGATTGATGTCTGGTTACTTAACGGACGGAATACAGGCGGTCCTCATGGTTTTCGTTCTTGATACCGCGAT